GGCAGGTCCTATCCAAGCAACCTAATGCCTGCTCTTATGAGCTTAATCCACTTACGTGGGAAGTTCTTCCACCTGGGACTCTCTGCAGGTCAAGTCTAAATAGGGCGCTGGAATGAGGCACCTGTGACAGGAAGGGGTACAAAATCGGGGAGTTGGCCAGGACACCATCATGCACACTGTTTTTCTTATCTGTGACTTCGTGGTGTGCTTTCAAAAATAATTTAAACTTTTTCCACTCCAACCCAAATTTTTGTTTCCATTAAATAATAGTTTAAAAATTCCAGATTCCGTTATTACATCATCATGTTTTTATGTTTTAGAGCCTTCGTTTCAGCTTGATTTTTATCCTTCCTAGTTCCCTCTTTTCAGTATATCTTCCCACATTGCCATACTTTTATTTTTAAAGATATTATATTGTAATAGCACCGACCATGTGATTGGACAAGTGACGCCATTTTGTTTTTCCTAATTTAGAGATATAATAAATTTAAATGCTTCCTAATGTTCGTTTTTAAACTTTTAACTACCAATCCTACTTAATATTCTTATATATGTTGTTTGCTAAAGTAATAATTGTATTTTAAGGTGTATGTTATTTAATTATGTTAGTGATCACATGGCTATGATGTTGTTACATTTGAATGTGCTCCCTAGATATACTGTGGAAGTACATGAGTATGTAACACTTTTCAAAAAGCCTCTGTGAAGGTGAAATGCTTTGTGTTTTTGTTTTTTTTAACTTATTTGTATTGCTTTTACTATTTTATGTTCTCTTATATACTAATGTGTTAAATAAAGTAGCTTATTTAATATATCCTTGGACTTACCCTGATCTTTCCATTGCAGCCTGGACTCAAATTACTTTGGTGGGAATATACGATCCGGGCACTGTAAATTGAGTTAAACCTGATTTTGCTCCTTACTAGTGAGTTTTATTTTCCTATACTGTGTTACTAACCTTGAGCACTATATTTTTATTTCTGTTTTATTTGCATAAAATGTGACAATAGTGCCTACAAGGTCCTTTGATGAGTTATATATTATACTGAGTTATACTCCATGGCTAAATGTCTCATGCACTGAGCACTTTACTAAAAGAAGATACCAGTTATTCTTAGGCAGGGATCATACCTCCCAGGCGCATCAAGGTAGAGTTTCTCTAGTATGTGCATTTCCTTTTTCTTTTTATATATTCACCTGTACGGAATATACTACACTATATTTTGCAGTATTCTTTTTTTCATTCATCCAACTACCACTATGTAAATATCTACTTGAGAATATACCAGGGCGCTACCCCCTCCCTACTCCATGCATCTTCTATTGAAGCGGAATAGCGAGACTCTAGTTTGGGTGTTTGAGCTGCCAAATTTTCTCAACTACTTGCATTAGGAACCCAATTTAACATTTTAATATACTATTCGAGCAAATTTAAACAAAAAATTTTTCTTTTTTTGGAACCGCTTGGTATTGATGTGTTCAAGGGACACTATAGTAAATAAAACAACTTTAGCTTAATTAAGCAGTTTTGGTGTATAGATCATGCCCCTGCAGTCTCACTGTTAAATTCTCTGCCATTTAGGAGATAAATCACTTTATTTATGCAGCCCTAGTCACACCTCCCTGCATGTGACTTACACAGCTTTCCTAAGAGTTATTGCAAATTATCTTTAAGGGGCTGCAACATGAATTAGGGGAAACTGAGTGCCAGTTGTCTGATGCGAAGAGCAAGTTGTTTGAAACAGAGCAGAAGACCATTGTAGATGGCAAATTATTTGATATTACATCTAAGCTACCGTAGACTCTGTAGAGATATTATTGATTATTTGGAAGACAAAGTGTATTCATGGAGGGACTCCTGTGAACCACGTAATTATAGAGGGAGACAAAAAGCTTCTATTGATACCAGCCTATCAGACCCTGAGGGTACATCCGCTGACTCAGAATCCTGCAACAGCACTCTTATTTGAGAATAACCAAGCCATGGACATTGCAGGAAGAAAAGAAGGCCCAGCCAAAAGTCTAGTGATGGTCACCACAGAGCAGAGGAAGTACCCAGGGAGAACCATACATCAACCAAGATATTGGTGCTTAACATCTCATGCAAAACATTGACTACTCTACAGGTGTGTTGAGAGAAGGGTTTTGGCTTTGTACCAACAAACTTCGTAAATAATCGGACATTAAATATGGAGATGGAGCATTTTTAAGGTATATTCACTTCAAATGTTTTTTTCATATGCGTGGATCAAGAGAGGTTGAGCAACGTGATCCATGTCAAATAGATTTGGATAAGATTAGTTGGAAAACTAAAAAAAGATGCAAGATACGTAGGAGAGTTAATGACTCTTCAAGAAATGAGGGATGAGACACAATATCAATTACACCAGCAGATAAACATGGGGCATTGATGGCGATGGATACCAGCAAATATGTAGCTGAGGTTACCAAACAAACAATTTGGCAATGTACATCACTATAGATTATTGGATGATGATACTACAGACTTACAAAAATGCATTGGAAAGATAACAGGTGGTGCCATTGAACAAGGATTAATTGAGCAGACAATGGTCAAGTTTATCCTTAAATATTGTGGGAGTGCTTCCACACCTCCTGTCCAAAAAAAGAAAATGTACCCTATATACCTGAGCCAAAACATACATGTTGTATAAAAGCTTTGTCTGGATATACAAAGGTTTTCTCAAAGGCTGCCATAAACAGATTAGCTTTCAGAGAGGACACGTTGAACCCCATTTCCTTCTCTTGTACCTGTAGGAAGTAATTATCTTCAACACAGATAACTCATCCAATTGCTGTATAGCCCCAAATACTGCCTTAATGCCCTCTTAATGAGGTATTGACATATACAAGTTAATACCCATTGTGCACAGTAAGAGACTCCAGTTGATGAATAAAGTCAGTGGTGTCATGAATGTACTCCCCTGTAGGGACTGTAGATAAGCATCAAACTTAAATAGAGCGTGTACCACAGATCCACAGCCTGATACAATAGGGCAGTCAGTGGATCAATAAGATTCTTGTGTATTTTGCCCAAAAGATATAAAAAAAAAATAAAAAAAGCATTCTTTTCTAATACAAAAGTAAATATAAACATAAATAATTAAGCCCTGTGTCCAAACTCACTACTCCTGGGCAGCATCAATGACTATAGTACACATTAGCCCTAATACAAAAACACCAAACAAAAAGTTACTTGCGAACTATTCCAAAACCCCTTTTTTTTTTAGTATCACCTTTGATTGCCATTTAGGTGTAAATGTAAATTCACCTGCCACGTCAAGGCAAAACCTCTTAGGTGAGTCCTACATTAACAATTCACCTTGCTGTCCTATGAGGTGTACTATAGCCATTGCTGCTGCCAAGGAGTAGTGAGAGTTTGAGAATAGGGCTTCATTTTGCATATTTGTATTTGCTTTTGTATTACACAGCCATGTTAGTGTTGCCGTCCACCCCATGTGTTCCTTCTTAAAGGTTCATAAGTGAGTATAGGTTTAGAAAAATACTGCTCTCTGTCTCAGAGATTTTTTACTTTATAGCTCCCCTCTGTCAGCTTGGGCCATTTTGCATGACTCCAGACGGACAGGTGAGCTACATGCAGAGCAAAAGTGAGATCGACATGCAGCTCTTTTAAGTGGAGATTTAAATCCGTGCAGTGTGAGCAGGGTTAAATCACTAGATACCCGAGGCTCCTCTCTGTGAGCTCGGCCATTTTTAGTGGCCCCAGAGTTTTTGATGAGCTGCATGCAGTGCTGAAAGTCAATCAAGCTCAGCCAGTGATTCTCTCACTAGATCTGTTTATTGGGAGACCCCTAGGGTCTAAACAGGCCCTGGAGGGTCACCCTCTATGCCTCAATGCAATGATGATCTGTGTTGGGCTTTGTCAGTTGCCCAGCACAGATCGCAATGCATTTGGTATAATGTCTTCAATAGAAGAGTGTGCAATACTGAAAATAGCCAGGAGATAATGTGCCACTCTTTATTTTAGATGAGAAACCCTTTACTAACATTATTGTATAATGCTTTCCTATAGGTTTTTAGGTGACATCTCTTCTGGATGTATTTTTGGTTATTGTTTGCACTTCCTTTGGATTAAAGGGGGCAATCACGTTTACTTGTCTGCACTTAATATTTATTGCCGTACTTATCCATTTTGTTTAGTAAGAAAAATTAATCAGAAAAAAGTGGGATGAAAGAAAACGTAAACAGTTATAGGACATAGAGATAATTTTAAATTATCACTTAACTGGAAATTCCGAAAGGCAAATAAGAGACAGAACAAGAGAAGATCCCAGAAAGAAGTCACCGGAAAATGTTGGTAGCCAGAGAAAGTGAGGGACAGGAGTTCATCCAAGGAATTCACTCAGACATACTTGTATGTATTTTGGGATATCCATGCAGGAGTGATATTTTTTTACCTCAATAGCTCTTGGTAGGAAGAGGTGTGCTGGACTGTTTTTTACCCTGATTGGTCAAGATGTTGGTCCACTGTAACATGCATATACATGTTGCTAGACTACCAACATGGAGGTGATAATCTGCTATGCATGCAAGAGTGGCTTATAACTAAAGTTATTTGCTAACATTACTGCAGCTATAAGCCTGCTACTTGGCCCACATACAAAGGAGCAATGTTTACTTCCCACATTGAGAAAATCTAATTTGTGATGCTACAGGTAGGCACACATGTAATTGGAGGCTCAGCAAATCACTGCGCAGAGCTCAGTTCAAAATACTACGACCAGATATTGACAGCCTTATGTCTGTCATCAGCTTCACTAATTCTATTTAAAGATTTTAAAGGTATTTTACTGCTTAATGCATTACTTGTAAACTATATAATGCATTAAAAAATGCTGTGCCAGCTCCTCAAGTTTGTCCCCTAAATTACCTGTCTATCATAGTTCAACAAAAATACCTAAAGAGTGTGGCGCACTGGAAAAGGAGAGTGGACTACACAATACAGATAGCACCTGTTACTCCGTTACCGGTTTCCAAACAAGAGGACTAGAGATGCAGAGTACAGTAATGTAAAACCACTTTTATTTTTGCAGGATTTACAGTACATTTTAATAAATATTGTTCCCTAAATTGCACAGAGCTTGTTATGACAAGGACAAAAATGGTCCCTGAAGAGTGGCAATTAAATGGACAGACATCAATTGGAAAGTTGGGTGGAATCAATTCTGCTTCTTTGGCATTGCAGCAATGAACAACTCATAAAGAGCATATCCTGTTCCTGAAATGAAAAGATCATTGGTATTATATTGCAGCATACCCAGCAACAACATCATAAGTAAAATTCACTTGGGAATGGAGGACAGCTCTTCCTTTGGTGGAGAAATAAAAAAAAATTTTACCTTCCAAATTTTCCACTTTGACCTAAATTTAGCAATTCACCACAATACACTTTCTTAATAAACAGACCTAAATACACTATTCTTACTCTACAATGACATTGTAACAACATTTGTAATCTCTTGCAGCAACATATTTTAAAGGGACACTATAGTCACCAAAATAACTTCAGGATAATTAAGTAGTTTTGGTGTATAGATCATGTCCCTGGAGTATCACTGCTCACTGCTCAATTTTCTGCCATTTAGGAATTAAATCACCGTTTATACAGTCCTAGTCACACCTCGCTGCATGTGACTTACACAGCTTTCCTAAACACTTCCTGTAAAGAGTCATCTAATGTTAATACTTACTTTACTGGGAATGTTTAATTCAGAATTTATCTCCTGCACTGTAAATAGCTTGGTAGACCATGCATGAGCATCCCGTGTGTGATTAAAATTCAATTTACAGTGCAAGAAATAAAAAAATAAAAAACTTTTAAAATAAGTTACATCTGATTGAAAGGAAAACTATATTGTTTTCATGCAGACTGTCAGTCAAAGACAGGAGAGATGTGGCTAGGACTGCATAAACAGAAAGAAAAGTGATTTAACTCCTAAATGGCAGTGAGTCTTCAGAGGCATGATCTATACAGTAACACTGCTTCATTAAGCCAGAGTTGTTTTGAAGACTATAGTGTCCCTTTAAAGTGTGTCAGAGGTGTGCCTAAAGCACCGATGTTCATTAAAAATAAAGCAAATGACATTTTTTTTTTAATAATAATAATAATCTCTTGCAATATTTTGAAAAATAAATAAAAACACCTCCTGTCACATAGCAACCAAGATCCAAAGGTTATTATTGCACAATGTCACTGGTAAGTATGGCACTGTTAGGCTGCATGTAGCAAGGATTAGTCTGACATGTTGCCATGCTTACACATATTTTGGAATAAATACACACACAAACACCAAAACAGCTTAAAAAGTAAAAGACAATTTGTACACAATATATATTTTTCCTCTTTCCACAACTCTCCCCATGTTCACTGACAGTTACAAAGGGCAGAGCTAATAACACACATATATTCTGCAGTTTGTCTTGTCCTGCATGCTAAAGCTAGTTGCTCCCTGCCCTGCTCAACATTGGTTTCGTTAACTTAAATGTTATTCAACATCCTGCTTATCTCTAAAGATTTTCTCTGTTATTTCTTCTCCCCCCCCCCTTATTTTATTGATACCCACCCGAATGTCTTGCTTGACCAATCCTCACCTCCTCTGTGCATCTCCATTCCATAGCTTTTATTGCAGTCCTGTTTTGACCCTATCATCTCTGTCTTCCACAGTCTGAGTTTTAAAAGACCACTTCTAGCAAACCTGAACAGTGCTCAGATTCCCGCCCACCCCTCACCACCTCACCCCACGTTCCTTACTACATTTATAGATAGAATCCCACACACAACGTTAATTCCAAATAGCAGCTGCAAACACTACCCATAATGAGCACAATCCACCTTCTTAACCCCTAACACTCACTCCCTCTCCTCCCTTATGCTCATTCTCCTTCCCTCTAATTACCTACCTATCAGAGCAACGCTCTATATTCTCCTCCTCTCCTTCTCGCTCATCTCCCTAAGGATCAAAATATCCCCTTCCACCCACTTCCCTCAACAAAACACTAACATTTACATTAATCCCTCTCTGCTACACTCCCCCTTCTCTCATCTCAAGCCCTGCACTTATTTCTCTATTCTCTCTCTCCTGCTCTAACCCAATCTCACCCTAGTCGCCGCCCATATAAAACCCACTCACACCTCCTGTCTATCTCTCCTCCTACTTCTGGCAGCTGGTGATGTCTCTCCCAACCCAGGGCCCCTCACCTCATCTACTCACACTAAAATAACCAGAAACCATGCAAACCTCCACCAAATACCCTGCAGTCTATCCTCCTCTACCAAAATTCAGTGTGCACTCTGGAATGCTCGCTCCATTTGTAGTAATATCAAATCTACAGCTATACATGACCTCCTCATCTCTAACTCTCTCACAATACTGGCACTCACTGAGACCTGGCTATCTCCATCCGACACCGCTACTCCTGCTTCTTTATGTTTCGGTGGTCTACAGTTCTCCCATACTCCTAGATTTGACTGTAAAGGAGGTGGTGTCGGCATCCTTCTCTCCCCTCAATGTACCTTTCAACCTATCCTCCCTGCCCCATCCTTTACTTCCTTTGAAGTTCACACTGTACGCCTTTTTAAGCCCACTCCTTTAAGAATTGCCATCATCTATCGCCCCCCCGGTCACCCTAAACTATTCATTGAACACTTTTCCTCCTGGTTACCCCACTTTCTTTCCTCTAGCACTCCCTCTCTCATACTTGGGGACTTCAATATCCCTATCAACAAGCTCAATTGCCCTGATGCCTCTCGTCTGCTCTCTGTAACCTCCTCCTTTGGACTCACACAGATTTCTTCCTCGGCAACTCACACTGCAGGAAACACTCTTGACCTCATCTTCACCAATCTCTGTACTACCTCTGATCTCGCCACTGCTCCATTTCCTTTGTCTGACCACCATCTGCTAACATTCAACATCTGCATACCCCATACATCTGCATACCCCATACCAAAATCTCCAACCTCGCAGAAACCTCAACTCTCTCGATCTCCATCACTTCTCCACTAAACTCCAAACACTCCTTTTACCCATCTCAAATCACAACTGCCCTAACTCTGCAACCTCACTCTACAACTCCACTCTCTCCTCTCAACTTGACATCATGGCACCTCCTACAGTTAAACGCAGCAAGCGCCCCCAACTACAACCCTGGCACACCAAGCTGACCCGTTACCTCCAAAAATGTTCCAGAACTGCTGAACGCTGCTGGAGAAAGTCTCACTTTGCATCTGACTTTGTCCAATATAAATTTATGCTGCGCTCCTACAGCATGGCTCTTTCCTCTGCAAAAGTAAGCTACTTCAACACCCTCATAAGCACACTGTCCCACCAACCCAAACACCTGTTTCACACTTTTGATGCACTTCTTCGCCCTGTGACTCCCCCTCCTTCCACCACCTTGTCCGCCACAAACTTTGCATCTCATTTCACTGAGAAGATCTCTACAATCAGGAACGAGATCTCTAATCTTTCTCCAACCAATATCAATACATCACCCAACCCCACTCCCCCTGTCATCCTAAGCTCATTTGCACCTGCTACAGCACAAGAGGTTTCTGCTCTGCTCTGTCCTCCCGCCCCACCACCTGCTCCCTCAATCCTATTCCCTCGCATCTCATCCGCACTTTGTCTCCCTCTCTTGCTCTTCCTCTCGCTAACATTTTCAATCTCTCCCTTTCCTGGCACATTTCCCTCTGCCTTCAAACATGCAACCGTAACCCCAATTCTGAAAAAGCCCAACCTCGATCCCAACTCCCCATCCAACTACCGCCCTATCTCGCTACTGCCATTTGCCTCCAAGATCCTCGAGAGAGTTGTCTACGCCAGATTGACAGACTTTCTTGAATCCAACTCTCTGCTTGACCCCCTTCAGTCTGGATTCCGCGCTGGTCACTCTGTCGAAACTGCTGTGACCAAAGTATCCAACGATTTAATTGCTGCTAAATCTCGCGGCCAATACTCTATCCTAATCCTCCTTGATCTTTCTGCCGCCTTTGACACTGTTGATCATCAACAGCTTCTTCACATTCTCCGTAACTTTGGTCTACGGGATTCTGCTCTCTCCTGGTGCTCCTCCTACCTCTCCCAGCGCTCCTTCAGTGTTTCTTTCTCTGGCTCTGCCTCTTCTCCCCAACCCCTCCCTGTCGGCGTCCCCCAAGGTTCTGTCCTCGGCCCCCTACTGTTCTCTATCTATACTGCCTCCCTTGGTAAACTCATCAGCTCTTTTGGCGTCCAATACCATTTATATGCAGATGACACGCAAATCTACCTGTCCTCCCCTGATCTCTCTCCGCCCACCTTGACTCGTGTTTCTGACTGCCTCTCTGCTATTTCCAACTGGATGGCTGCTCACTTCCTTAAACTCAACCTGTCCAAAACAGAACTTCTAGTTTTTCCTCCCTCAAGTGCTGCTACTCCTGTGTCTGTCGCCATCCAAGTCAACGGCGCTACTATCACCTCTACCTCCCAGGCTCGCTGCCTAGGAGTTCTTTTTGATTCTGATCTCTCTTTTACTCCCCATGTTCAATCGATAGCCAAATCCTGTCGCTTCCAACTCAAGAACATAGCGCGCATCCGCCCATATCTAACGCCGGACGCGGCTAAGGTACTGGTTCATGCTGTTGTTCTCTCTCGCCTTGACTATTGCAATCCCCTTCTCACCGGTCTTACATGTTCCCAGCTTGCACCGCTGCAATCTATAATGAATACGGCTGCGAGGCTTATTTTCCTGTCCGGTCGCACCTCCCACGCCTCCACGCTCTGTCAGTCCCTGCATTGGCTTCCAGTTAGATATAGGGCCCAATTCAAAATTCTGGCGCTTGCTTACAAATCCCTACATAATGCTGCTCCAACATACCTATCCTCCCTCATACACAAGTATGTCCCGACGAGACCCCTGCGCTCAGCCCAAGACCTACTCCTATCCTCTGCCCGGATCCCCACCTCTGATGCTCGCCTTCAAGACTTCTCCAGGGCTGCACCTATTCTGTGGAACTCCCTTCCCTCCTCAATCAGACTTTCACCCAGCCTCCATTCCTTCAAAAAATCTTTGAAAACTCACTTCTTTATTAAAGCGTATCAATTAAACTGTCAGCAGGTTTCTCATCCCCCACCCCATGACTCCGTTCCTTCACCTGTCAAAAATGACCTACCAAGCACTCAATAAACCCTTCTGTAACAAACTATTTAATTCCCCTACTTTAACCCTTTGTGTCACTATACCCCACTCCCTCTAGCATGTAAGCTCATCGAGCAGGGCCCTCAACCCCCTCTGTTCCTGTACGTCAGTGGTCTGATCTCAATTATGTGTCTGTTAGTCCACCCATTGTACAGCGCTACGGAATTTGTTGGCGCTATATAAATAACAACAACAACAACAACAACAACAGTGATTAATATAGAGTCAAGATAAAGGCACTCCATTGCAAGATAGATGAAAGTATTTATAGGTGTAATTTTGTTTTTCAGACAACATAAAGCATATCTGTTGAATACAGAGAATAAGGAAACATGATATTAAAAATTTCTGAAAAGTAATGTGTTCCCCTTCATATGTTGAACAATGGTCAATATACATCATGATGTTGCTAAAAGTGGCTGGTGATTTAAACTTACCCAAAACAGTAAGAACCATTGTTCCTCTGTAAAATAGGGCATCTCCAACTCCTCCCTTTAAATGAACTGGAATGCCATTATCTTCCTATAGAAAAAAAAAAATAAAAAAATAAAAACTACATATAAAAGTGATTTATCAAAAAAGATTAACAGTGTTAATTTGTTTAGTTTACTTAGAAACTGCCTACTCACAAATTGTGAAACAGATGTTAGTTCAAGGTAAGCGACAAGGTCAGTTTAAAGCAGGAAATCACATATAGGTATATGGATAGAATTCAAAACCAATAACCAGATATGTCAGGGTAGAGGAAATTGTTAAAATATATATATTTTTTAAATTACAAAAAAAACTACTTGTCCAAGGTACTAAAGTGGTAGTCCAATCTACTTGTCTGGACACAAAACTCTAAACTACAAAGTTTGGGGACCCTGCTTAGTCTTAGACATTGGTATGGTTATTCACTAAACTCAGACTTTTCCCAGATTAAATCTGAAAGAAAAAAATGGTTTTATATTAATGATAAAAGTATTTCAGATTTTGGTGATGCTTTCAAGAAAATGCTTACCTGCCTCTTTGGATCAAATGATCTTCAGGACTTGACCATTCTGGTGCTTAGCTGTTGCACATAGCCAGTCTTTTTCAAGAGTTTATCAAAGAAGGGTTTTAATTTGGAGGGGTTTATTTTATGGTCCCACACTATAGGTTTGTAATTTTTTTATAGATTATCAGAACAAATTTCTCAAGTACATAGCTAAAATTTGTTTGCTCAATATATTATGTTTAATTAAAAAACATATTTGTTTATTTTATTTTTTTCACACTTCCTTGGATATGCCACACTTTTGCAAAGTATAACATTGTTTATAAAATTAATTCCTATATGTAGTTCATGCGGTCACTGTGTAAGAAATGAAGGGGGGGAATCAATGATGGGTTGTTATTGATCCTAAAGCCCATAAATTAATAGATAAATGGGGTCAAATTAAAATTGCAAAAGCCTAATGTGAATAAGTGGATATGTTATAAGCAATCAAAACAATAATATGTGCAGAATTAGATACCTGGAATAGCTTCTGCTTGTCTGGAATTTTATTTAGCAGTGGTCGCCGACTAGAGCTGCTGATAGCTCTTTGAGAAACATGACGAAGAGTCTGAAACAAAGATAAGAGAAAACAAATATAATTAAAAAATATAATGTTAAATAGGACTATCAAAATGAACAGTGCTCTGAACAAAGCTCAAATTCTATTTGCCCATTTTGACTGGATTTGCAGCCACAGCAACCTGCTAACACAATGAACAAAACCTAACCCTATCTGTAGTACAGGTTCTCATTTAACAGAATCCCTGAATAACACAACTAAAACACATATTCTGCCAACTGATCTGAAAGTGATGTCAGATAAATTAAGAGTAAGTGCACTTTGAGGTCTACTTAAAACAGACCAGAGATCTGAACTGGTAATATGAGTTAAGGTCAGTGCAGAGAGTGATGAGCTTTCTCCAGTTGTTCTTCATGATGGTAGCACAGGTGCAATGCATGGCTAATTAATAGTGATAAAAAGTAAAAAATAAAAATTCTTAATTTTACAGTTTTTTTATTACTATATATGTAGTAAAATACTTCTCCACAGACTGGTCTCCACCGCATATTATTACACTTTTGGAGCTAAAGTTTATTTACAGCAAGATAGTGCTGTTCACCATTTCATTGGTTTGAAAGAGGTGATTAGGCAAATGTAATAGTGTGAAGAATAGGCATTCTACATTCACATGATGGATGGGCATTCTCATTTCCTAAAAGTAACATGCTAGTTATTATGGCTCAGTATGAAGATATAAATTATTAAAGCAATACTCCTAGCACCAAAACCATTTCATGTACCCAGATTACCAGTCTTGTAAACTTCAAATGTTAAAGCACTTTGAATGGTTAAACACTGAACTAGAATGTCTCTCCTGCAGTGGTTATCAAATATGGAAAAATTGGCTCTAGCAGCTTAGCTGATGCTCTCAGGCTATCACTGCCAGTCCCAAGCAAGCAATGCTTCAAAATGTACATACTTATCGAAACATTTTCAACAGTGTCATGGCAGATGTTCTAATGAATAAGGTCTTGAGGTATGCGTGACGATTTTGAATGTGCAGTTGCAGGTTCTCTTTCAGTGAGTGAGTACATTTTCAGTGTAAAAATGCAGTTTACAACACCACATTCACATTAATCCACGAAGAAGAAAAAAAATAGCGTTGCATTGACATAAAGGGCTTAAAATAAAATGGAAGTTTAAAATAAATACATTTTTAAAAGCATCTCAATTTTATTATTTGAGACAAGAATTGACAAGTGCAGTTGTCAAGTAAATGCAAAATATAGAACTCTGGGTCAGTGCACTGATGGTCAAAAAAAGGAAACAAAATCTATTTTCTCATTTTCCCATGAAGGAAGAATACAGTGTTAAGAATTCATGGAAAACCGTACTATTGTATTGTACTGCTGGTGGTGGTGGTAAAGGGATGGGTTCAATTTACAGCTTCTGTCACTTGAAGAAAATGCATAACCTCTTTCTCATGAACCAGGAAGTGCTACTGCAGCACGTACACACTTCAGGCAGCAAGGAAAAAATTGGTGCAGTGCAAAATACAAATACACAGTTCTAGTGTAGGGTGGCACATTGAAAAAAAAAATATATATATATATATATATATATATATATATATATATATATATAACTAGTATGACTAGCTTTGTTAAAAGACAAATTATTAATTATTTTATATTGAGAGTCTAAGAAGAAAACCTTTCATTACGTATGTTATGACAGAAAAAAAATAAAAAGGTTTTATTTTATGTTCATAAGAACTGTTCACGACTGCATACTTGCCAACCAATTTTAATATATCAATGGAAGTCAGATTGCTAGCAAATGAAAATTAGAAATTGTATTAAGAATTTTGTTAATTTGACCTTTCTGGGCTTTACCACTATGATGACATCCCCCAAAATGTAGCCTTCTATCTATTCTGGGCATGCAGTTGTGTCACTCAATGGCACCACCAATGCACAGATTGCATTCATTCTACTTGAAGGTGAACATGTCTCACATACAACCATCAGAAGTGTTAGAGAAGTCAATGCACATCTAACGTTCCTGCAAATCAATGCAAAGTACATTTGTAGAAACTGCAAAGCCCAACAAATTCCTAGATGTTTACACCAAATACTGCAATAAATATCTACCATTTACTAATCTGGAATGGAGGGAAACTGGCTAACGAATGTAATATTTTAGGCCAAAACGATATCGATCCCCAATAATAAACAAGGTGAATCCTCTAACCTTAACTAGCTTAGAGGGACCCAGGCTAGGGCTGTGAAAGGTTACAGCTAATTCCGCATTCACCCCAAATAACTGATGGATTTAAATAGAATGCTGTGCACCCTCCATGATGAAACATTCTATCTGCCTTGTACTAGACACACGCCATGCAGGGCTGTCCTCCGTGGCTGTATGAAGTCCATATCCACCCTGGCTATCTGGCTGAGGTCAGTGGGATTTGTCACCAGCCCTGGGCTGCACTGACCGCACAGCACTATTAATACATATCATTATCGCTGCTGCGAGGGTATTCAGATTTACCAGTAAATTCCGTAACATCTTGCTGACCGGTCTCCGCGCCTCACACAGCCGCTTCCGTTTACCCTAGAAAGGACAAGGACACCAGCAGAACGGAACGGGAAATGGTCTGCGGCACCGGAAGTGCCCATGTTTAAAAGCTACGCTATAAATCATTGAGTGAGGTGCGAGGGCGCCATTTTACATATTGGCAAAATTATGTCTTATTGTACAAAGTAATGTTTTGCTAGGTTAGTGCGGGGATAGAGGTGCATGAGCGTGTTATGAATGTGTACATATTTACGACGAAATTTGCAAAAGCCCTGCCATGCTCAGAGATGGAGGGTGCTACTAATAGAAAGCATAGAGTGTAAACTGGCACAGAGCGTCCCATACTGTAAACCTCTCTGCACTCCACTGACACCTAGTGGCAACGTCTAGCCAGCGGCGGGGACTGAAGGTGCAATATAAAGGGAAATCTGCTTAAAGGACCACTATAGTGCCAGGAAAACATACTCGTTTTTATGGCACTATAGTGCCCTGAGGGGCCCCCCACCCTCAGGGATACCCTCCCGCCCAGCTCTGGAAAGGGTTAAGGGGTTAAAACGTACCTTTTTCCAGCGCTGGGAGGAGAGCTCTCCTCCTCCGATCCTCCTCTTTTCCTCCCATGCGGCTGAATGCGCATGCGCGGCAAGAGCTGCGCGCGCTTTCAGCCGGTCACATAGGAAAGCATTCATAATGCTTTCCTATGGACGCTTGCGTGCTCTCACTGTGAAAATCACAGTGAGAAGCACGCAAGCGCCTCTAATGGCTGTCAATGAGACAGCCATTAGAGGATTAGGGGGAAGGCTTAACCCATTCACAAACATAGCAGTTTCTTCTCTGAAACTGCTATGTTTATGAAAAAATGGGTTAACCCTAGCTGGACCTGGCACCCAGACCGCTTCATTAAGCTGAAGTGGTCTGGGTGCCTAGAGTGGTCCTTTAATACAAACACAAAGATAAAGCACCGCGCTTACAGCAGCGACTTAGTATCCAACAGCTCAAAATACATAGTAAAAACAAAGAGAACGTTACCTGCGCTCTGGCCTAAATCCCCATGTACATTTAAACAAAATGGAGGCTCTTTAGTTTTATTCCAATGGCCATGTGAATATATAAGCTCACCTGCCACATCAAGGCAAGCCTCAATAGGTGAGTTCCTACACTAGCCATTAGATATGCTGATTTCAGCCAAGAATCTCCAGTTTATAAACCCTTTCACATTTAACCCTTTATAGGGCTTCTACACATACAATAAACTTTGCTCGTATCAGACAAAGTGTAAACATTGATTCAGGATTCAGCTGTAAGCATTTGCAACACTTACAACAATCAAGTAACATACATTCATATAAAATGTAAGTTACTTGGCCAGTCAGTGTAATGAAAGGAATGAATAAGTAGATAATTCCCACGGTATTAGGGAGCTATCTACTAAAAGGCTGAAAGACCTGAATTGGTCTTTCAGCAAAATTTACTAATACTAAGTAAAGATTACTTAGTATTAGTAAATTATGCCCCTACTCGCTATACCGTGAGTAGGGGATTGTCTATTATTTCCGAAGTGTCGAAGTCCCGAATTTTGGAATGCCGAGCCGAACCGAAAAATTTTCCCATGCACATGCCTAGAAATTACTAATTACACAATTTGATACCATTCCTTTGTGTGTAAGTTAATCTTAGCTCTGTTTTTTCCCATTTTGTCAGATATTACGGCTAAATTGCAAAACCCTGGTTCTGGTCCTTTAATCCAGGTATAGTATTTATTTTACTTCAGTTTCTGTTTTGTCAAAGCCTCAGGCAGCCTTCACTTTACACTTGTCACTCTGTATCGAATCACTCATTCAGACCCCCCCCAGGACCTCACGCTGCACTCATACGTCACGCTCACTCAGATCTACATCTGTCACAAACCCATAGGTTTCTTCTATATCACCAACCGCTGTGCCTCTTCTAAATTGCAAAAACCCTGGTTCTTGTCCTTTAATCCAGGTATAGTATTTATTTCACTTCAGTTTCTGTTTTTTCAAGGCCTCATGCAGCCTTCACTCTACACTTGTCACTCTGTCTCGTATCACTCGTTCAGACCCCCCAGGCACTCATGTTGTGCTCATACGCCACGCTCACACAGATCTAAATCTGTCTCAAACCCCTTAGGCTTCTTCTCCAGACCTAGCTCACCGAGGCATTTACAGGCCCCGCAAGGCCATCTCCCACCTCAATACGGAGGTACGGCCCCCCGTCCAAATCATAGTTAAACGCCTCATTCGCTCTTCTAAAAGGCCGTAGTCAGGGCCTCACTTTCCACGGCCACACGTTTTGAATCTCTTGTCATCGAGAGGCCAACATCCCACCACCACACCTGTGGCAACGTAATTACCTCTGCCAAAATCATAGATAGAGCCTCTCACCTCCACTTGGCACGAGTAGGGCCTCATCTGTCACTAGTCAAAGTTAAGTTTTTCGCTTCGGCAATAGCCTTACAGTCCAGTTCACCTGAGGAACCCCCTTTGCCCCTCCCCCTTTTGTGTCAATTTCTCAGACGCCCCTACGAAATCCAATTCATTAATTAGTTTCTAGAATATCTCAAGATACAGCTCCCATTGATGAGTTGCCTAGCGATGAGATACCATTCACTCCTATCAAACCAGAGTCTCCTGGCGAATCTCTCGCCCCTTCTATCCCTACGTCTTTGAGAGCATGGACTATTCCAAAAATTACGACCGAACTTAGGCTTAGGGGCATCCCCTTTCTTACTATGGCTCGTAAGGTGGAACTCTACAGACTTTTGACCAACCAGGCCCCTGAGCCTAGGTCAGGCACTAGCTCTCAAGGTCAACCATCTGGCGCTAGCACAGCCCCCCAGGACACCCTTGCGGCAATCCTGGCCAACCTGCAGACCTTGAACAGCAGGTTAAGCAAGGTGGAGAGTGCCATCGCCTCCCCAGGTAACCTTCCTGACCTCTCAGCCCGGCAGTACCTATGGCACCAATACCCGCCCCTATACTTTCCCCTTCAGCTCCTGCCTCAGATACGTCTTTTGTGTCACCAGCTCACTCCGCCCCCGACGCCATTAGGAAAGAAATCCTGGATGGAAGGACATGTGTCTGGTGTCATTGCTTATAGCCTCCCAAGACGTGCTGGAGAACAGGGCTTATAACTTTGGGGATATTTTGGTGGTTCTTAAAACCAGAGACCCTAGTCTCAACAAAAAAATGATCTATTCCCAATTTCGTTTTGGCTTTCGGTATATACCATGATGTAATCTGCTCGGTATATCCCCACAGGAGAGAGGAACTGGACCTCTCCCTCCATAAAGTGGTGGATTTGGGCGTCAAGTACGGGGGCTCACCTTTTTATGACTATCATAAATCGATATTGTTACAAAGACTCTATATACTGTTACAACATAACTCTCTGTCAATTACAAACCCCTATTATGCAGCATTTCGACCATACTGTCAGGGTACCTGTTGGTGCTGAATCCAGGGAAGACATCCTCTCTGTTTAGGGGCTCCCTGCCCCTAGCATTTCGGCATATTCCGGCCGTTTTCGCGCCGGCCGCGCTAGCTCCTCCCCCTTTTATGACGCGACGGCTAGCGTCGACGTCATGACGTCGGCATTTACATAAAGTGCCGGGAACCGCTATTCCGGACCTTTTGGGGGCGTGGTCTCTATTTAGGTAACAGGGTATTTAAAGGAAACCTTTACTACTGCTCATTGCCCTGTCGTGGTTCTAGCTTGCTAGTCACTCAGCGCGTTCTTTATCTTGTGTTTCCGGTTTTGACCCTTGCTTGTCTTTTGTCCTGTTGTTCTCTCCTCTCCTTTGACTCGGCTTGTATCTCGCTTACCTGTCCTCCGGCTCCCTCGACCTCGGCTTACCTTTTGACTATTCTTGCTTTGTCCCTACGTTAGTCCGGCCATTCTAAGGTCCGGTATACGTACCTCCTTCTGTCAGCACTCTGCGTATTGGATCCCTGTCAGTATCCTGACATTACGACAGGGCCAGATGGATCCTGCAGGTGCTAGTCCTCCTGACCCCAGATTTGAGGCCATGGACCATAGAATGGACCAAATGGCTTTAGCATTACAAACTTTGTTAACACGCTCCAGTACCCAGTCTGAAGAAATACGTTCCACTGCTAGCCACTCGCTAAGTACTGGTTTGGAAGTAGCCACTGTAGGCGCATCTTCCCATGTCACTTCACCATTACGATATGGGGGTTCGCCTGATGCTTGTCGTGGTTTTTTAAACCAGATAAGCATACATTTCGAACTTCAACCCCGGGCTTACCCCACTGACAGGGCTAAGGTAGGCTTTATTATAACCCTGCTAATAGATAAAGCACTTAGATGGGCCAATCCCCTTTGGGAGAATGACAATCCTTTAGTCTACAACTACACTGCTTTTGTCACGGCTTTTAGAAGAACCTTTGACCCCCCAGGAAGGAAGATTAATGCGGCCAGATCCCTGTTACGCCTTAAACAACAGAATAGGACCCTTGTAGAATATGCTCTAGAGTTTAGATCATTGGCAGCAGAAGTGAAATGGAACGAACAAGCTTTTATGGATGTATTCTTGAATGGGAATGGGTCTGATGAAATTCTAGATGAAATTGCCACAAGAGAACTTCCGGAAAATTTAGAGGATTTAGTATCCTTCATTTCCAGAATAGATGAACGCATGAGACAGAGGCAGAACACTCGGGAAAGAGTTACTAGACTTCCTGTAAGACTCGCTCCCTCATTTCAGAACCCTGACTCCTATAATCCTACTCCACCAGAACCTATGCAAATAGGTAATACTCGCTTATCTGAGGCTGAGAGACAGTACAGAAGGAGGGAGGGTCTCTGTTTATACTGCGGGCGGAGAGGTCACCTACGTCTTAGTTGCCCTAATCGTCCGGGAAACGCTCGCACCTAAGTTCCCTTAGAGCACGGGCCTTGGGTGTTTCATTACTGTCCTCTATGCATAATAAAAAAGACCATAGGCTTCTGATTCATATCTCTCTAGCTTGGGAAAAGGGGTTTATTTCTACGATGGCCTTATTAGATTCTGGAGCAGCAGAAAGCTTTATAGACCAAACTTTCGCTAATAAGCATTGTATCCCATTCCAATTGAGAGATACACCCTTGGCCGTTGAGGCCATAGATGGTAGACCTTTATCTGAACCAGTAATATTCCATGAGACCGAACCCGTTAAGCTTACTGTTGGTATTTTCCACGAGGAGTTGATTTCCCTTCTGTTAATTTCCTCCCCGGCAGTCCCAGTGGTACTAGGATATTCTTGGCTCAAGAGACACAACCCTCAGATTGACTGGGAGGGTGGAGAAATCGTTTCTTGGGGTATGGGTTGTAGGAAAGAATGTCTGCAGAGAGTTACTTCTGTTTGCCCCGTAAACTCTTATGCTAACACTTCTCAATCCACTGACGTTCAGATACCATTACAATATCTAGACCTCAAATCTGTATTTGACAAGGGTAAGGCGGATACTTTACCTCCCCACCGGTCTTATGACTGTTCTATTAAACTTTTCCCTGGTACTATGCCTCCCAGGGGTACGGTATACCCTCTATCCACCAAGGAAAACTTAGTTTTAGAGGAATACATCAAGGAGAATTTAGACAAAGGATTTATTAGAAAGTCTTCTTCTCCGGCGGGGGCGGGTTTCTTTTTTGTAGAAAAGAAAGACGGTACCTTACGTCCTTGTATAGACTATCGGGGATTGAACAAAATTACTATCAGGAATGCTTACCCTATTCCTTTGATTACTGAACTCTTTGACAGACTAAAGGGCTCGAGTATTTTTACCAAACTTGACTTGAGAGGAGCATATAACTTAGTGCGAATTAAACAAGGAGATGAATGGATGACAGCATTTAATACCCGTTACGGGCATTATGAGTATACCGTAATGCCGTTTGGGCTTTGTAACGCCCCGGCCGTCTTCCAAGACTTGATCAATGAAGTTCTTAGAGAATTCCAACATGAATGTGTAATTGTATATTTGGATGATATACTAATCCATTCTAGAGACATTAATTCACATCATAGACAAGTCAGAAAGGTATTACAGAAACTTTTACAACATGGATTGTATTGTAAATTGGAAAAATGTAGCTTTGACCAGTCTCAGGTAACTTTCTTAGGTTACGTAATTTCCAAAGACGGGTTTATGATGGACCCGACCAAACTAAAATCGATTTTAGATTGGCCTTTACCTAAGGGACTCAAAGCCATACAAAGATTTCTTGGATTTTCTAATTATTACAGACGTTTTATTAAAGGGTACTCCTCTGTTATCGCTCCTATCACTAATATGACCAAACAAGGAGCCGATACCAAAACCTGGTCTACTGAGGCTTTATCTGCTTTCGAAACGCTCAAACAGTCTTTTGCCTCAGCACCTGTATTAGTTCATCCTGATACCTCTCTACCCTTTTTACTTGAAGTTGATGCGTCTGAAACAGGGATAGGCGCAGTGTTGTCCCAAAGACAAAGTTTAGATAAGCCGCTGCACCCTTGCGGTTTTTTTTCCAAGAAACTATCACACACTGAAAGGAGATATGACATTGGTGATAGAGAACTTTTAGCTATCATTATGGCATTAAAGGAATGGAGACATTTGTTAGAGGGCACTGTCCTCCCAGTTACTATCTTGACTGACCACAAAAATTTATCGTATATGGGGGAGGCCAAAAGATTATCTGCCAGGCAGGCACGTTGGTCTATGTTCCTTACACACTTTAATTATATGCTTACTTACAGGCCTGGTTCTAAGAACACTAAGGCAGACGCTTTGTCACGTCAGCACGAACCTATCACCTCTACAGAGGACACTTTGTTCCCTATTATTCCTGAAGTCAATATTATCGCCAACACCAATGTCAAAATACACTCTCCATTGCTCGCTGATATTATGAACGAACAATCTCTTGCTCCCGAACGTACTCCTGTGGGCCGCTTGTTCGTGTCTCCCAAATTTCAAGTGGACATTATTCGCTGTTTTCACGATAGCAAGTTCGCTGGTCACCCCGGCATCCACAAAACTTACTGCCTGATCTCCAAAGACTTCTGGTGGCCCGGTTTACGTAGGGATGTGGAAGACTTTGTCAAGGCTTGCAATGTTTGTGTCAGGAATAAACTTCCGCGGGATCTCCCTTGTGGTTTATTGCAGCCCTTAGTCGTTCCCAACAAACCTTGGGCTTGTTTGGCTATGGATTTTATTGTTGATCTACCAGCTTCCAGTAGGCATACGGTTATCCTCACGGTCCTTGACAGGTTTACTAAAATGGCTCATTTCATTCCCTTGCCTAAACTTCCGTCCTCTCCTGAACTGGCCGTGATATTTGCTAGAGAAATTTTCCGTTTACATGGTATTCCCAATGAGATTGTGTCAGACAGGGGTTCCCAATTTATTTCCCGTTTTTGGAGATCCTTCTGTTCCCAGTTGGGCATCAAACTGAATTTTTCTTCGGCCTATCATCCTCAATCTAACGGAGCAGCCGAACGCACTAACCAAAAAATTGAGCAATATCTACGTTGTTTTGTTTCTGAACACCAGGATGACTGGGTCAGTCTGATTCCTTGGGCGGAGTTTGCTCACAACAACCTTGTTTGTGGTTCCACTCGTAATAGCCCCTTTTTCTTGAACTATGGCTTTAACCCTACTGTTCTTCCGTCGGTGTCTCCTTCCCAGGGTATACCGTCGGTTGATATTCATATAGCCAACCTGAGAAAGTTGTGGGATCAGACTCGACAAATTCTTGAACGTAGTTCCGCGGTGTTTAAGTCACATGCTGATAGGCGTAGGCGTCCTGCTCCTATTTTTTCTCCGGGGATAGGGTCTGGTTGTGTACCAGACACATTCGCCTGAAAGTTCCTTCCTTGAAGTTTGCTCCTCGTTACATTGGTCCTTACAGGGTGCTGAGGAGGATCAACCCGGTTTCTTATTTGCTGGATCTACCTCCTACTCTACGCATCCCTAACTCTTTTCATGTGTCTTTATTGAAACCTCTTGTTTGTAACAGATTTTCCTCCCGCTCTGCTCCTCCATCCTCGGTCCGTGTGGATGGTCAGGAGGAATATATCATCAAGTCCATCCTTGATTCTCGTATTTCTAGGGGGAAGCTGCAATACCTCATAGACTGGAAAGGTTATGGTCCAGAAGAGAGGTCTTGGGTTCCTGGTATAGACGTGCATGCTCCTCGTCTTCTTCGGGCCTTCCACGTTCGTTTTCCTTCTAAGCCCGGTCCCATCCGCCCGGTGGGCGTTTCTAGAAGGGGGGGTACTGTCAGGGTACCTGTTGGTGCTGAATCCAGGGAAGACATCCTCTCTGTTTAGGGGCTCCCTGCCCCTAGCATTTCGGCATATTCCGGCCGTTTTCGCGCCGGCCGCGCTAGCTCCTCCCCCTTTTATGACGCGACGGCTAGCGTCGACGTCATGACGTCGGCATTTACATAAAGTGCCGGGAACCGCTATTCCGGACCTTTTGGGGGCGTGGTCTCTATTTAGGTAACAGGGTATTTAAAGGAAACCTTTACTACTGCTCATTGCCCTGTCGTGGTTCTAGCTTGCTAGTCACTCAGCGCGTTCTTTATCTTGTGTTTCCGGTTTTGACCCTTGCTTGTCTTTTGTCCTGTTGTCCTCTCCTCTCCTTTGACTCGGCTTGTATCTCGCTTACCTGTCCTCCGGCTCCCTCAACCTCGGCTTACCTTTTGACTATTCTTGCTTTGTCCCTACGTTAGTCCGGCCATTCTAAGGTCCGGTATACGTACCTCCTTTTGTCCGCACTCTGCGTATTGGATCCCTGTCAGTATCCTGACACATACGAACGCATGGCACGAACTATTATAAAGGTCTATTCATCTGTACGAACGAGGGACCACCTCGTCCTTGGCGTGTGCCGCCACTTAACCCCGTCACCCCTGAAGATACCGACGACTGACCACCCTACGGGCGGAGTGTGCCACTCATTAAACCACACAAGGGGCTGCAGTAAACCACAAACTAATGGACGGTCCCAGAGGACCCACATTCGCATATAATTCCCCGAAGGGAAGGTGCTGAAAGCTGCACGAACAAAGACCACGTGCATTCCGGCGTGTGGCAGCAATTAGAACGCGGCTCCTGCGGTTAACCGCAGGTTAAGTACCAACTTCTGGGCGGTCGCCCTTCGTCTCCCGAACGGCCTGGACAAGAGCGGGGATTCGTGCACTGTTGTAGCCGACCTCCGCTCCATGAGTATCAGGTCGAGATCCCGCTGTCCATTGACCGAACTCAAAACATGACGGCCATCAGGGATGATACACCAAAGTGCCGAATAAGACTTTCTATGGCAGAAAACCCCCGTTCTGTTCGTGGGAGCTGAGTGCCATTCGTATATTTGATGCGCACAGGTCTGAGCTGTCGAACGAATAGTCGAATTAACTATATTCCCCTTAATGTATTAAAGTTATGTATTTTTATGCTGTTTTCTGGGACACAATAAAGCATGGTCTTTTGGGTGCTTGTAGATAATTAGATTGTATAAACCATTGGCCTCATTATCTCCAAGCTGGGCGGGTACTAGTTTGAATGATACACTGTATTGTGATTGGTTGAATACTTGTACTGTACCTGTATCCCATCAGGTCCATGGGGGGCTGTCCCTGGGGACTTGCATAAATTGCCATGATTGTGTGCCAGTAAAGCCAGTTCGTTTTGACCCTCAACTCGTGTTGTAGGGATCCAGGGATACTAGCTCTACTATAGCTAGTGGGACGTTCTACACTTGCAGGTTTCTACCGATTGAAGCGCCGTTCGACTCTGACTTCGGGAACCAGGACATCCAAGCGATCCAACCTCCTGCTAGCATGGAGGCAATCGTAACAGATATCAGCGAAAGCGGCGACACATCTGAAACAATTTAACATAAGAATTAACTGGTGTCAGATGGATACAGAATTATTCTGTCGCCACTTCGCTGGTCTGAGGCCCCAGTCTTGTGCCATATGTAATTCTTCAACTCACTTGTCTGATTTGTACCCTTCTGTGGCTGAGACGGAGGCCTTGCCGGGTTTCAGAGAGACTTCAGCCCTTTTTAAATTTACCCCATCGTGGCAGCCGCACACACCTGGGGTCATCTCTGGTCCGGCAAGGCAGTAAAATGCTATTCCAACAACTAGTCAGCTTGCGATATCATTAACAAGGGGCGCTCTTCCCACTTACCATCATGCGGCTGATTCGCAAGCTGACCTGGCTGGCAGCAACTGTCCAGTTCCACTTAATTTGCTTTCACATACCGGGTCTCCACAACACGTCCGCTGATGCTCTGTCTCGATCTCAATTCCAAGTATTCTTCCAGGCACTCCCGTCAGCCCACCATCAACCATCCAGAACACCGAGGTTTCACGAGTTAATCCTGGATTGAACACAATTATGCACCACACTAGGACTCTTACTCACCAAGCACTATCACCTAACAACTACAACCTATGGTAGGGCACTTACCGTTTTCAATAAATTCACAGCTGAATTCGGATTACAAGGTGATTTTTCTACCCAAACTATGGTGGCTTTACCTCCTTTTGCCACTTACATTTAAAACTTTCTTAAAATATAATTAAACTATACCTCACGGGGGTGCAGCATCACAGCCTCACAAATTTCCCTAACAACACCCCCTTTTTGTCATCATACCCCATCAAGAAAATCTTAAAGGGTATCTCTAATGTTTCGGTTCCACTTACCACCAGACTAACGCTAGATGGGCCTATCTTTAGATTACTTAGCAATCTCCTTGACGAATCCCCATTTGATCCCAACACAAACCCGGTGATCAAGTCTGCTATTTAGCTTTTTATGGGTTCCTAAGACCCAGGGAATTTACAGTTGTTTGGCAAGGAGATATCACACACAGCCTTAAAACCTCACAAAAGTAGAGGATTACTACGTTCTCACGATCCCATCTACCAAAACTAATCATTCACTACACCTCACTATCATTCCCCTCTTTCAAACAGGTGCTTGGTGTCCGGTTAAGGCACTAGACCACCTACGGTCAACTCATAACACGCACTTACCAGACTCACCGCTCTTACAAGTACAAGGGCACCCACTCACCACAGCAAAAGTCACCACGCATGTTAGAATCTTATTGGAAAAACTGGGTTACAACCCAGCTTTGTTCTCCGGGCACTTCTTCCGAATAGGAGCCGCTTCATCAGCTTCTAGTACAAACACCCCGGTCCACATCATAAAGAGACTGAGTCGTTGGAAATCCTCCATATACAATACGTAGATTCCACGAGCAGAAAGAGAGCTCCCCAAGCCTTCAGGAATTTAGTTATGTAATAAATGCAATAAAGTGTGTTTTTTTTCTTTTAACTTCTCTTTGCCCTCATTTACAGGCCCACTCAGACATTGGTTTCGGCACACCACAACCACCTATCATCTCAGACACTATCCATTACATATTAAATTCCGAGCACAAGTAGAAAGGCCATTAGGCCTGAATTTGTGGGAGGAGTAAGTCCCCTACTTAAACTCCCAGCCCCTACTCACCTCTGACGTTCAAGTGTTCCCCACCCACCAGCACCGTTAGAATATACAATTCTCCTTGGTGGGCCCTCTTATTTACAGGCCCACTAGGACGTTGGTTTCAGCACACCACAACCAACTTTCATCTCAGACACTATCCATTACATATTTAATTCGGAGCACACACACACAGTGAATACATAATCATGTGGCAGCAACTAAATGGTAAAAAGTCAAGTTCTTCTAAAACAGTTTGACTGCTTCCATGGGGTGGGTGTGCCAGAGCATTGCTGGCACCATAACCACCACAGTAGATTGTAGTGGTTATAGGGCTTGGAGTGTTCCTTTAACCAAACATCTGATTTGGGAAGAATTGAGGTCAAAATAATTTTTACTGTGTAAAGATTTTTGGCCTCAGACATGCAAGTTTGATTATTTTAGAAGCTCCAAACACACAGAATATAGTGCAAAATATATAAACAGTGAGTAAGCAGTTGTTTTGTGAGGTGAAACACCTTGTTAATTGGAAAGGTCACAGGGGAATGGCCAAAGTGGTCCAAGGTGACAGAAACTCAAATAGCACAACCAAGCCTGAAGTTATTTGTTCAACTTATGATAGCTAAGAACTTACTCTACCGTGGGCACAGGCACACCAAAACTTACAGAGGAAAGTAGGAAAAATTAGGTCTTCACTTCGAATCTCAGTTTCTGAAATTATGGTCGGAAATGGGTGTAAACAGGACCTAATGATTTCATACTGTTGTGCTGTGTCAACAGTACAGGATAGTGGTGTAGTATAATGGCGCAGAGAACTTTTCTTAACACACATTAATGCCAAACAAGCATTCAATTGCTTTGTAACAATGTACTCAAAACAGGGCTGGGTGCTACACGGTATTAGAAATAATAAAGTACATATGCAGTGTACACACACAATTGACTGAACACATAAAATGAGATTATATGACAACAAATTTGTAACTAAATACATTTTTTATTTAAAACCAGATTAAGTTTTATCAGTTCTGATGGTTCAACGTCTCATGTCTTGGATAGAAAAAAAAAATCTAATACAAATCCCTCCCCCCAATGCTATACCAACCCTTCCACTAACCCTATCCTTACACCTAGCATTAAAAAGGGAATCTACAGTGTTAGGAATACAAAGCTGTATTCCTAACACTATAGTGCCCTCTGGTTCTTCACCCCCTCCCGCCGCCAGCATGTAAAAGGTTACAAAACCATTTACTTGATTCCAGCGCGATGTGTCTTGGCGCTCCACCATCTCTGACGTCAGACAGGGGTACCTAAAATTATTAGTGAAAATTATTAACGAATTGCCTCCCTTAAAAACAAGCCAATAAAAGCACAGGTACTCATACCAATTAACTGAAGTAGAGGTGGAGAGAGAAAAGAATGAAAATCAAGAAGTGGGAACTAATCTGTAAACTTATTTGTATATGTACATATTTTTCTTCCTTCCTTTTTTTCTAATTCTGTTTGTACTAATAAAACAAAGGGACCAACTGCAATGTGTTACACATATGTAATGAAAATCTAGTGGTCACTCCCCAAAAAAAATTTTAATGTGATAGTTTGGATTTTTTTTTTACAATATTATGAGAGTAGGGATTTAACTATAAATATGACAATTACAAGAAAACTTACAGGAACGATAGGTTGAAGAGGACCCTGTTCAAACAAGCTTACAGGCTATAGGAGGTGGGGTATAAAACGCATTAGGACAGGAAATAGCAATCAAATAAGGTGGGAGTGAAGCATAGCTGGAGGAGAGAGTAGAGTGCTGCCCTTTAGGAGAGAGCAAGAGACAGGTATCTGAGGTAGAGGTTATTCTGGGAGGCCATAAGCTTTCCTAAAGAGATGGGTTTTAAGGCACTTCAACAATTGAATGCTAGGGGAGAGTCTGATGGCAGTAGGCAGGCTATTCCATAGGAAGGGAGCAGCCCGCGAGACGTCCTGCAAGCGTGAGTTAGCCGTACGGGTGTGAGCAGTGGACAGGAGAAGATCACGGGCAGAGCGGAGAGACCGAGAAGGGGCATACCTATGAATCTGTGAAGAGATATGAGGGGCTAGAATTGTTCAGTGCTTTATATGTATGGGTTAGTGCTGTGAATTGAAGCCAATATAAGGACTGACAGAGGGGTGAGGTGTGAGAGGACAGACTAGAGGAAAAAGCAGGCTGGCGGCAGCATTCATTACAGACTGTAGCAGGGCAATACGGCTTTTGGGAAGACCAATTAGGAGAGGGTTACAATAATCCATGCGGAAATTACTAGAGCATGGACAAGCTCCTTGGTAGCAACTTGCGTAAGAAAGGGGCGGATATGGGCTATGTTTTTAAGATGGAATCTACAGGATTTGGCAACATACTGGATGTAAGGTTTAAAAGGTGAGGCCAGAATAAAGTATGACACCAAGACAGCGAGCTTGCAAGGATGGACTGATGTGGATACCACTAACTTGAAGGAGGAGCGAAAGAGGAGGATCACTATTAGGAGGGGGAAAGACAAGGAGCTCAGTTTTAAAGAGATTGAGTTTCAGAAAGCAGCAGGACATCCAGTCAGAGATAGAAGAAAAGGTAAGCAGTGACACGTTGCAAGACGGCAGGGGAGAGGTTTGGGGAGGAAAGATATATCTGGGTGTCATCAGCATACAGGAGGAAGTGGAGTCCAAATGAGGTAATAGGTTTGCCAAGAGAGGCAGTTTAAAGAGAAAATAAAAGGGGACTCCAACCAAGACAGGACAAAGGGAGGAGGTACCATTAGAAAAGGAGACACTGAATGAGCATTGGGAGAGATAAGAGGAAAACCACAAGAGGATAGAGTCACAAAGACCGAGTGATAGAAGAGTTTGAAGGAGAGCATGATCAATGGTGTAAAAGGCAGCAGAGAGGTTAAGAAGAATTAGTATTGAGTAGTGGCCTTTGGATTTCATTGAGACTAGGTTGTTAGTAACTTTGAGAAGAGCAGTCTCAGTAGAGTGGAGTGGGCGGAAGCCAGTTTGAAGAGTCAACGGTCAACGAGAGAGTTGGAATTGAGGAAGTGAGACAATACTGGTAAAGACAAGCCTTTCCAGAAGCTTTGAGGAAAAAGGGAGCAGGGATATGAGACGATAGAGGGGAAGGACGGGTGAAGAGATTTTTTTTTCAGGATAGGTACTACAGTGGCATGTTTAAGGTCAGCAGGGACAATGCCAGAAGAGAGAGAGAGAGAGAGAGAGAGAGAGAGAGCAGTTGAAGATGTGTATTAAGGAAGGCACAAAACAGGAGGAGAGAGATCTGATAAGGCGAGATGGGACAGGATCAAGCGGGCAAGTGGTGGGGCGAGAGGAAAGGAGAAGTGCATCCACCTCTTGTTCATTAGTCAGGGAGAAAATCTGAAGAGTAGGAAAAACATGATCAACGTGTGGTTAAGAAAGATAACGGCAAGGTGGGGTGAATCCTTAGCTGTTCAATCTTCTCGGTAAAGTAGCATGCAGGCTGTAAGGTTTGTTTGGGGGGTGCCCACAGCAGGACGAAGAAGAGAGTTAAAGGTGTCAAAGAGATGCCTGGGATTGCGGGAGCATGAACTGAGAGAGGAATATTATGACTGTTTAGCGAGGGCTGCGCTGTATGAACACAATATGAATCTTTAATGTTGATAGTCTGCCTGGGTGCGAGACATCCTCCAGGAGCATCTTTGCAAGTAGGGTGTTGATTTAGTATGCCACGGTGTGTCCTCCTCAAGGTGCATGTTTGGAGCGGGGTTGCAGCGTTCGAGGTAGTGTTATATGCTGAGATGGCCAGTCAGGGACAGGGGAGGGAAGGGATGGATAGCAGTTGTGAATCAGTATCAGATGACAACTGCTGGAGGTTAATAGAATTAAGGTTCCTCCTGAGTTGAGGGGGGGGAGTTAGACGGAGGTTGTTGGGTGAGGGGAATTACTAGAATTACTAACAGAGACATTGGATCAACAATTTGTTAAAATTAAGATAGAATTCAAATTGAATATCAAGAAAATAAAAATCAGAACTATTCTCTCCAAAAATGTAAAAAAAAAAAAAAAATTAAAGTCTGGAATTCATGGTTACTTCTCAACAAGAAGTGAGAATAAAAGAACAGAATTATAACGGAAGATAGCAGAGCTCGAAGATAGATCCAGAGGCATTCCGGAATCAGTCACTGGCAAAAACTTGGGAAAATTCCTAGAAGAATTTATGATGGACCTAGGAATTGAGAAGGAAGGTTACCCACAGTATTTCCAACGATGGCACAGGACATTAAAGGCCCTGCAGTTGCCAGATAATATTCCAAAGGATATTCTTGCTGCTCATCCTCCAAAATTAAGAACATCTTAAAATCCAGAAAAGAAAAAGTACCATCACCACTTTATGAAAAAGATTATGTTTTCCCTAGATTTGTCATATTATACCAGAACGAAGAGACGCTCTTTTTCTACATACACAAGAATACTTAGAGGAAACGACATAACATAAGTGGGGACTTCCAGCTCAAATTTTTATTTGGCACGACTCTAAATAGACACAATTTCAGTCGCCAGACAAATTAAAGGTCTGGTTAAAAGAAATGAACATCATGGAAACAAGAGATTTGGTCTAATAGGATATATGATGCTCTTCTTGATATATATTTAAACTTTTATTATTTTAACTTTTTTTTATATGAAGATAAAGGGGATCTTGATTTAGATCTTATTGATATGCATGAATATTTTATATACCAAATGGTCGGTTAGATAAATTAATGAATAAAGGGGAAATAGAAGTTATTTATTTAAGTTTTATTTATTTTTCTCTCCTCGAAATATTAATTAATAGTTATTGTCCATTTAACACATTTTGATATACATAGTATGAAACATGACAATATATTGAGAAATAAATTAATAGGTTGTGTAACAAACCACCTCTTTCACAGGTAGGATTTTGTCACAGATCTTACAATAACCAAAGCCTTCTAGGGTAATCAAAGTCCAGGACACATCCAGTTTGGTTTTCCTTTTTATTTGATAAGAAAACAGGTGCTTTAAATAATAAACAAATCTCCCCCATAGCGCTGCCAAACAAACTAATTACCATGTTCCAATCTACAATAAACGGGCACATCTGGAAGAGGAAACCACCTCGAGTGGCGCAAAATAGCATGGGACTTCCCTATGACAGGGGAGGATTGGGCCTCCCCATCATAAGGGGTTATTATAGGGCTACAACATTAGCCCAAAGCATCCGATTATTACAACCAAAAAATGCCGGCTTTCAACCATTGTGGCTGGAATTAGAAAACGCCTGCCTGCGGCCATATGACCTGACCCACTCTCTGTGGACACATTCTTATCCCCCGCCAACAACTAAACCCAAGCTACGTTGCACTGAATTCCAAATACGGTCCTGGGTGTCCTGGGGTAAACACATAGTGGGAACAGCAACATTACTTAGATCTGCACCAGTGGAAACGCTGGGGGCTCTATCAACCGACCTGTCACTGAAAACGTGGGCTGACAAAGGTATAGCCCGGGTGGGAGATCTATGCGAAGGCTCAGAAATCATACCGTTCCCCACGCTTCAACAGAAATACTCATTAAGCACGAGGGACATGTTCTTATACCTAAGAGTGAAAAGCGTCCTTCTCACGGCATTAAATAGGGGGCTGGACCCGAATCCCCAGGGGGCACTACAACCGCAACAAATACTATCACACACTATGCTACGGCACCATCCTCCAAGGCCCTATTGCAGGGAAACTTTCCTATATGACCAAATGGGAGGAGGAACTGGGAACTTCGATTCCTTTAGCACAATGGCATGAGGCGCTGCGCAACACTAAACGCGCATCGAGCAGCCTGTCGCTGTGGGAAGCATATTGTAAAATAATGATGCGTTGGTACTTGGTACTGCACAGGCTGTCGCGCATCTACGCGGATGCACCTGCGAACTGCTGGAGATGTGAGGAAAGTAGAGGTACGATGCTACATGTATTCTGGGATTGCCCTGCCTTAGGGGAGTACTGGGATAGAGTGGGCACACTGATACATACCATAACACACTGCACAATCCCCAAAGATGCAAAAGGATACCTTCTACACATAGCCCCTGATTTAGCGAACCACGCAAATCGAACAGTGGCACTAAATATCCTTACCGTAGCAAAAATCAATATAGCCTCCCATTGGAAAAGTAAGAATGTATCAACAATGGAAAATATATGCCAAAGAATAGACACGATCTGCTCTTACGAACGAATGGCAGGAAGGGTACAGGGTAATGAACACAGAAGGGAGCGGGAGTGGGAATGCTGGTCCTCAAGGGAAGGAGAATGAGACATAAGATAAGATGACTCTAGGAACAATTGTAGCGGCACGACTGAGCAGGACATCCTAACAGTATGTAACACACTGCTGGCAGTTGCGTATGGCAACAGCAACGTGCTTAAAACACTGTTTGTACGCAGAGTCCAATGAAGGCTATTACAAACTCGACCATGAACATAAATTTTATAACCTCAACGTTATCTTACAACCTCAACGTTATGGAATGTATGCGCTCTGTATATGTGCTATGTGCTGTGTAATTGTATATGCATCACTGTGAACTGTACACCCCCCCCCTCCCATTATGATTTTCCCCACCTCCTTTCTTTTTTCTGTATCCACACTACAGTTTAATTGTCATGATGTATAAAAACAATAAAAAACAGATATTTGAAAAAAAATAAAAAATAATAAACAAATCTCCTTGCTCTTACTAGACAGACATAACTATCTGTAATTGGGTGGCTTTCCCATTTACCAATTTATCAAAAAAACGAAACAGATTTGCAATAAACACATTTCTCTCTCCTAGCTGGCTTTTTCTCCCTCACTCTGCAGCAGGCTGATCCCTTCTTTTTAAAGGCCTGCCTTCTAATTGACCAGCTACAGGTGAGTGTCAATTAGTTCACATCTCTGGAACTCTTAAGTTACATCCAAGTTCAGGTCTGTTACAGAGCAACTAGGGCTGTTGGTGCACTGGCTCACCCTGCTCTCCAAATGCTACACCCCAGGGACCATACCATGTTTTGCGTAGTATCAGCAATGTATATTGCAAACTTAACATCTCGCCCTGGGACATTTAACTGAAAATTCTCTGGCTGCTGTTTAGGAAAGCAGGACTGGGGGGCGTGGCCTGACCGGGAACCAAGATGGACGTGTTTGTGTAACGCTCCTCACCGACCCCGATACCAATAGCTAATATTAGCCATCCACTCATAGATTTTCCCCGCCATTTCCCTCACCATCGAAGATGGACAAATGCACACCCAGGAAGCAGCCCAAAAAGCATGCCGAAGCTGCAGCCACGGTGAAAGACCTTTTCGCGGCCTCACGCCATTGCCGCTAAGACTCTCAAGATGGCGCCGAGGACAATCTGAGGGCCCCTGCCACACCATCGGACGATGCACCGTCCCCAACGCAGCGCTCACCAGCACCCGAAACGGCGCACATCCTCGCTGAAATGGCGGCGATGAAGTCCTTCCTCGCCCGGGAAATCGAGCGGAGCTCCAAGGCAGTGATGGCGGAGATACATTCACTGGGAGCCCGGACCTCCGAATTGGAGCAGCGGGTCAAGACTACAGTGGCGGTGCATAACACTGCTACAGACCACATCAACTTGCTCACCTCCCGCCTGGAGGCATCAGAGGCCGCCCTAGAAGATCTCGCAAACCGCTCGCGCCGCAACAACTTACGCATAAGAGGCCTGCCGGAACAAGCAGATGAGGGCCCTCTTGCGGAAACCGTACTTGCCCTCCTCCGACCCCTCCTGCCAGATATTCCAGACGAACACTGGCATGTAGACAGGGCGCACAGGGCCCTGCGCGCCCGAAGAGAGGATATCACACGGCCCAGAGATATTATAGTACGCTTTCTTCACTTTCAGACTAAGGAAGCAGTGCTTAGGAAGGCTAGAGACACCCCGATCACCCATAACAATGCAGCAATATCCCTCTTTCAAGATCTAGCCCCCATCACGCTCCAGCGTAGACGTGAATGGCGCCCGGTAACAGATCTGCTTAGAGCCAACTCACTGAGATACGCATGGTGCCACCCTTTCAAGCTGATGGTATTCAAGCAGGGTAGGCCCCACACCCTCCTACCGGGAGCAAATCCCACACCATTCCTACGAGACCTGGGCATTTTCCCCCCCAACAACCTCAGCCTACCTACTGCCGCACTCCCAGCACTCCGCACCCTGCCACGAGAGTGGCACATGGCAGCGGAATAAAATGCACCCGGACCGCTGCCCACAGCGTTGGACTCACCCGCAGCCCTCATCACCCCTCAGCCTGGCACATCAGAGACCGACAGAACACAACGTGCCCACTACAGCAAAGAAGCCCAAGAAGACTCCCCACGTCCGGACAACCCTTAATGACACACCACGGAGCAACAATGGGACCGACAGCCACCCGTCTACCACCCATGTACAGCACTTGAACTTCTCCTCAGCGAACTGCCCCACACCTACTCACCTGCATCAACGGGGCCACTCCACCGCCCTGCAGGAGGCGTCACCCCTGGCAAAGGCACCGCAGAAGACCCTGCATGGACTGTCGGCAGGATTATCCACAGATCGCCTTCAACACGACCGCCATCACCTCCGGCCAACTGAACTGTAATGTATTCCTAGCACACACAAATGTGACTCATTGGGTTATGGTAGCATACACCCCACACGAACCTGTCACAGCTACTCTGACCCGCATGCAGTAGGGAAACACCAAACAACACACACTTCTCAAAAAAAATTTAAAAAAAAAAAAAAAAAATACACCACTCCACACGATCAGGGATCGCAGGTGAAACAAGGCCACACGCGCTCCGATAGGCCCTGCCGCTGAGACGGGCGCTTACCCACGGCACCACACTACAAACATACAGAAATGGTCACGGCAGGACCTACCACACTCGCACCCTCAGGGCCACCTACTAAGCAATGCCACTAGCTAGCGATGATGTCACATGGTAGACCAGTCACATAGAGAGGCGAGAAGCCATGCACTATATGCAGATGGCCTAGTATTACTTCAGAGCAAATGATGAGGATGTAAGCATGTATGTATATGTGATACCTGTAATGCAAACTATGCAATGTTAACCTTGGCTCAAACACAACGATGTGTCCACCCCCACCTCCAACAACCCACCCCACCTCACACGGGAACCTTCAGCTAAGAAACACAATAGGTGATAAGGCGTCATATATAGAGGTGCACATGGGAAATGGAAGTAGCACGGGTAAAGCTGGACTCAGCCACACAAGAGATAAGCTCAGCGCACCATAACACCCTGACATACCGTACGTCCGTAAAACACAGAATACGGGGCAAACAGGGTACAGCACTCCCACCCCCCCCACCCATCACCCCAGGCTTAGCATCAGCGCCTATAGCGCATTACCCCGACTGTCAGTCATCCCCGCACTAGGAAAACAGGATAGACCAGTTCTACTCTGTACTCCTACACACACACACACACACACACTGTCTCTGGACCTGACTCTGGGTGACCAACAGGGCAGCGCATCCCTCTCCATCCTCATCCCCCCCTATCATGCGCTTTATACTACTGTGTCTAGAACTGCCTAGACTGGGAGGTCCACAGACCCCCCAACCGAACAAACACAGCAGCATAGTCCTCCTGCAAACTGGGACATAAAAGTAGGGAAACTACTACCCACAACCTTTCCTTGACATTTGTGTCACTCAGCGCATCATTCAAATGACAGTTTTATGGTATAGGGGTCACCCTCGGTGACTTGGTTCATGACCCAGACCCCCCAGACGGCAAGAGACTAGGGTCCAGGTCCCCCCACACAGTCTGGCACCTCATAAGTCCAGACAGGTACGATTGTACCTCGCCCTCACCCCCTTGCCCCCTATTCCACTCCTTTCCCCCACCCCAATATCCACATCAACATAATACAACCCAACCCCTACCCCAAACATAACTCGGTCACGAAATGCAACACTGACCTCCTCCCGGCGGAGATCCCGCCCGCGCAGCAAGCGTGGAGAGCGGAGGTGGGAGAGAGGAATGCCCTGCGTCACGTCCCAACATCTCTACCTCATCAGAGACACTTCCAACCCACCACCATGACAATAAAAATATCCTCACTCAATGTGAAGGGCCTCAATGCCCCACGCAAGAGGCGCACGCTCATTAGAGAACTGAAGAGACTAAATCCGGACATCGCGTTCCTGCAGGAGACGCACTTGCCCAGGTCCGCCCGGGTCTCCCTCCGTGATCATACCTACCGGGTAGCCGCTGAGGCATGAGCCTTCCAAAAACGAAATGGGGTAATCATTCTAATCCACAAACGATGCCCTATGCACATCACCCAAGTGGTAAGCGACCCAGAGGGAAGATACATAATAGTCACAGGCCTAATATACTCACAAACCATACACCTGATCAACATTTACGCCCCCAACACCCCATCCTCACAATTCTGGAACCAGATGGCAGACACAGTTCTGTCCTTGCCTGGTGGTGTGGTGGTATTGGGAGGCGACCTTAACGCCACCCCCTCCCCAGCAATCGACAGAAGCACGCGCCCGGGTATGGCCAGATCCCACGGCATGGGTGCTCAAGATAAACAACTACATAACTTCATCAGTAAAACGCGTCTCAGAGGCGCGTGGAGAGCACAACACCCCAGTCACAAAGACTATACCTACTACTCCCCCCCCCCCACGATACCTACTCGCGCATTGACATGTTTCTGACTAACCAAACAGGCTTCACGAAAACTCGAAAAACGGAAATAGGATCCATTGCCTGATCCGACCATGCAGACATTGCTATCTATCTAGACGGCCTACTCAGCCTTACCCCTTGGACATGGAGGCTTAACGCCTCCCTGCTCAAAGACCCGCTGGTTGTAGCGGATGTCCAGAAACAATTAAACACATACTTTGCAGAAAATCTGACACATGACGTCCCAATGACGGTAGTCTGGGCAGCACACAAAGCTGTAATCCGCGGCCACCTTATCAAGATAGCGACACAAAAAAAAAAAAATCAAAACCCAAAAGCTCACCCAGCTACTAGACACTCTCCGAATGGCGGAGCAGCGCCATAAAACAGACCCAAACCCGCAAACACTACAACACTTGCACGACACCCGCCTATCCATTAGACAACTGCTGATAGACGACACAGCGCGGGCACTGACATGGACCAAGCGGACATATTACGACAAATCAAATAAAATGGACACGCTGCTAGCCCGCACATTACGCCCCAGAAGACAACGCCCTCACATCACATCCATACGAGGCCCAGACGGTATCATGAAATCCACGCCGACAGAGATAGCACAAGTCTTTACCTCCTTCTATGACGCCCTATACAATCACACTCCCCAAGGCAGCACCCCGACCACGGCCACTTGCCAAAGGACATCAGAATTCCTGACACGCCTTGAATTACCCAAACTCCACTCCACAGCGGAGCTATCAGCCCCAATCACCAAAGACGAAATTAACTTGGCCATCTCCTCTCTAAAGAGCAACAAAGCCCCGGGCCCAGATGGCTACGAGGGAAGCTATTACAAAACATTCCGAGAGGAATTGCTGCCACACATGGAAACCCTATTCCATGATATAATGGAGGGATCCCCACCAACTAAGGACATGACGCAAGCACACATTATACTACTACCCAAACCCGATAAGGACCATACGCGACCAGAGGCGTACAGACCCATTTCACTCATAAACCACGACAGTAAAATTTTGGCCAAAATACTTGCAACGCGACTTAACCCACACCTCACTTGCCTTATCCACGCAGACCAGGTCGGGTTCATCCCCGGCAGACAACTATTCGAAAATACGAGGCGAAACATAGACACGATATAGACACTCGCTGCAACAAAAACACCAGCGATAGCCCTCTCCCTTGACGCCGAAAAGGCGTTCGACAGGGTGAACTGGCCCTACATGTTCACACTGTTGGAACACATAAACATACCCCCCCCCCCCCTTCATCACAACAGTCCGAGCACTGTACACAGACGTAACAGCGCAAATAAAATTGACAGGGTCAAACAGTCCACGATTCAACATACACAACGGCACTCGACAGGGCTGCCCCCTCTCACCATTGCTTTTCGTGTTAACTCTCATACCCCTTCTACAGGCAATCCGGGAACACCCAGACATTACAGGGGCGAGGATAACAGACCAAGAATTCACAGTCTCCGCATATGCAGACGATGTACTCCTCACACTGACTAACCCCATCAACTTCATACAAGCTGATGCCCCTATTACGGACCTATAGCTCAATATCGGGTTACAAGGTCAACATGGAGAAATACAGTGCTCTCCCACTCCTCCTCACTCACAACGAGATCACCCAAATCACATCAGACTACCACATACGCATATCACCAACCTTCCTCTCCTACCTAAGCATAAAATTGCCGGCAGACACCGCGGCACTTTACAACTTAAATTATACCCCTATGATCACCAAACTTATAGTGGACATGGAGACCTGGGCGGACAAACCAATATCGTGGAGCGGGAGGATTTACTCGGTCAAGATGAATATCTTACCCCGGATCCTCTTCCTCTTTCAAGACTCCCATTCCCATAACGAAGAACGACCTAAAGCCATTACAGCGGACTATCGACCGCTTCATCTGGCACAACAAGAGACACAGGGTAGCCCACAATATACTATACCGCCCCAAAGCGAGAGGAGGCCTCGGCCTTCCACACCTACATTTCTATTACATTGCAGCCCACCTCACACAAATAGCACTGTGGCATACCCCTCCAGACACCAGGAGATGGGTCGACCTGGAAACTCTGATCATGAAATCAGATCTCCCACAGTTCTACATTTGGACCCCTAAAGAGCACAGAGCACTCCTAAGGACCAACTGCCCAGCCATCACCAACTCAATCCATATCTGGGACAGATACGCTATAAAATACGAACTTACAACAATAACCTCTCCCCTCACCCCCATATACCGAAACAGGGCATTTGTCCCAGGCATGAGGCCTAGAGATTTCAAAGGCCTAGAGAGAGCAGACCTCCAGCGCGTCCACCAACTATACATAGGAGAAGAAATAATTCCGTTCTCGGAATTAGAAACTAGAACAACTCTGACCCCAGCAGATTTCTTCAGGTACCTCCAGCTCCAAAAGGGCATGATATCCCTCCTGTACTCCCACCTCTGCTCCACCACGCGGGAATGGGGCCCCCTCCATTACACAGACAAATGGAAGGATGATCTCGGGGAGGTTTTGGAGGGCATAGATTGGCAAGACATATGGGAGGCGAATGCCAAAACCTCCATATGCGTCACAATGCAGGAACAATCGTACAAAACGATGTTTCGGTGGTATACCACCCCAGTTCAATTGTACCACATGAAAAAAAACACCCACAGACCTCTGCTGGCGCAACTGAGGAGAGAAAGGGACGTATGCCCACATGTGGTGGCACTGCCCCAAGATTCAAACATTTTGGAAAGCCATACAAACACTATCAACCCAAATCATAGACAGACCTGTACCATTAAACCCATGGTCTTTCCTACTAGCCAGACCCCAAAAGGACTGGCCCAAACCAAACCAACAACTCCTCAATAAAATAGCGCTAGCGGCCAGGAGAGCAGTAGCCCAAACTTAGCTACAGCAAGACACCCCCTCAGTGGCAATAGTGATCAACAAGATCAAAGAATGCCATCTCATGGACAAACTCACGGCCCAAATCCGAGGCTCCTCCAAGGCCTTCTCCAAGACATGGGATCCCTGGGAAACGTATAATGACCAATGACGGCGGGATAGCCGGCGGGACTTACAGATATGACCGACAGACCGAAGTACAACCCCCCCCTCCCCCTTTACACCCTAACATCCTCCCTCCCCCCCCCAACCACCATAGTTGGGCCGAGACGACCGGTACCCCGGCCCTCAGTTTTTTCCATTTTTTCTTTCATTTTTATTTCCATTCCTTGTTGTATAATATTTACCTGATACTTATTTGTTCTTCGTTTGTAAAAAGACAATAGATGAAAGTAGCAATGCCGTTTAAACATAACGAAACCGGAACATATCTTGTAATGTATTTATGTTTGCATATTAGCACCTGGAAAACGAATGGGCTCTTGCACGAGCTACATCTTGTACATTGCCTACTCCAAACCGTTGCAAAATAAAGAATTATAAAAAAAATAAAAAAAGGAAAGCAGGACTGATATATCTTCCTTCAACAACCGTTGGAAGAGAAAGGAAGAAGTGGCAACAAGAGCACATAGATATGAAATTTGGATACATGCCCAAATAAAAATCGAATCTAGTATTATTATACACCATGTTGTACACCAACTTAAACTTTTATAAGTTTATTGATTCACTTACTTTTCATACATTTTCTTTGTTTTTTGATTAAGGGGTTAAGGAGCTGATTTTTTTTTTTTATTACTATTAATGCAGCCCTAGGATACACCTCACCTGATTGTGACCTACAGAGGCGCATGAATTTTTAAAAAATTTTTTTTAAAAGGTTTCATTTTCAGACATTTAGATGTTTTTATCTCCGGCTTTGTAAATTGAACTTTAGACACACAACACGCTCCTGCAAGATCTAGAAGGCAGAGCAGGAGATAAATGACAAATTAAACAGAAAGTGCAATAAAGGAAGTTTAAACATGGTCTCTACAGAAAGTGTTTAGAAAGTATGTGTAGGTAACACACAGGGAGGTGTGACTAGAACTGTCACATAAATGTCAGCATTGAGTAGTGAGACTACACTAAAACTGCTTCATTAAGCTAAACTTATTATGTTACCCATAGTGTCCCTTTAAGTTTCATAAAATCTGCAAAAAAAAATAAAAAAGCCACTTTTAAAAATGAGAAGTAAAAATAGAAGGACCGTGGTCCATTTCCGCTTTGTAATACCAGTATTTTGTGAAACTTCGATTTGAATGTCTTTGCACTACAATCTAATTAGCGAAATGTATGTAAGGCTTTGGCCTTAGTATCTACATTTGTTACATAAATATGCACTAATCCCATATATATCACTGATATTTTTCATTTGTCAAGTCCTAATACACTTGCACATAAATGTATGTGCAATACTAGAACAGCCACCCCATGTTACCACACAAACACTGCCTTTGAAGATGAATGTAATTCAATAAATCCATACAAATTAAGACAATGCCACTATATATTTGAATTTACCAGCAACAATGCCCTTTTTTTTGAAGCTTTAAAGGGACACTATAATTACCAGAACAGTGACAGCTTCTTGTATTTGTTCTGGTGAGTATAATCAGTGCCTTCAGGTTTTTTGCAGTAAACACCGTCTTTTCAGAGCCTTTGGACACCTCCAGTGACGACCACTCATATGGCTACTAGAGGTGCTTCCTGGGGCAATGCTGCACAACATTTGCATGAAGACATTGAACTTTCCTCATAGAGATGCATTAGCTCAATGTATGTGTGAGTGGATGCTGATTGGCCAGGGCGTGTTTGGCTCTGCCTCTAATCGGCCTCCTTGACCAAGTCATCCAGTCCAATGCTTTCTTAAGGGAAATAATTCTGGATTGACTCAGATCACCACTTCTGATTATGTCCGCCATGGAGGCAGATCAGGAGCAGAGCCAGCATTAGCAGACTGTAATAAAAAGTAAGATTTTACTGTATCTTAAAACACAAAACATACATTCAAAAAATAAAATAAAAAATAACTTTAACACATTAAAATAAACAGGGGGAAAAAAAAACCCATTTAGAATGCAAATTTAAAATAATATTTATACACCTTGATGTATATGATTATATAAAAACACAACGCCACAACGCCCCAAAATATATGCAAATCCAAGTGTAAGCATTTTTCATGTACAGTAAAATATTAACATGTAATCTACCCACAGCATATCACTGCTGTCCAAACATGAACATGTATGGATAATTGGGATCAGATCAAATCCGACATCTGTCAGATTTTGGGGGACATCACCTGGTCGGTGGAACTAATCTTACTCCACATCTCCACACAACCACTATCTACATATAAAAAATCCATCTTGCGGCACCTCCTAAACGCTGCTAAATCACTCGTACCAGTATACTGGAAAAAGACAGATATCCCTACCAGAGAAGAATGGATCCATCGAGTTGAGGATATTAGAGCGGCTGAAGCTATGCAAGCGGAGCAGATGGGCAGGGGTCCGAAGTGTGCTGAACTCTGGACTCCGTGGTTTACCTTCCGCGCGCGGCGGTAGGGGGGGGCCGGGCGGGGGTGCTTGCCGGGCGACGCGTCTATGGCGGGTGATGCGCTCCGTGATGGCCGGCTGGAGGTGGCAACGTTCAACCGTATACCGCGCGTCTCTCTAAGTTGGGGGAATGACTCTGAAGGCACTGCCGACTAAGACAAACGGGTGACCATGTGGACCCACAAGGGAGACATACCCTCAAAGGAATAGCTGACGAATCTGAATGACACCCCACTACATAAATATAAACAGGGATACGGCTGTCCTGCACATGACCCCCCCCCCCTCCCCCCGACCCTCTCCGACTACTGCATGGAATCAGAGCCACGGTTAGGGGACCTTGATGGACTACACGACGAGGACACGCTGGATAACTGCTAATGTGGACGATGGGCGTGCAGTGCAGCCTTGGATTTACACCCCCACCCATCTCCCCGCACACTCGCCTCATCGCTCACCACTACACACCTCCCACGCCACATCATAATCTGAACAACTCTTTCTACGATGAACCCACATCACCCACTTATATATACTAGGGCCACGCATAACTACAGGTTATCCACCTCCCCATCCTTATCGATGCCACTCCTATAAATACACTATAAGCACATATAGCACCTTTGGCAATATACGGACCCCATTTCATTTACGCTGCCCCGTCTCCTATGGGCCTAGCCCGACTGTGCGAGGCTCCTATACTCACATAACTCAACGACTTAATAGAGTCAACAGCACATCTAACTAAGGGCACTGATATGAGCGTATAGGGGAACGATGATTGACTCTCGCTCTCATTGAAAATTTGTTACAGATATCTTCGGTTTATTTATTGTCTCTTCATGCTTGTATGACAAATGGGGCCTGCGAGCCCGAAATGTGATATACTCACCTACACACAGGCACACAGATCACCTCAGACAATATATGGTTTCCACCACACTCACATTGACCTACCTCTCACGGGCCTAGCCCAAATACGCGTTTCTAGTACCTTCACACATCTCAATAACTTAGTTGACACAACCACTCACCTAACTATGGGCATTGGACGTGAGCGACCACTTGAACTGTAACTGATCCCCTCCTTCATTGAAATCTCAATGTAGTAGTCAACTACTTATCCATTGTACTTTCATGTTTTTATGATGACTTGGGCCTGCGAGCCCGAAATGCATTATTTCTACTCACGAATAAAAATGATTTTCCAAAAAAAACATGTATGGATAATGCAGAATAAAACATCTGCATTTTCACGATGGAAGAAGAGGGGCTGCTACAAAAAAATAAAAAATAAAAAAATAACCCACACACATAAAAGGGGCTGCACAAAAACTACTTGCAACATAACACCTACAAAATCTTTAGTAATTTTGGTGCTTAGATAGTCTGAGATTTGAAGAAGTCTTGATTTTAGAGGCATAGGCAACTGTTGCTGCACCTAAACATTAAGGCAGTTAGACTGGGAAAGCCAACAAAAAAGATTGTTTAATGCAAACTACAAAGCATTAAGAAATAGTAGATTTTAATGGGTTCGTTAAAGCTTTCATTCAAAACTCAAAGCTTAAAACTAGACATTACTATACATCATTATTTTGGCATACAATGGAGACAGATAATATATGCATGTTTCAGCAGGATTCCTGTCAACAATATGACCTTTGTTAACCATTATAGCACAGCAGAAAACAGTAAAAGGAATGCAGAAATTTAAATTAGAAAGTAAAATAAACTTCAATATTGCAATTATTCAACAGGAAGGAATATTCACACCATTATAGAAATTACAAGAAACCTCACCATATACAGAATATACACAAACTAAAAATACATGTTCTGTTTATATATGCTCTAAAGATATGCATGTGTAAAGTGTTCATATGTAATTTGGAAAAAGTGAAACTTTTTATGCTAAACATAAAACAATTACAGTATACATGAACCCTTTAGGTATCAAAGAAATTTACAATACGTTGCTTAGTTCACTGGAACTCTATGGTTAATTTTCCTTAAGCCAATGAAAAACAAATTTGGATTTGGGCTCAAAATAAAAGAATCTATACACTTATATACTCTAGTTTGGGGAAGCCTGCTCTAGAAGCTATGTGCAAAAGATGTGTTGCATAGTAGTATAAAAGAAAGCACAACCTTGTGTTAGTGAATTACTTTTATATATTTCTTCACGAAGAGTAACCTTTAGTGGACAAAAGTTGAAGGTTTTTCTGGATATTCCATTCTGAGGAGCTTAGTGCGGAAGCTTACGATGGAAAAACTAATGAGCATTCATGTAAAACCACACTATTTGCAGACGCTTATTATCGGATATGAGAAAGGTGTAAGGGTGATTTCTAAAGACCGGCATGAAAATAATTTAATAAATGCCACCTTTAAAACAATCACATTTCTGAGACAAATACTAGTAAACTTTATGGCGCTCAAACTGATTAACCCCCACCAATTTTTTTATTTTTTATTTTATTTATTTTTTTAAAATAATCCCTTTTATGTGTACTACAGGGTATGACTATTAAAGAACACTGAGTGCTGGATTCTTCACCATAAAGGTGCCAAGAGTTCGTACACTTGGGTTGGAAGAAGTATTTAACTGCTTTTATGTTCTCTTCACATAAGCATGTGACATTTTTAATTTAATAAAATGGAATGTAATGCAGTCTTGCATGAAAATGAAAATAGTGCAAAAGTTGAGTTTTGTGCTAGCATGCAAGGTCAAACTAAATATATGTTTTTATTTAGAACAGAACAGTTAATGTTTAGGGGTCTTTAACAATAAGGTAAAAAATGTTGGTCTAATTGTTGATCCAAAAGTAGGACAAGCAACATAAAAATTAATTTTAAACTGCCAATGCAGTTCCTTATGACTCAAGAACTACATAAAAATGTTGCATGCATGCCATAGATCCTTATTGTTATGGCTTATTTTTCAATTGTAGAAAATTAAAACCTTTACAAAGTTGAAGAAAATAATAAATCTTAATTCCCCAAACTCAGATGAAGACCCTGCACAATTTAAATCCAGCCATTATTTGTCAGATCTGTAAAGAAGTTTAACCATTGTTTAAAGGATCAGTCTAAGCATCATAACCAGTCCAGCACAGTACAACAACAAATTGCTTGCCCCAACACTCTCAGCATATCAATGTAACCACTGTTTTAGGTTAAAATAACCCTTCCTTTCCTGGTTTTCCTCTCTAAAAGTAAATTAGATAAAGATAAAATATACCTGCTAAAACTTACCATTCCAGCTACTTCTACACTGACACCACTCCCTCTTGCAGCCTGTGGAAATGTGGGTTAATGGCGCTGCCGGTGTTGGAGATAAATCTCCAGCAGCAGAGGGGTTAAACTCAATATTTGCAGCATTTTGCTATGAAACACTGCACATACAGACTGCAGGCACCACGACCATTTCAAATCACTGAAGTGCTCATGGTGCTTGGAGTATTGCTTTAATAGGGAAGTGTAAAATTTGTATTGGCAATGCAATATGGCAAGCAATAAGCAGAATTACGCGTGTTTAGCAGTCCCCATTTTTCCCAAAATGGTTTGACACATGGGTTGTACCCATAGACTACAAGCACCATAACCACACTATGAAATGCTTTAGCAGTTAAGCTACTTCGACTGCCCCTTTAAAGACTACCAACAATCCAAGTTTGCAGCTTAGATAAAATCTTAAACCTGTACTATATCTGAGAACAACTAAACTTACCAGAATGAAACATACACACACAAAAAAAAAAAAAAAAAATACATACATAACTCACTTCTTTAACAGCATGACTGATATGAAGGGTTGAAACATGAGTAAATAATGTGCTTTTCAAAAAAAGCACATACTGCACAGTTTTTATTTCCTTTAAATCAGGTAGGTCATTTACTTGTTTCTTTTTCCAAAATGCAACATATAAAATGCCTTAAAATGATTTCCACTCAATAAATAAGAATCAGAATACTACAGAGGAAAGCCAGAATACAAGCCTGTGCGTTGCTTTGACCTGCCCAGATGCACATGCAATACAGTATATATGTGTTTTTGACAGATTTAGCTTGGAATATCGGCACTAGTGTTCCGATTTCCATATTTATGATGTATTATGAGCAGGACAACGCCAAGGAAAAAGCAGATGGAGCCCACAGTAATGTATGCAATTCCCAAAAACGGGTTCTTTCCTCCCATCCACGAAATGGTGCTCAGGATCATCCGTTTCCTTCCATCAAAGCTGAGTACAGGATAATCTGAAAATATCTATAGGAAAACAGCCAAGTGCAAAGGACAGAGCTACATTCACAGGGAGCTAAGACGGAAGTATCCAGTTGCAGGATAAAATGTGAGTTTAAACATTTTATTTTTCACACCTTTCAAATACCAACTTCCTATAGGGGAAGCAATCAAAATATGTGTAATATCTGTAAATATAATTTCATTCAAGGTTCCACAGTAGCAATTTACATTAGCAGGTTTACAAGCTAAGTCCCTTTTATAAATAAGTTTCAGTATATCACGGATTATCTTTCATGTATATTTCAGATATCACTATTTACATTTTTACTTGTTATGAAGATATCATTGGAAATGCCCTTGTAGCCTCTGTACAAAAGGATACTATATTCAACTCTTAGAGAATAATTCCCCGGTGCCAAGGCTGGGTATGCATCTTTTTTCTCAATAAGACGATAAAGCTTTCGGAATGTAGGCAATGCAGCAGTACGCATCCATACGATAAAATCTTCATTTATAAACCCATTGTTCTCTGGATCACTTGGGTCAAGCTCATACACTGGTTTCCTCCAATTAATTGGATTTGTTGTTCCTATTATGAATGCAAAACATAGGATAAGTGATTAACCAAGACACTGCAAATGTGGAAAAAAGGTAGAAGAAATATAAAATGATATAATGCAAACATAGATAAAAGCCTGTAACAAGAAAGTGAAAGAATGAGAAACCAGATTATTAATTGTCTGTATATCATGTCAAATAAAATTATTTCAAAGGAGGTAGCTGAGATCCATTCCCTGGTTTCACATTGAAACCAGCAGGAGAAGCATTGCAAGGACTGCAATGTTACATGTGACTTTACTTTGCTGTCCCACAGGAACGACAGGAAGATGTGCACATACAGTACAGTCACAAGGGTTTCCATTCACTTGCATGCCAATCCTTGAAGTAGTGCTGATCATTTGCAAGCAACTAAAAGAGAAAAATAGGAGGATTTCTGCGTATCCAAACAGTAATAAACAATAGGTATGTGGACTAATGTAGATAATATCTAAGTGGAACGATATCTAATTCAGTCAGGAATTGGCTGAACAAATGAATAAAACTTAACATTTAATAAGAATAAAGCTTAAAAGGGTAACGTACCCTAAATATAAAAATCACCAATATAAGGACCTACAATCCTCATAAATAGAAGAAACTTGCAAAAAAAAAAATAGGGTGGGTTGGCTAAATGTAGCACAATAGCTGTGTAGGAGGCATATTTATCAAGAGGAACCTCGAAAAAAAAAAAGTCTGCTAAATATTGCAAAGCGCACCTACCTATCTTCCTCATAAATACGGTTAATTAGCAAAAAAATGGAATAGGTTAGCCAAATGTTATGCAATAGCTGTTTAGAGGTCTATATGGCAAAAAAGCCCTCTTAAATTATAGTGAAATACTAGCAGAGCAGAAAGACGCTAGGAACACCTACTAGGCTATAATAAGTTGAGAGATAGAACTAGACCAGAGTTTCCCGAAGTGTGGGTCGCAGGGCGATTCCCAGTGGGTCCCGCTGACACGCCTCCAGGGCCATGGGAGACAGGCAGGCAGACTGATTGGTAGGTCCTTATATTGGTGATTTATATTTAGGCTACGTTATCCTTTTAAGCTTTATTCTTATTAAATGTTAAGCTTTATTCATTTGTTCAGCCAATTCCTGACTGAATTAGATATCGTTCCACTTGGATATTATCTACATTAGTCCACATACCTATTGTTTATTACGGTTTGGATACACATAAATCCTCCTATTTTTCCCTCTTTCTTTTTGCCATTTATCAATAGGGGTATCCCCCATTTAAGAGGTTCTCTCTGTATTGGCTCACCAGTTCCTTGCTCAATTTCCTTTCTTTTTTCAGCCATCATTTGCAAGCAATTTCCATTTTTTTCCTAAAGCAAAACAGCCCTCATGCACATGATTAAGCATACAGCTGTAAACACGTTACTGTTATAAAATCATATTATATTTTCTTGCCTGTTTTATTCTTACCTTTAAAAACTTCAGCCAGGTCACTCGCATTTCCAGTAGGATTTCGGAACTTGACATTTTTATCTGTCCACCATGCAATTCCCTTATTATTCAATGTGATGTTCATCTGTACTCCATTTACAAACTGATATAAGCTTAAAGAATCTACAAGTGTAGAGAGAACATGTCAGCACAAACAAACTAGCCTACAACTGATGAAACAGTTACTAGAATAACAAAAAAATAAAAAAAAAACACCACAATTTTTACTGCAGGTTTAAATAAATTAAACTGTACTTTAAATAAGAATTAGAATAAATAAATGTATGAATTCAAAATTGGTGATAGGCACTCAAAACAAATACACTTGAGGGGAGAAGGGGGAGGAGAGGACCTCTAAGCTGATCAGATGTGTCTAACCTGAGCTCCTGAGTTTCTAGTTGCAAATTGCCTATTTGTGCCTGATTCTGGGGTTTATTTGCTCAGACATTGACATATCCTCCAGCAGGGCCTGGGCAAACAATCTCCTACCTTGCTCGAACATTTTCACCAGCGCGTGCCCGAGGTTCCTGTTTCGGCCTACTGGGGCCTGGACTAAGGAGAGGGGGCAGATCTCCTTGCGACCTAGCCCTTCACGTGGATCCGCTGCACATATCCCGGTCCTCTCAGTACTGACAGACCTGGCTTGTGCATACCTATATCACACCATGCAACCATCTGTACATTGCAAGCAAAGCTGCAACATGGCGGAAGGTACTCTCATGGACTCACGTGGCACGAGTCCCCTCCAGAAGCCTCCCAGTGACGCGGTGCAGCTCTACCACCACTTCCAACGCTTCTGGCTCAAGCTCTAGCACCATATGGCAACCACCACAGCCGACCAAAGGAACAGGGGCCTACTAGAGGGTGAAAATTTTCGGAGACTGCCTGTACATCCTGCGCTTCACTCATCTAGGCCGAAGGCCACAGGGGGCTTGTATACCCTGCATCGTCGACCAAGGCGGAGGATAGTTCACGTTCAGCAGCGCCTGTCACCCTAATCCTCCATCCACCCTCAACAGGGGATAGTCTCGGACGGCACTGGAAACAGAGTCTGGTGGACTACTGTCACCCCCCCTTGTTTAGCAACATTTTACCCAACACTAAGCCAAGCACCACCACTTCTCTCGCTCTATTTTTGTTGAATCAATTTGGTGTATACCTGCATATGAATACATCGGGATGGTGTAAAAGTGTAATGCTGTCAGCCTGAGTTTTTCCCTTCTTGAAACCAGCTTGTTACCTACTGATTTCATTACATGTCTGCCTAGCATGATTGACACTGCTTTACATACTTACCTTAAAAAAAAAAATAAAAAAAAAAAAACCGTGCAGTCCCTCTTGACATTTTTTGCTCTAACCCTAAACCTGCATTCCACTGTTTAGCAATGCTACATGTCAGTGTCATATTATGTATATTTCAATGCACTACAAAAAAACAAAACATAACTAATGCATATTGGTGGCGGTGTTATTGTCCCTGTTCAACCGAACCTTATCAAGTAAAGCGGAAAGATCCTTATATAATGGTGGCTAATTCAGCCATTAAAACCAATAAGGCAAAGTTTCAATACACTTGGAGCCTTTCTCAAGCCATAATAATACATGCCTCATACACCAATTAGGTAAACACAATAAAATAAAAATATATAAAAATAAATTCACAAAGTCATAATTACAGTGCAATGTTAAAATCATGTATTAATAAATATAAATTTAGTTTGATACATGGACCAAAATCTTACCATTAAACATGCTGTTGGCAATGGCACCACATGGAGCAATTGGTTTGCCGTTACTGGTTCCGTATGGGTCACATTCCTTGCTGGGATTCTAATTATGGAAAAAAAAAAAAAAACACATTGAACTGAAAAACATGGAATTCAAGTAAATGAGACCAAGCAGCTAAAAAGAGACAATGCAAAAACAAAGGCAAGAATGTATCTTCCGGCCATGTTTACACTCTATGTCAAGAAAAGGGTGAAGAAGAAAGACTATGAAGAAAGAAGAAAGAATGATGCGAAAATAAATGCTTTGCATACCTGGGAGGTCATAAAGAGGATAATTATGTGTGGATATAAAACACACACATATGTATATATACACACCCACACACTAATGAATCCAGGAGAGAAGAGCAATCTGGTCAGGAGAGATGTTGATGATGTGACAAACATAAGACCTTTTTAAACAATATAATGACATTTTAACAAAAAAGCAAATCTTTATAAATTACAAAATTATCTCGGGGATGAATTGCAACAAGTGTGGCACCTACTTATATGGTTTGCGATTCAGTGTATTCTTTTCAGTTGTCACAGATTTGCACATCATCTGTGGCAGATCAGTAAAAGCTGCACCGCACAAGTTGGAAACTTTTGGGTGTCCCATGCATTTAGGGCCACCAAACAGACACGCGACCTGGTCATGCGTTAGAACCCCTTCAGCCACTTACCTTTCTCCAGCGCCGGGCTCACTCTGTGCTGGGGAACTCTCCACCCCCTGCCGACGTCAGATCCGAATGTGCATGCGCGTCAAGAGCCGCACACGCATTCAAACAGCATTACTCAATGCTTTCCTATGGACGTTCAGAGTCTTCTCCCTGTGATTTTCACAGTGAAAATCGCGGAAGCACCTCTAGCGGCTGTCAGCGAGACAGCCACTAGAAGCTGGATTACTCCTCAGTGAAACATAGCAGTTTCTCTGAAACTGCTATGTTTTCCGCTGCAGGGTTAAAACTAGAGGGACCTGGCACCCAGACCACTTAATTGAGCTGAAGTGGTCTGGGTGCCTATAGTGGTCCTTTAACCCCGCTAGCAAACCCCTTTTCTACAGGGAGTGCATGGAGCATGTGAGAGACCGTTACTTCCTCCCAGCAGTGCAGGGAGGCAGGTGGGGGCCAGAAGAACAGCAAGCCTTTAACTCCAAATAGCTCCAGCTACCCTCCTGCTGGTTTGTATATGTGTGTCAGTGTTTGTTTATCTGCACTGTATATACTAGAGAGCAGAAACCACTGATCTATGGGGTGACAAACAAATATAATGTACAAGCAGTGCAATAGATGAACTGCAGCATTTTGACACTAAATATAAAAACACTTTTTCCTATCTCCGTTCTAACAAAACCACTTTGAAAAATGTGGACAAGGTCAATATAAAAGGTAAACCCCACCATCAGCTTCCATTAAATAACCACTTTAGTGTTTCATTGATTAAGATCATATTAATTATTAAACAGGCCCTTGAAATGTTGAGAGAAAGCTAAAGTGCACTGCTATAAACGACTGTTATAAATTCACAATAAACAGAAGCGGCACTTTCAATTATATTTGTGGTTACCTTTGACATCAATATAGGGAGAATATAAATAAATAGCAAATCTATTTTAGTGCCTATTTTACTCACCAAATAGTTCTTAAAAAATGCAACCGTTTTATAATGAAAAATAGGCTTTCATGCCAACACTAATTATAAACAATTTGCGTGGGACTATAGTTATATTGTTTGTTTCTACCAGTTTGGTCACGACAGTATCAGAATTACAAGGAGTTTGTTTCAACACAGCTGGCAGGTTAAACTTACACAGTAATTTTACGAGTCCATCTGAAACGGAGTGGAGACTTTATGAGAGGGCAAGTAATATATGCAACAAACTGTTACACATGGTTGTAAATTAGAAACTTCACAAAACGCCATTAATCGGCACTCATGACACAAACACATTTATATCAGATATAATTTTATGAGCAACCTATGTCTCAAACACCGTTTCAAACCTAGATGATGTTATTAGCCTTTAGAATAAAAACAATTTACATAAATAACCAAAAAGGCATTTCATTCCCTTCCTGAGCACATGGCGCAAGTCAAACCATGCGGTATTACTTACAAGAAGAGAATTCTTGTCTCCATTTAATTGACTGTCATCTCTGGACTTTACATAACGACGATGGTTCTGATAGAAGTTGGAAAGCCCATAATACATAAACACTGTACTCTGTAAAAGAAACAGCAGAGGTTTACATATACAGTGTTGGGTAATACAGACAGTTTCTACCATAATTCCGAGAGTAACATGATATGACCGATTAGAAAGTGTACTTATATGTCATTCAAAAAGAGTAGTTCTGGATAAACCAGGAGAATGCATTGAAGAGCTAAAGGAACACTATATTGGGTGGTTCATTAAAGTAAGTTTCAAACTTTAGGCCAAAGTAGCTGAACAGGAATCACAGCTGAATTAGTTTCCCATTTAGTCTACTTTGGCCTTTAAATTCTCACTTCAGACAATAATAAATTTTATATATATATATATATATATATATATATATATATATATATATATATATATATATATATATATATATATATATATATATATATATATATATATATATATATATATATATATATATATATATATATATATATATATATATATATATATATATACATACATACATATACACACACACACACACACACACCAACAGGTATTGATAATGCTATAGTGAGCAGCTAATTAGTTAAGGTACTGCAACCCTCAAACCTAGTGAGTTAAGGAGTAAGGCAAGTTTATTTACCTTTCCACCTTTGCCTCAGTGTTCACTACACAGCAGCCACCACTTATTTGGCTGAGATCATCAATCTTGATAACCTCTGCCAATACAATCCTTTCCCATATGAAAGCAATGGGAGGCTAGTGCACAAGTGCCAAAACACCATTCTCCGGCAATCATATGGTCTCGGAGGCATTTACCATTGGCTTTAACAAAAGGGTTGGAAGGAGAAAAACACCTTATAAGCCTTATAAACACCTTGCATTCTACCAGATACGGGTTGGCCGCTGAAGAAGGTGCATTGAAGCACTGAAACGAGTGTCTGGCTGCTTGGCCTCATGTTTACTTACAATTCATGTATTGAACATTGAATTTTTTTTCTATTTGTATCCTGGTTCTGTTTAGCTAGATTGCAAGGGAGAGAGCGGTAAAGAAGCGGTTAGCGTTTTGATACAGTCAAGATACCCATTTCCTTCTTGTCTGACATATGGACACCTAAGGATATATATATTTTCAAGTGATTAACTTACACTCCTTATTACAATCTTGTAATCAGGGTGAAACTTTTGATGACTGCAGACTCAAAAAACCTAATTATTGTAGCTGGAATATAAGTATTGAAATACAATCAAATATTCAATTTTTATTTTACCTTATTTTGACTTAGGCGGGGATAGACATTTTCCAATACATACTCATGTTTGAATTAAAATGTGCTTACCCTCACTTGCAATCTTAACACCAACTCCCTCAACAACAGCACTCTAGAAATAGGTGGAATCACTTGTGCATTTTTATTATATTAAAGTCTTATAGTGATCCACATTTTGCTTCAGAGCAACGCTTTGGAAGTGAACTTATCCATTTTACTTATTATATCGGCAGGTGTAATAAAGGTTACACTGTTAACATACTGACATTACTTTGTACTTTATAGCACTTTACCTTCTCAAGCACTTCTCCAACTTCTTGAAAGGTTAATTACAATACCAGGCAGGAATGTTGAATTTGGGTACACAGTTTTTTTTTTTTGTCTTTTTTTTATTCAAATCAATGTTTAAGTCCCCTTGGACAGACCTGGGATGTCATTTTGGCACTTAAGCACCATCGTGATTGAGCCTTTTCTTACATCTTAAGTTAACAATAAACATTAGGGCCACAATTATACAGAAATATTTCATTATAAAGTACCTCAAATGCACGGTCCAGTGTGAAATTAATAAAACAAACACACGGTGTACTGTTCCATGAGATGTTCGAACACTTATAGCATGGATTATCTGGCTCTATTCCGGTGTAATCAACCTGCAAAGCAAAATTAAAATACAAAATTACAAAATCATAAAGAACCCACATGCAAAGCTCAAATATTCTACATCTTAACAAGCAAAATGAAAATCTGCCCTTGCAAAGGAGCATTCAGGGCTCAAAATTTCAAGCACCCCAGCTACTAAACAGAACTACCCACTGCAAATCTACTCCTGCAATGTGGACTGTGAATGGATAGGGAATCAGTACACACAGCCAACTTGCCCACAAATGACTCAAGCAGTATCTGACAATTCAAAACATGTACACATCATGCAACCGGTCCATGGATTCCATATTTGTAGTATTTATCACTAGGATTATGACTCCGCAGCAAAGGAAGGGGGTAAAAAAAGAAAAGAAAGAAAGGGTAATTTTTCCCAATACACACTGTCACAGTGACAGTCTGATGAATATAAAAATTGGAAGCGGGCTTCATGGTCTAAAGTTGCCAGCCTAATCTGGAAGAACAAGCTGCTCCCCGATACCCTATATATAAAGCAGTTTGACAGCAGTTACAAAAAAAAGTTCTGTTTTCAGACAACACCGTTAGTGGAGGGGCCATAAGCTTCCACACACCAGTGCTACGTTTCCACTCACCATTGGCAAGTGAAAACTTGGGAGCTCTGCGTAAATGGCTTGCCTTTTAAATCCCAAGACAAGTTTCTTTATCACCCAAAAAAAAAGACGTAAAAAGGAAGAATCCAGTCAGGAGGAGACCTCTCCTTTTAATGGGTCATATAAACACATTAAAAGGAGAAAAAACAAATAGCTCTGGAGTGCTAGGATTTCCTGCATCTGCAGTGAGTTCTCAAGAACCAACTTAAAATTGTTTGTATGATCTTAAGGGGATCCTATAGTGCCAGGAAACCAAACCCGTTTCCTGGCACTATTGTCTCTTGGGCGTGTCCCCCTCCCTTGGCGCTGAAGGGGTTAAAACCCCTTCAGCCACTTGCCTTAATCCAGCACCGGGCTCCCTCGGCGCTGGTGACCTCTCCTCCCCCACCAAGTCAGCTTCCAAGTGGAGCCAAATGCACGTGCACAGACGCACACATTCAAACCTGCCCATAGGAAAGCATTACTCATTTGCCGCTGGACTCTGTGAGGACTAGAGGCTGGATTAACACTGCAGTGTAAACATAGCAGTTTCTTTGAAACGACTATGTTTTCAGCTGCAGGGTTAAAACTAGGGGGACCTGGCACCCAGACCACTTCATTGAGCTGAAGTGGTCTGGGTGTCTATAGTGGTCCTTTAACTATCCTTTTTTTTCCAGTGGGAGTGCTGTGCAAATCACATTATTGGATATGCAGTCTTGCACCTTATAGCTTAATAAAAACACCTAAAAGAATAGTTTGCAAGTAAATCAAAGCTGACAAGCACAGATCTGTAATGATCTGCTGAGCACTCTTTTTTAATAAAGAAGGTAGATGTGTGCGGTAAATGCATGCTACAGGACAGCCTCCCCCAAACAAAAATACAAGAGACAGATAATTTATTATCATGGTCAAAACATGTCAAATAGGACATGTAATTTGAGCAAATTGGATATTACAACTTTATGGAAGTAGTCACATAATGCTAACCCACCCCTTGAAGGCCCATCACAAGAGATATTTATAAACATGGATTTCCTGTTAAGAAAATGAAAATGTTCTGTTCTTTAAAAATAAAAAAGTGTACATTGCCAAGGTTACCGGATGAACCACCAAGGACAACAGTGAAGCATTCCAAGACGAGCAACAAGAGAGTGATAAGAAATATGTTAACACTTTGAAATAATAAATATGCTCCACACAAACAACACAGAACACTTCTTTCATTTCTAATAACAGTACATTTTAACCAAAGAGTAATTAAATATTGAACATTGAAAACTGACTTTACCTCCTACCAATCTCTACTACAGTAGCCTTGCAACGTTTGATAGGCGTTTCAGCTTAAAAACAAGTCCGACCTTAAAATAAATATTGTACATTATATATACACAAAGACACTGAACAAAATTATAAAATAAACACTTGTTTTTGCCCCCATTTTTCTTGAGCTGAACTCAAAGACTTTTTCTATGTACACAAAATACCCATTTCTCTCAAATATTGTTCACAAATCTGTCTAAATCTGTGTTAGTGAGCACTCCTCCTTTGCAGAGATAACCCATCCACCTCACAGGTGACCTTTGAGTTTAGTTTATGAAAAAAATGGGGGCAAAAACAAAAAAGTGTTGCGTTTATAATTTTGTTCAGTATGTGTGTAATTCCTGGATCAGGAATTATTTGATTTTGCACATGTAATTTGCACAACTAAATAAAAGAATCATTGGAACAAGACCTATGAATGCACCTATTACCTTTTTGGATATATATGGAAACGCTGATGTTGCACCTAAGCAAAAAATAAATAAAATTCTAATATACACACACACAAAATATATGTATTATTCTTTAATGACATCAGCTAGTCAATTCATTTAATTAGTGTTGCGAAAGTAACAAATAAATTAGTGCCACACTCACTCACACAAGCACGCTCCGAGGTGATCCAATCCTCGTGAACGATGGATCCTTATTCAAAAAAGCCAAGCCAATCAATGAAGTGTCAGCCTCAATTTTAAAATTGTATTCAAGTGTTCAAAACATCACAGGTAAGCAGCCACTTCAAGATAAATAACCTAGTACAGGATAGTAATTCTAGTCTCTAGAGATACAAAATTGATAAAAGGAATGGAGCATTTTAGTTACGAAGAAAGGTTAAAAAATGTAAATCTCTTTAGTTTGGAAAAACGGCACCTCAGTAAGGATATGATAACATTATACAAATATACTTGGGGCCAGTACAAACCATTATCTGGAAACCTATTCATAAACAGGGCTATACATAGGACACAAGGTCACACATTTAGGCTGGAAGAAAGGAGATTTCATTTAAGGCAAAGAAAAGGTTTTCTTTTACAGTAAGAGCAACAAGGCTATAGAATTCTCCGCCTGAAGAAGTGGTTTTATCAGAGTCCATACAGATGTTTAAACTGCAATTGGATAAATACCTGCAAATATATAACATACAGAGATATCATTTCTAATTAGTGGGGTAATAGCTGCTTGATGAAAGCATAAATCTGACTGCCATTCTTTGGTCAAGAAGGAATTTCTTCCTAGTTTGTTGCAAAATTGGAAGCACTTCAGACTGGGTTTTTTGCCTTCTTTTGGATCAACAGCAAAATCATATGTGAGGAAGGCTGAACTTGATGGACGCAAGTCTCTTTTCAGCTATTTAACTATGTAAAGGTTTGCATAAGAGAGGTTTGCAGTTTTAGTGCACGTTTGGTTGGGAGTTTTAGTTTGACAACCCAGAGATCATTTCAGAACACCTTTACTTAACCAATCAACCATTCTCACAATCAAAGATAAATGATATTGTATTTACACTTAAATAACAGAGTAAGACCAAAAACCCATACAAGTTCTAATCAAATCTGCTAGCTCCAGTGAAGTCTGCATAACAGTATCTAAAATGATTAATGCAAGAGGTTTGTATATGTATGGGACTTTAATTTTTATTTTAAAAGGGACACTATAGTCACCAGAACAATTACAGCTTAATGTAGTTGTTCTTATGAGTATAATCATTCCCTTCAGGCATTTTAATGCAAATACTGCCTTTTCAGAGAACTGGGGCGCCGGCAGACCCACACGGCGCTGGAAATAAGGTTTTTTAAGGTGGCTAAGGTGTGGGGAAAGACACCAAAATGGTACTTTTAACACTATAGGGTCAGAAATACATGTTTGTGTTCCTGACCCTATAGTTTTCCTTTAAGAGCCAACTTAAATTCCTAACTTCACATATTCCAAAGGTTGCTAAGGTAGTTTAAAATGCTCAACAAACCTCAAGTGATTGTAATACAGAGTTTACTATTTCAGCAAGAACTGGAATGCACCTCGTGACCCATGAATAAAGAAATATTTTTTTTGTTTAAGATCCTGCCTTTTAAAACAGGATTACCTCAGTAATATATACTGAACAAACACAAAGCATGTATAACAGTGAGAAACAGTATTAAAGCTCTCTAGTTTCCCAATAATTAAACTCTAAATTGCAGAGATACATAATACTTCATAGTTGACATGTGCATTAGTTTTCGAACTAATACAATTTTGTCCTAAAATTCAGTGTTTTTATCGTATTCGTTTACTAAAACGTAAACGAAAGCCCTACAAACGAAAAACAAACAAAACGACAAATGCATCACCTTTTCGTTTTGTTTAATAGACTCCATGCTGCAGGGGAATTAACCCCCACAGCACAGAGAAAATAACAGTCCGCAAGCGCAAAAAAAAAAAAAAGAAAAGAAAAAAAAGGAGGGAACTGGCAGGCATTACAACCCTCCCACTCCTGCATTAAAATCACTATAACACCATATTAATAAAAGGGAGGTTAAATCCTCCCGCATGCCCCTACTTGCGGTATGTAAACAGAGAAGAGCCAGTGGCTGCTCGCTGTCATTTAAAACTAAGTATAAGTCAGTATGGCATTAGGCCCCCTTCATTATTTATTTAATTAGGGTCCCCACCCGCAGCACATGGCATTAGGTCCCCCCCCCCCATTATTTAATTAGGGTCCCCACCCGCCGCTCATGGGTGGGGACCAGGGGGGCACTATGTCCCCCCATTTAAGTTTTTGCAGGGTTAAGTCTGGTAGACAGCCACTAGAGGGACTTCTGGCTTCTTAGACTACTTTAAGACTGCTTTCCTATGGGGAGATGCAAGGCGCGCAGCCATTGCCGTGCATGCGCATTAAGTCTCAACCGCCGGCGGATGTTAATATATACATCCAGAGTTTCCTTGAACTGCAGGCTGAATTGTAATGTTGCCTTGTATACCGGGTGCCAGACCGAGGTCATCAGAATACAAAGATCAAAGTGATGATCCGCACTCACGGTCTTCTTAAAACTTAGCTTTTAATATTTACATAAAAAGAAAACAAATGTGATGCCGAATAGTGTCAATGTTTCAGTCCCGGTTCGGGACTTTCCATGCTGTCCTGAGTAAAGTCCCGAACCGGAACTGAAACGCCGACGCTATTCGGCATCACATTTGTTTTCTTTTTATGTAAATATTAAAAGTTACGTTTTATGAAGACCGTGAGTGCAGACCAACACTTTGATCTAGCAATCTATATATCATTTATTTTTACTTTGTGTTCAGGGCTACATCGGTTATGATTGAAGTAAGATTGGTGTAACAGAACCTGTGATAGGGAAAAAGTAGGTTGAGGTGTGCCGAAACAGATGTATGCTGTAGGCCAGTAATAAAAGTGGGCCTACACTAGTAGAGTTTGTTGAATAAAGGGAGTGGAGGTTGGGGCAGAAGATCGTCGGACCAATCACGGTAGGTTAGGGAAAGAGTGAGTCCCTTTTAAAGGTCCATAAGTCCCTCCCAGAACTTCAGGCCAAGCCTTCCAATTTGTGTTCAGGGCTACATAGGTTATGATTGAAGTAAGATTAGTGCAACAGAACCGGTGATAGGGAAAAAGTCGGTTGAGGTGTGCCGAAACCGACGTATGCTGTGGGCCAGTAATAAAAGAGGGCAAAAAGGAAAACAGAACATACTTAAAATAAATTTATTGAGAAAGAACATAATACAACCTAGGTACAATTAAGAAGATTTTTTTCTAATGCTTTTTGCATTTCCTGTACCGGTTGAGGTATGTAAGTTGTATATGCTGAGTACTTCCAGCGGCCTAGCGATTTAATTATATGGACTGGAATGTCCTGGCTCGATGCAGTAGAGACGGCCCCTATCCTAAATGAGTGTCCTATATAGTTGCTAGGGTTCTTACCTAGCCTAGCCATGTTAACATTAAGCGTATGTATAACATGAATTTGGACATAGTGAGGATAGCCCCGTAAAGTGACAAAAGCGGTAGAGAGGAGAGATTTGGTATGGTGAGGAGGTAGGAGTCGAAAACCTTCACAAGTGGCACTTCCCTGTGAAAACCGTGTCAGACTTTTGTCAATCAAATACTGCTCCTAGAGTAGCATTTGGTGCAGTGTGACATTTGCTGCACTTGACACTAGTAACTAGGCAGAGGGCCATGGCAAAGTAAGAAGGGCAAGTACAACTCAAGAACCCTCAAGAGGTCCTAACTCTATAGCAGGGGTAGGCAACCTTTTAGCAGCACTGTGCCAATATAGGATTGTGATGTCCCGTAGCGTGCCGGTCCAATTTTTTTAAATTGAGGTGTGTATGCTGCCGTATTCTGCTTGTGTTATTTTTACTGTAATTTCTTTGTATTGTTGTATTTGTGCGTATATGAGCAATTTTATTGTATATGTTCAGGAGTAGTTTGTGGTATCGTGTATGATACATATGAATGTGGGCTGCTTGTGGAATTGTGTGTGTATGGATATGTCACATTGTGTGTTTAGTAGTGTGTGTATGTGTGGGGCTGTTTGGGGTATTGCATGTGAGAGGCTGCATGTGGGGTTGTGTGCATGTATGTGGATTGTTAGCGGGTTACGTTTGTGCGGATTGTAGGTATGTTTGTTTGAGGGCTGTTCGTATTATTATTTGTATGAGGGGGGGTTATTGTGCATTTCTGTGAATATCTAGCAGTGTGGGGGGCTTCCCTGGGTTCCAGGCTGGCCAGGTACAGGAGGTGCAACAGCAGCTGCAGGCTGCTCTACTAAAGTGTGAATTCCCATTCACAAGTGCTGGGAGGAAGTGATCTGATATCACTTCCTCTACGTGCTGCAATGCATAAATTGAGGATTGTCCTTCACCACCTTTTCGTATTAGAAGATATCTGAAGTTTCACTGGGACTCCTGATAGGCCAGAGCCTGTTTAGCTCTAGCAGCCTTGAGTACCTTGCATGGCACAAGTGCCGTAGGTTGCCTTCCCCTGCTCTATAGTGTACCTACATCTGCAAAATTTCAGTTGTAGTTCTACGACAGCTGGTGATGGTTTTGGCCATCACTGACCCATGAAACACCTCAAGTGGCTGTCTGAGTGACTACCACTAAAGGTGCTACTAAGCAGCAATGTAAACACTGCCTTTTCACTGAAAGGTTTACTTAAAAATGTCTCCAGGGACAGAGAGTAGACACCAGAACTACATTAAGCTGTAGTTGCTCTGGTGACTATAGTGTCCCTTTAAACACTGCACAATGCCAATGATGAAATTTCCAAGAAAAGGTTGAAGAACACAGTTCACATTACATCAATCCAATACCTTTCATTTCATTACAATGGACCAATGTATCTCATATCTTAGGCTCTTGAATTTTTAATAAGCAACCGTGATGAATACACTGAAAAAATAAAACAAAGAATGCATGTGGAGGTCCTACACTACTGTAACAACCATCAGTCACCTGCTTCCCACATTTCTTTAGCAACAGCTAGTGCTTTAAGATTTAAAAGAGTGTTCCCTCTTCTTTATCACTATTATTCAACATTATAAATGAGTTGATCTCAAGAAACAAATTAAACTTTCATTATGTGCCATGGTTGCACCCTCCCAGCTATCTTCCTAATCACTTTGTGAAGTAGCAAAAAAAAAAGGAGGAGACTATGGTTCTTAAATATTTCAATGCAATGCTTCTTTATGAGAAGCACTGTAGAATCAATGATTAAATTGTAGAGCATAAGCCCTGCTTCTATGAGACGCATCAGACTGTCTAGTAAATCATAAGTTCTGATGACCTTCCAGAAGCGACACAGATGCATTAAGGGACCTTGCTGCTCGATTACATTTAAAATACACTTAAAGGGAAGCTATTGTCACCTGAACAACTGCAGCATAATGTAATTCTAGTGAGTATAGTCAGTCTGCAGGTATTCACAAATTTAGTGTCTCCACAATCTGCATGGAGGCACTGAACCTTCCTAACAAAGATACATTGATGGCCGCACTTGCACATAAGCCTCCTAATGCGAAAGAATTGGATCCGCTGAGATTTTCAATTCTGATATCAGCCAAGAAGGCGTTTTAGTGGTGGTGCCAGTTCTGTTAGAGACACACTGTGCAAAAAAAGTAAAAGGTACGTTTTCTACTTATTTAAGAGGGAGCAATAGAAGGCTAAATATTATTTTAACACTATACGATCAAGAATACATGTTTTTGTTCGTGACCCTATAGTTTTCCTTTAAGTCAAGACACTCCAAGCAATTCAGCTACGACGCTGTACAGAATTTTTTATTGTACTATTATTTTAGATATTGTTATATAGAACGACATTAAGGCTGTAAAAACTGTGGCTGTTTATTTAAACACTATAGTCACCAAAACAACTTTAACCCAATAAAGCTGTTTTGGTGTATAGATCATGTCCCTGCAGGCTCACTGCCATTTAGGAGTTAAATCACTTTAATTTCTGTTTATGCAACTCTAGTCACACCTCTCCTGGTTGTGACTGACAGTCTGCATGAAAACAAGATGGTTGTATTTTCAATCAGATGTAACTAACTTTAAATATTTGAACCCCCTGTTCTGTAAATTGAACTTTAATTACATACAGGAAATAAGAAATTCTAAATAAAAAAGAATTTGCAATAAAGCAAGTGTAAACATTAGATTACTCTTCACAGGAAGTGTTTAGGAAGGCTGTGTAAGTCACATGCAGCGAGCTGTGACTAGGGCTGCATAAACAAAGTGATTTAACTTCTCAATGGCAGAAAATTGACCAGTGAGACTGAAGGCATGTTCTACACACTTACTGTTTTATTAAGCTAAAGTTGTTTTGGTGACTATAGTGTCCCTTTAAGCAGCATTTCAGGATCTACCTTTTGGCCACAACTGTTCTAAATGGTAAATCAGTAAAAAAGTAAAGACAATAGTGTAGTGCTTACAATTACAGAAAGTGATTTAATAACATTCACTTTTCAAAAATGTCCCAACTTTTTCTCAAAACAAATCCAATTGGTGATACAAAATGCTCATGCAACCAAAAAACAAATTTTTGTGAGGACAGAATAATCAGTCCAAATGTGGTATTTCAAAAAATGATTTTAAAGTGTTTAGTGAACAGTTTATTTAATATTGAGCAATATAAAATTACAATTGTGAAAACAAGAACATGTTAAATGAGAAAATAAATCCTTGATTAAAATTGCAGTTTGCACTAATTCAAATATGTACCCGTATGAGTCCAGTGTCCCTCTTGACAACACACAAAATCTACTATGCACGATTTCGCCACCTCAAAAGACAGTGTTGGATTTCTTTATTAAAAAAAAAAGAAAATTTAAAAAAATAAAAATGGATCTGTTCCTAACAACTCCCAGAGCAGTGTTAAGCACTGTACTATGTTGTGGACATACAATACTGCTTATAATTTTGCAATTATCTAAAACCAGAAATGCCAGAATTACATGTCCAAAATCACCTAAATTGTGATAATCAATTAACAGGGAGTAATTTAAAGGAACCAAGAAAATGTTGGATTGCGTTTCACATTCATGTTCTATTTTCTCCTTATAGAAAGCTCTTCGGTATTTTTTTTTTTAAACCACACTCCAATTTCCTGTCCTGCCCAACGAAAGTTCTTTGGTGTCCCCAAAAGCGAAACCGGGAACAAAATTGAAATGACAGGATTGCTGGGAGACATGCCTTATAGGAACACAGTAGAGTTAGGAAACATATCTGTATTCCTAAACTGAAGCCCTGATGCCACTTATTTAGTTCCCCTCCATGTGTAACCAGAATTATAAAACAAAAAAACAAAAAAAACACACAAAAAAAAAAAAACGATTAACTCACAACCTTTTCTCTAGCACCAAGTCTCCCTTGACACTGCCACAAACTTCTCAAGTTACGTCATACTGGAGGAGTGCCTCCAAGATGATGGGCTAATCCAATGATCATCACAGAGAGCACTGGGGAACATAGGCTCATGTACAGCTCTTGATGTGCCTATGAGTGCTCCATAGAGAATCATTGATGCAACGATTCTCTATGGCTCACTGTGATTGTATGAAAAATGGCAAGTAACATCTTAAAGTCTTGTTTCCAAGCTGTCAATTTATTGAAATAAATTGTTTTGGGGCAGGACAGAGAAGTCAGCACTGAACGCACTATAAAAACCATCAACAACCAGTCACACCTGGCTGCAACTGACACAGCCGTTCTAAACACTTCCTGTAAAGTGAGATCTAATGTTTATTACTTCTTTTAATGCACAGTCTGTTTAATTTAGAATGTCTTCTAAATTCTCCCTCTCTGATAATAGCTTGCTAGACCCTGCAGGAGACTCCTGTATTTGAATAAACTCCGATTTACAGAGCATGAGATATAAAAGTTCTAAAGTAAGTTAACATCTGATTGAAATTTAAACTAATTTTCATGCAGGCTGTCAGTCATAGTCAGTGGAGTTGTGGCTAGGGCTGCATGGACAGAAACAAAGGTTTAAAAGTAAGTGTAGACCGATTATTGGTTCTGACGACTATTAGAGCAGACATTTGGCATATTTCTGATAACCGATATTGGTCTTGTAAATTTATTGATAACTTACTCACCTCTCCCAGTAACCACACACCATGAATGACAGCCACTGGAGACAGAATAAACATTTAACTCCTAAATGGCAGAAAATTGAGCAGTGAGACTGCGGAGGCATGATCTATACATCAATATGGCTTAATAAATCCAAAGTTATTTTGTGATTATAGTATCCATTTAAGAGTATCAGGGAGGAAAATTACATTTTTGGTTTCTGGAAAGGTTCATAAGCTTCAGCTTATAGTGTTGTGATTTATTATGAGGACTTGAGACCCAACAAACATGTATATGAAATATAAAAAGCAAGTGTCTAAAACAGCATTGATAACAACCAATCATATTTTTAGGCGTATTATTTATAACCCACACACATTTCTTCACCCTGCTCTCACTGACTCTCCAAAAATAGTTTCTCACATGCCTTGTGATCATTATATGAATAGAAATAGAAGTATACCTTTATAATGCTGCACACTTAAGAGTTCAAACAAACTGTCACATTGGCAATCTGTAATCTAGATAACATGGACTTCAACACACTCACTCTCATGCAGATTTCTTCAGAGTAATCAGGTTTAAAGTCAAGTCAAAAGCAGCCCCAGTATGTGATATTATTGGGTCTTCATTAAGATGAAGTTGCTTTGATGTTTCAAGGAAAACACCCCCTTAAAACTTAAGCTTATTTAAGTTGTTAGGAAAGTATCAGTGTCCAGAAATCTTTTTCCTTTTAAGAAATAAACTACTTAGCAACTGTTTAACCTTAACATTGGGGTTCCTGTACCCAGCTCTCCTGTCTCCAGACAGGGGTAGCTAGGTTGCCTCTGACTGGTCAAGAATGTCATGCATTGATAAAGGGGATAATAACACTAAACATGTGTACCTTATGCCAGGGCTTGACAAATTTGTTTGGAATCTAGGATCCAGCTAAAAAAGTTAAGAGCTTAAATTTATGAGAAATATACAATTCTTAAAAGGGACACTATTGTCACCAGAACCACTACAGCTTAAAGGGACACTCCAGGCACCCAGACCACTTTTGCCCATTGGAGTGGATAGGGTGCCAACTCCCACTAACCTTAACCCTGCAAGTGTAATTATTGCAGTTTTTATAAACTGCAATAACTACCTTGCAGGGGTTAACTCCTCCTTCTAGTGGCTGTCTTCTAGCACTTCCTGGTCCACAGCACTGGTTTGCTATAGCTATTCACTATGTGAGGACCTCCAGTGTCGCTAAAATCCCCATAGGAAAGCACTGAAAGCATTTTCAATGCTTTCCTATGGGGAGGAGTAATGCGCGTGCGCAGCATTGCCGCGCATGCGCACTAGGTCTCCCCCGCCGGTGGCTGCACATGCGCAGTCGGTCTCCCCCGCCGGCTGATGTCGGTGTTGGAGGAGCGTGGGCGGACCGAGAACCACCGCCGAGGGACATCAGCAGTGGTCTCAGGTAAGTCACTGAGGATGGGGGGTGGGAGGGCGAGGGGACCTGCAGTGCCAGGAAAACGGATTGTTTTCCTGGCACTGGAGAGTCCCTTTAATGTTGTTGTTCTGGTGCCTAAAGCCTGTCCCTGTAGCCTTTTTAATGTAAACACTGCCTTTTCCGAGAAAAGGCAGTGTTTACATTGCTGCCTAGTAACACCTTTAGTGAGTCACTCAGACGCCACTAGAGAGTCCTGTGTCAGTACTGCACAGTGTGCAGCACCTTTGTTCAGAGTCTCCAGGCTCTGCATGGAGGTGCTGAATGTTACTTATAGAGACCCATGCACAATATCCTATAAGAAAGCATTAGTTTAGTGGAGATCTTTATGAATGATTATCTCCATGAGTAATTGAAGATCAGCATAGAGATTGATGCCTTAATATTTTATGTATTCCAGCCTCCAGTCAAATTTATAGGACAGTCTAAGGAGGGATAGGTGAGAGTCTGGAACGTTGAGAGCCAGGGCTTGTGATTTAGTTAGATTAATTTTGTGGTAGGATACTGCTTTGTATGCAGCTAATGTCTCCTGGACATATGGGAGAGCCCGGAGAGCATCAGACACCACAAGGAAGATGTCACCCGCAAACAGGGCGAGCTTCTGCGGCTCCATATCGTCTATGTCAATGCCTGTTATGTGAGGGTTATTTCGAATGGCGCACGCCAAGGGCTCTAGTGCCAATATGTACCTACGGCACGTAACTTAAAAACAGGAAAATTTGAGGTCTCCTGAATGGCATGCATAGCCGGAAGGCCATCTCCATCTGTAATCAGACTTATCTCAGCAGTCTATACATTAAAAGCTACATTTAGAGCTGGATGGGAAACTGAACTAGGCAAGAAATTTGAGGTGAGGGAGTGGAGATCAATCTTGAAATTCACTGCATCTATCTCACAATGCACCAATCGCACTGAGTTATCGAATAAAATCCTGACTCGGTGGTACTTCACCCCAGTTAGTCTACAACATATGTTCCCTGGGGTATCCAAACCATGCTGGAGGGAGTGCGGAGGAGACTGTCCCCACATACAACCAATATGTGCACAGCTTCATAAATTTATAGAAACACTGACAGGGAGAGACACACACACTCTAACAGACGCACATTTTTCATATTTCTGAAAAATCGATATTGGTCTTGTAATTTACTGTCAACTACCAGTGAAAACACACCGTGATCAACAGCCACTAGTGGTGGCGTTAAAGGACCACTATAGTGCCAGGAAAACATACTCTTTTTTCTGGCACTATAGTGGCTTGAGGGTGCCCCCACCCTCAGGGTCCCCCTCCCGCCGGGCTCTAGGGGGTTGAAGGGGTTAAACTTACCTCTTTTTCCAGCGCCAAGCGGGGGACTCTCCTCCTCCTCGGCTGAATGCGCGGCAAGAGCCGTGCGCGCAGCCAGTCTCATAGGAAAGCATTCACAATGCTTTCCTATGGACGCTGGCGCCTTCTCACTGTAATTTTCACAGTGAGAAGCACGCAAGCGCCTCTAGCGGCTGTCAATGAGGCAGCCACTAGGGGCTGGATTAACCCTAATAGAAATATAGCAGTTTCTCTTAAACTGCTATGTTTATAGAAAAAAGGGTTAATCCTAGCTGGACCAGGAACCCAGACCAATTCATTAAGCTGAAGTGGTCTGGGTGCCTATAGTGGTCCTTTAACCCAATTAATGCAGTTTCTAAGAAAATGCAATACTTTACATTGCAGAGTAAGGGGACAGGGGCAATGCACTCAATAAGATGAAGTTATTTAGGTTCCTATTGGCCTATTGTGTTCCTCAAAGAAGACAAACTCACAAAATATATATATATATATATATATATATATATATATATATATATATTAGAAAAAAAAAGGCTATATAATCTACAGTTTTAATATCACTAAAAAAGGCCAGATTTGCATAATATACACAGACAAAATATAAATCATACAAGTAAACCTAAACTGACTCCACTGTTTAGTTACAGTTCCCCTTCCACTACAGACAACAGGAGAGATTACATACACGCTCCCTTATTTACCTAACAAGACCCTGAGGCAGACACCCATTGAAGAGCTGTCCACCCTGAGAGGATATGACCTGCACCTCAATTCTCTTATACCTGATCCCTGACACCCCTCAGGAGGCAGCCTGCCCCTACTCAATACCCGAGGTTGACCCCACCCCGATCACCTGTTGTAAAAATAAACCTCCATATACGAAGAGCATCATGGGAGTTGTAGTTCTATGGCAGTTTGTGTGGGTGAGGCCATCCAGTTAATCCCTGCCCTCACCCCGGATAATCCCTCCCGGTAACTCCCCTCCCCCATCACGATATCGGCCCCCCCCCTACCTCGAACTCCTGGATGTTGTTGGAGGTGACGAAGATCCCGATGCCTATGGGGATGAAGATGATGCCGATGACGAAGAATGCTGGCAGCACGGTCCCGGCGGTGAGGATGGGCTGCCAAGCCGGAAGCCTCTGCTGCTTAAAGGCCGTGTTATCCGGCTTCTTGCTCTTCACCCCGGCCCCGGGACCCACCCCTGAGTGATGGTGGCCATCTTCCTCCTTAGCGTTATAATTCATGGCCATGGCGACCCCTGAGCTAGCCGCAGGCGGACTAACCGAGCTCAGAACCTGGGGAGCGACTGGCAAACACTGCACATCCGCCCTTTGCCTGACGTCACCGAGAGGGCGGGGTCAACAGTCAAGGAGGCGCATGCGCGCTGAGTGATAACACCAGACTAGATGACAGGACGCCATCAATGCTGCAGTTAACTTCCTATTGGCCAACTTTGTAGTGACGTCACCGGCTGGCTCATATTTAATTAGAGTCCTGTAGTCTCTAATAATAGGAATTTATATTACCCTAAATAAAACATAGAACACATCATAAGCAAAAACAAATCATATCCTTAGCAAATGTGCAGTCACACATACTTTATAACAACACACATGCATTCTCTAAACTTGGAAGTACTGCCAATTGAAATGAGAAGGCAACATGGCTGTTCTGGAACAATTCTCCAACTCCACTAAAGTCACCAATTTTCTAGAGTAGCCACAATTTTGCCTTTTATATCATATTTTATTCACAAGTTTAGGAGAAGACGTTTAGTTAGAGTTTAGTGAAGGAAAGCCCAACTGTAAATGCATCAGTGACAGAACATTTCTTCTATATAATATATCAGACAGGCAATTACATTAATTTGCCTAACCCTTTCCTGTGTTTATACCTTCTAAAATGTATGCATTTGCACTAGGCAATCAGGAAGAACACGCTCCTGGAGGGTGCAACTCAAAAGCTTTATAAAAGTGCTGAATTCTCTTGAAATTTGCACTTTTACTAAGAAAGCGGGGATGTTGACCCCGTAGAGCACAAAGTAATTTATGTGACCTGCGCTTAGCTCCCTTTCTTTCCAAAAGAGGCATAATTGCCATCTGTTCCATTAAATGAAAAAAATGCAAGATAGGTTTGCTGACTAATTATGGCAGCATTCCTTATGGCTAGCTCCGCCCTCCAACCATATCAGGACAGGAATTAACCAATAAAAAAGTGACTATATGCTTAAAAGCTCCTTCCTACTCCTTTCATACAACAGTCTTTTTTCTTGTCCTTAACTGGACCGACAGGAATATTTTTCCTAAAAAGTGTTTTTTTTGCCCACCTTCCCATGTGTACCATGGGTCTACCAGTCACAATTCAGCCACTCTGTGCCTGGCAGACTCATTAAACAGCCTGCACAAGCAGTATATTTTAAACCTGGAATTAATAAACTAAACATCGTATATTTGCTGAGGATTGGCAGTGGCTCATTAGAAGCCTGAAATTTTATAGAGAGGAGGCTTCATATTTGCTTTACTTTCTTTCCTGAATCCTCCCAGCAGCAAAGAAACAGTTAAACAATGAGACTCCTCCCAATTCCTCTTTCTTTGCTGCTTGCCTATATTTACCTCAGTTTTTTACCATACCATTGTTTTAATTGATTTTTTTGGTCTTAATTATGGTTATTACATCTTTATTTCTACTTCATTATATAGATTCTCCCCTCAGAGCCGACCTCTTGTCTGCCCACAGGGTTTTTCTTTCACTCCCATTGACTCTTAAGTCATTTTATCCTGTTACCCTCAGCTCTAATTATTCCCCTCCCTTTCAGTTTAGGTTTTTTTGCTGACCTAATGATCTAATCTAACCGCGGCTTTTTTCTTATCTTCCGGACGCTAATAGTCGGGCCTCACTACTGCTAGTATTGCGCGGCCCATCTGGCCATTTTTCCCACCTTTTTCCTGTGACATGGGTGGGTATCACCTCCTTCAGAGCTGGCAGCCATTTAGTTTTTTTAGTCAGTTTTTCATCAAGTCACCAAGTTCCAAGGTAAGTTTTTATTTTTATTTTTTATTTGTACTACTCTTCCATAATAATATTTTTTTTAAATATATTCTGAATAGTTTCTACCTATTGATCTATTCATCTATTTAAAGTGGAATTATTTATTTATTTTTTGTCTAAATCATATAAAATAAATCCAAACATTAATCTGCCTAAAGGGTTTATTGTAACAGGTGACCCCTGTTTGCTATAGTGGTAATTTTCTCCACTACTTAGCTACCCACTGCGTCTTTGTTTATATATATATATATATATATGTGTGTGTGTGTGTGTGTGTGTGTGTATTATTTATTATTTATAAAGTGGGTGACCCCCATTTACTGCTGCATCTTTGGGTAACCCCCCATATACTATACTTGGGTGACCCCCAAGATTTATTTCAAAGGGTGACCTCCTTTATTGTAATATGTGAGCCCTGTTTGCTATAGTGGTAATTTTCATCACTACTTAGCTACCCACTGCGTCTTTGTTATTATAGATATATATATATATATGTATATATGTGTGTATATATGTATATATGTGTGTGTGTGTATGTGTGTGTATATGTATTTATGTGTATATATATATATATATAATGTATAAAATGGGTGACCCCCATTTACTGCTGCATCTTTGGGTAACCCCCATATGCTTTACCTGGGTAACCCCCAAGAGTTATTTCAAAAGGTGACCCCCTTTTAACATTGGGTGACCCCAGTTATTCACAAAGGGTGATTCACATAATGGATCTGACCATGAATGGGCTCCGCACAAACATCCCTGGAAGGGCAACAGTGCCTCAGCCAGTAAAGGCAAGGCACCAGGCTAAATATCCAAGTTTGTCACACACCTCCTCTAGCCAACAGATAATTGATCCCCTAGAAGGTTCCACATCCCACTATGACCTACAAGTCGTGGATGAGTACTGTGCTGATGACAAATCCCCACTGATGCGCTGCACGCTAATATTCCTTATGTCAAGGAGAATTTTGTTAATCAGCCACTGGTTTACCAAGACTCTAACACAATTAATCCCTCCAAGGCCCAGGATCAGTCTACCTTACTAGATGCTAGTGGCCAACACTTATTCAATCCCAGGATCATTAAACATCCCCGCCCGGCTGAGTGGGTCCCATCTGACCATATAGCGCAATTCTGAAGAAAATGTGGCTCCACAAGTCGTTTGAAAAGAAGATTCAGAATAAGCTGAGAGCAGAATCTCCACATCACAATACCTAGAGGTGGCACTCACACCTGAATTTGATCATCTCCTTTGATTACCTAAAAAAGTTGGGTAAAAACCCCGCAAATGCCTTGAACAGGGTCTAAAAGCAGTTCACGGCAATCTGCTTGACATCGCTGGCCCCATTATACAAATCTTTATGCTTGCTGATAAAACTCTAACAGACGGTACCTTGGATCCACATTTGGTAAGAGAATGGACACAGAGGGCCTTGTGTTTACATGGCAACAATAATGTAGCCATTTCAGCTGCACAACACAAAGCCAAGATTGACGCATAATTGGCGAATTTAGGTTCCAAAGAACTCGGTCCAGAGGCTAATGGCCATTTGTTTGGTGATCAATTCATGAGAGATCTCAGCAGACATGTTTCTGTTTTCACCTCTCTTAATAAAGTTCAAACATCCCTGCAACAGAATGTTCTGCTCTCATCCTTTTTCTGGTATAGAGGTCGAGTTACCGGCAGGACTGCCTTCACAAGCTATAGGCGTCATCCCACTGAACCTTGAAACTCAGGTGATACCCGCCCCTATCACAGACAACTTCACAGACAGAGGATCGATCACAGCTATTTTACACTCAGAACTCTGCAATCTCAGAGACAAGGGTGTGATCAAGCATTCTCCATTCACACCCAGGTTTCTCAGTCCAGAAGAACAAATTTCGCCCTATCATCAATTTAAGAAACTTAAATTAAAATGAAAAATTTTAAATGGAAGGCATACACATGCTTCGAGACCTTCTCCCGCTTCGATTTTAGGAGACGATTTAACGTAAACAGTTCCGGTGGCATTCTCCCACCACCCCTTTCTACAATTCCTCTGGCAACTGAGTTGCCTCCTTTTTGGTTTCTCTTCCACCCCTTGCTGTTTACCCAAGTTGATGAAACCAGTTATTGCCCTTCTTCAGTCCCAAGGTATCAGATCTATCATCTATCTAGACGACATCCTAATCATGGCTCAAGATCTGTTCACCCTTCAAAAACATACAGAAATTACCAAATCTCTCCTTCAGAACCTCGGATTTGTCATGATTTCAAGAAATCTTCTCTGATCCCATCTCAGACTATTCTTTTCCTGGGTCTTCGGATCTACTCCGTCCTTTTGTTTCTTCTACTCCCATCTTCAAAGATAAAATAAAAAAGCTGCTGTCCCCTCAACAAGTTATCTTTGTGATTTAGCGCTAATCATAGGACTACTTTTAGTCTCCATTCAGTCTTTTTCCCAGGCCCTTTACACTACAGGGCAATACAATGTCTCAAGACATTATCTTCACAGATCCAGGTCATACGACCAACCAATTTTCTTACCGACAAGGTCCGACTAGAGTTAGATTGGTGGCTCCACAAGACGGAACCTTAGAAATGGGAAAGCTATATTCAGGTAGCAATCCAATTTTATCCTGGAGTCAGACACCATCCTCCTGGGTTGGGGGCTACCTGATCCGACCTCTCCACAAGTGGACACAAATGGGAACACACATTGCATATCAATTTGTCAGGATTACTGTTTGATCCAGCACGTAGAACTGTACAGCACGGATGACAAATAAGTAACGTATTACCGGTCCTTAGAATGGCCGGATTTAACGTACAAAGAATAGTCAAAAATACTAGCCGAGGTCAGGGAACACAGAAAGGGACACAGCGATGAGGAAAGCCAGGAGTCAGGATACCAGAATATAGAGAAGTCAATAAACAAAGCCAAAGTCAAAACCAGGTAGAAAACTATAAACAGGAACGCGCTCTCGGACAACCACAAGGGAAACCACGACAGGGCACTGAGCAGGCTGAGAACTGGGCCTAAATACCCCTCCTTTCTTTCTGATAGGCTGTAACCGGCCTTTGACCCCAAAGTCAGTTACCAGGTTTCATTTGCATAATTGCTGCTCAGCATTAACCCTTCTGTGGATTAGGTTGCTGCTCGGCACAACTTTTCCTGTATGGACAGTAAATGTCATTAACCACATTTCTATAAGCGGATGAATACGTGACACAATTGACTCAAACTGATGGCAGCTTCCCTTGTGATTCTCAGCTTCACCAAGGACGCCTACAACTGTCCTTTGGTTCTCAGAATGGACAACGTTTCCACTGTACGTAAAGTCAATTGTCTAGGGAGTTCTCGATCAAAGCTCCTGTCAGACCTTACGAGAAATCTTTATCAGTTCTGTCTGGACAGAAACCTCTCTCTTCAAGCAGAATACCTTCCAGGACTGGACAATCTTGTGGCAGACTGGTTCTCCCGTCACTGGACACATGCCAGCGATTGGAACCTGGTTCCAGGCATTTTCCATCATCTACTTCGCAGGCCTCTCACTCTGGACCTGTTAGCTTCCAGACTGAATCGTCAGGCCGACACAGTTTTTCAGTCGGCTACCAGATCCAATGTCTCAAGCCGTCAACGCATTCTTACAGTGACAGTGTAAAATATCGACAGTGGCTTATGCCTTTCCACCTTTTTCAATGATCTCTTGAACTCTTTATCATCTCAGGGTTCTTGGAGTCAATATCCTCTTAATAACTCCTCTCTGGAGGGCCCAGCCTTTGTATCCCAATCTCCTAGAAATGTCTGCAGATTACATTCTGCTTCTCCTGGTACCTCACAATCTCCTCCAAGATCCTTCAGGGGACTTCCATCATCTCGCCATCCAATGTCGTCTTCGACTCGTGGCCTGAACGATTTCAGGGGATCCTTGTATGTCTCAGGACTTTCTGACTGGTCTAGAGGACTCCTCTGGAATTCACGGGCCCCCGGAACTCGTAGAGCATACCTTTCCACATGGCGTTTTTGGGTTAGCTGGTGTTTGGAAAGGGATATTGATACATTTTCAAACTACTTTGGTGAATATTATGAACTTCCTATCTTCCCCTGTTGACAAAAGAAAGTCTTACCATACCATAAACATTCTTCGTTCTGCTATTTTGGCAGCTCATATACCGATTGACGCATTTCCGGTTTGGAAACATCCTTCTGTTTGCAGGTTGTTACAGGGTATTTGTCTTTCTCGACCCTCGGCTCCCTCAATACACCCAATTCTGGGATGTTTCTCAGGTTTTGTCGTTCCTGGAAGCATTGCCTCCTAATTCAGAACTTTCCTTGCACCAACTCTCAACCAAACTAGCCTTATGGCCTTTGACTTCCACGCTATTGCGTTCACCCTGAGGGTGTTAATGTTTCCTTTGTTGGTTGCACAAAGGTTCTTTCCACCTCTGTCTTTTTATCCTTACTTTCCAGATAGACGTTCTTTTTGTGTTGCTCGTTGCTTACAGCGATATGTCACTCTTATCTCCCCTCTTGAGGCTCCATTGGGACCTCTGTTTGTATTTTATATTTGTCCTCATAACCCTGTGTACTGTCACATGATTACTCATTGTATTAGATGGCTTCTTCGTCTTGCGAACATTGAAGCTTCTTTTGGTGCTCATTCGGTGCGTGGCGCGGCTGTGTCCTCTGCTTTGGTGCCCAGGAGGTCTCTTTCATACATTCTATCTTCTGCTGATTGATCACGAGAATCCACAATCCGTACCTTATATTTCCGACCTGCATCTCACGTTTATTTCCATTTACTCTCCAGGCATTAAAACAGCAAATATGAAGCCTCCTGTCTTGCCATAAAATTAGGGATTATTCTAGCTTCAGTGACTAAATAATCTAAAGACAGGAGGCAAATATTTTTCCACCCATTGGCTTCTTTAAATCTTTCAATGTCCCACCCCTTTATTTTGTTCACTTGTGGATACTCAGGTAAGGTCTTACATGCATTTTACTTGCCTCATATATCTTTTGATCATGGTTTTATTGTAAAATGTTTAGATTACTCTAGTTTTCATAATATATGTATATTGCATAATTATTGACATGACTTGTCACATTAGTGTTTTTTTCTGTATGACTGCCAGTCTACCAATCACATCATACTTTCACAAATTTTCATTTCATTCTAGTGTGAAGTTTCTTCTTCTCCTTCATGGCATCCTTGATTCGTCTCTTCATTGGACTCGTTATGCCTCGTTTACATGGTTTACTACGCTTTATGTTTTGCTGACTATTTTCTGGTTTACACGGTGGACTTCAAATTTTGGCTGCATCAAGAAAGAGGAATTGGGAGGAGTCTCATATTACTGTACGGATGTCTTCTGATTGGTTGATTTTGTTTTCAATTGTTTAACTGTTTCTTTGCTGCTGGGAGGATTCAGTAAAGAAAGTAAAGCAAATATTCGCCTCCTGTCTTTAATAAAATTTAGATTATTTAGTCACTGAAGCTAGAATAATCCCTAATTATCCTCCTCCTTAATACACACTCTGATGCCTTTTTTAGGGAGCAGACTTCCTTTTCTTAAAATTTCTCTGAATTCTATAGGCTCTATCTAGCTTATCCTCTATTTCTTCTCCTCGGGAACTTGTAGTAAGTTTTCTGAACTTTGACATAACAATATTTTTGCCTATGACCGCTGCTATCTTACCAATAAATGTGCACTTATTTCATCATTTTTTTTTTTGTTCATATTTTTTTTTTTTTTTTTTTTTACTGTGCGGACCATGTTATAAGTTTTATGTTATTAACTCCAATTCCCTGATTGCTGACTGAACACTGAATCAAAATCGTGTCATTCAGCGTTTTGCTGTGTCCATTTGGGAATTATTACCTTTCTGTTCCATGGTCATTCGCTATTTTGTTCATTTATTCAAGTGCTTTTCTTCTGCGAACAGAGTGAACAACCTGGCTTTCAGGTGTTCTGGAGTTTGTCAGACAACGGCTAAGGTGTTTATATTGTATTCAATAAATTATGGCTCAAACGTTTGGCGTCCTCAATTCCCAAATGTGCAGGCACAAATGGCTTAAAGGCACATGTCCCCCAAAATCGTTAAAAAGAAAAGACCGAAATTCTGCTTTCATATAAAAAACTTAAAAATAATAAAATCTAAAAAGTTCTTCAAGGCACTGCAAGCAGTATTTCGCTGCCTAAGATAATTTTAAGCTTCTTCTTTGAATTTTTATATTTTAAATTTTTTTAAATTTTTTTAAAATTAAATTCTCCTTACTTATCTATTACTTATATTTTTAAATAGCTTCTCCCTCTGGCATTGTTCGGGTTCCAAAAAACATAGGTGAGCCAAATGTAATTTTTCTCAAAATTGGGGCTAAAAAAGAAAGTTATCATTACACTGAACAAAATTATAAAAGCAACACTTTTGTTTTTGCCCCCATTTTTCATGAGCTGAACTCAAAGAACGAAGACTTTTTCTATGTACACAAATGGCCTATTTCTCTCAAATATTGTCCACAAATCTTTCTAAATCTGTGTTATTGAGCACTTCTCCTTTGCCGAAATAATCCTTCCACCACACAGGTGTGGCATATCAAGATGCTGATTAGACAGCATGATTATTGCAAAGGTGTGCCTTAGGCCACAATAAAAGGCAAAAACAAAAGTGTTGCGTTTATAATTTTGTATATGTATGGCTCTATATCCTAAAAGTATGAGCCAGGAAAAATCATGGGAACCAGTACCTCCAAGAAAGCATAAAGACTAATCCAACCGGTGCCTGGGATGTAATAGGATAGCAGCTGAAAGGGGAAACTTATGCATAACCTGTCTGACGGAGGTAGCTGATGCTCAACCAAAACCTTGGTTGACTCTGTGAGGTTTGCTGGCCATGAGGTGTAAGACTAATTTCTGCCACTCTCCAAGGGTATGAAATCTTTTGAGAGCAGCTGTATGTAAGTATGATAATCACATTGCTATTCTATAGCATGGTTTTATTTTGCCTGTTCCATTTCATTTCACTTTGCCTGTTTTGTGCGCTTTCACTAAAATTGTGTATCAGATTTAACAGCTCGAACCTAACCTCTACACTGCTTGGTGGTTTAATTCTTGCATTCTTATGTATAGCCTCATGTGTAGTCAGTCTACTTGGCTACAGGCATCATATCTAGCATAATTAATTCACAGTTAAGCTATTGTTTACCTTTTAGATGTCTGTTAAGCATGATTTAAGCATAGTTAAGCATTATACTTAACTATAAGCCTGTCTTTGAATACCTCTTTCAATCAAACTTGAATTATAAAAAAAAATGTGCAGTTGTTATGTTATGCTGTCAAGACTGTCAATATGCTGTTACTTGTCATGCACAACCAAAATATAAAATTATATTTAAAAAAGGTGTATTCCATATTCCAAATTCCATAGTGCAATTGCTATAATTAAAAAATGAAAAACAATTTCTTCCTTGTTTGTATCTTTATATAACAATAAAACAATTTATTTTAAACACTATAGGAATTACATAAGTACTAAATTATACAGTTGCAACAAAACGTATGTGAACCCTTTGGAATGATATGGATTTCTGCATAAATTGGAACATACTTTTTCCACCTGCACTGTGAATGTTTACATGGTGTGTTCAATAAAAACATGGAAACATTTCATTCTTTGTGTGTTATTAGTTTAAGCAGACTGTGAGTGTCTGTTGTTGTGACTTAAATGATGATCAGATCACATTTTATGACCAATTTGTGCAGAAATCCATATCACTCCAAAGGGTTCACATACTTTTTCTTGCAACTGTATGTATATATATATATATATATATATATATATATATATATATATATATATATATATATATATATATATATATTGTGTTCCAATGTTAATATCTCCCTTTTATTTGATCTTAATAGTACTCAGGCCCAAAGTATGCTGACATAACACAGCTTTGGTGACAACATAAATATGTCTTTGTAGAAATCCTTATATCATATTCCAATTTCTTGTATTTTTATGCACCATTCATTCATTAAAAAGATGTACATATGGACCCCTCTCTGTGAGACTTTCAGCACATATCGAATAGAATCAAAATTTTTCTTTTTTTTACCTGATTTCATAAAGCTGGAAAAAACAATAATAAAAGTGAAAAATATTAATAGTGACTTAATTATATTCCCCATTTGCTGGAAATCTAAAAATAAAATAAAAAATCCAAAAATCTAATTGAAAAAGGTGTACTTATGTATCTCTCCAGAGAACTGTCCACATTCATCAATATCCCTGTAGAAAACAGACGATATCTATATCGGCATTGAGACCTCCTGGTTCTAAAGTGACTAATTGATGAATCCAGAAGGTTTCACGTTGTGCCGATCTCTCCTTTCCATTCCCTATTCTCCAGTGTGATTTGATACGTTCAACCCCCAAAAAAACAAACTTGTTCCAGCTGAAGTGAGGACAGGAATTACAGTGGACAGGAACTGTATGTTTATTAACACCATTTTTAATATTATTTAGCTGTCCTAGAATTCTAATCTTCAACTTTCTCTTGGTTCTACCAATATATTGTTTGCCACACAGACATTGCAATAAGTATATCACATGGTCCGTGTGGCAGTCAATTTTATGTTTGATATTATATTTGTTGCCTGTCACTGTACATGTAAAATTATTGACAATAGTCTATTGAATTCCACTGCATGATCTAAATCCATTGTCCAGAGTGTCACTGCATGTCTTATCCATATGTTTAATACTGTAGCTTGGAGCCAACCTATTCTTTAAGTTTTGATTTCTCTTAAAAATAATGGGGGGTCGGGGCAGAGCCTGACTAGCAAGCGAGCAAGACGTGCTAAGCTGGAGCACCTGCCAAATGGATACCTTAATGTCTGAAATCGGGGGGTGCAATTCTGGATGACCCACAAACGGAGGCTAAAAAGATGGAGGAACACAATACGCACCTGCAGATGCCAGTCTTATCACCCAGAACGCCCGGGATCCGAAACGGCGGACTGAGGCCTACGAGAGAGGGCGGGCTGGGAAGGCGGCCGCTTCCCACTCACCGCTCTGAGCCACAAGCATGCACAAATCATCCCCCCCTTGCTACCACAGCCGACAGCTCAAACCAACGGACCGGTGAGGAAGGCCTCTAAGATGGCGGCTACAAGCAACAACCATACTCATAGCACGCAGCAGCAGCCTGCATCACCCAACACCAACCGTAAGGAGAGAAACTTCCTAGACATAATCTTTGATAGGTTCTGGGCTCAATTACTGAAAAGTTAGACAATCATGATGTATTCTCTTTTCTATCGTAATGGGTTTGTTGCTTAAAAGTAGTAATCGGGTCTATAAGACTAGCCATAAGATCTTCCATTTTTATGGAGGGAAAGATGAGGGGGGTTTAGAGAAGAGGTTATGATAGGGGTTACTAACCCATGGGAGTTAATTTTAGGGACTCTTCACTTTTTTTTAATTCCCCCTCTCCCTCTTGTTTTCGGATGTTTGATTTTATTTCAGTGGGCTGTTTTTGTTTCTTTATAGTGTTTGTACTGCCAGCTCAGTTAGATTATTTCATTAAACTGATGCGTGATATAAATAAGAAAGGACCTTTAGTCTTAGGCTGCTTTTGATGCGGAATAGAAAGTATACAGGCAGGCTTAATTGGCAACCTCCGCCAAGTTCTCGAACGAAGTTAGTTCGATGAAACTTAGGTTTATCCACCACTGTTAGGGGAGGTAGAGTGAGGAGTGGGGATTTTCTAAGTAGGTAGATCCTTAAAGAAAATGATTGTATCACAGAACTTTTTTAGTGTTTGGGCGAATGTGTGTGAATGCGTATGTTATTTTTTCTGGGAGGTTCCGAGATGTGGCATGGAAGGTGCTGATGGAGGTGGGTTAGAAGGTCCTCAGATTGGTGGTTGGTTTGGTTCTCCATGAATCTGAGGATTATTAGTCAAAATGTCCAGGGTTTAAATACAGTGGGCAAAAGGAGCATAGCATTTAAAAATCTGTTTAGGGTTAAAAACAGATGTTATATGTATTCAAGAAACCCACTGGCAGACTAATAAAATTCCTTTTTTTGGCAATAGATATTATTCTAATCCCTATAGTGCCACCTATTTGAAAAGTAAATCGAGAGGGGTCTCAATAATAATTAATAAAACTTTACTAATAAAAGAAGAAATTGTCATAAAATATAAAGAAGGACGGTATCCATTATGGGCAGGCCTGATTAATTCTCAGAAATTTACAATCTTAAATATGTATGCCCCTAATAAAGGGCAAATTAAATTTATTAGCCAGAGATTGAAAGTAATGAAAAAATTCTTTATGGGAACTCTGGTGGTTTGCGGGGATTTCAGTTTACCTATGGATCCAACTGTGGATAGAAATTCGATAGGAATTTTGTCCAAAATTCCAAAAAGTTTTATAAATTACTACTTAAATATAATTTGTATGACACATGGAGAACATTGTACCCTTTAGAGAGGGACTTTTCATTTTTTTCTCACAGACATAAAATATATAGTAGATTGGATTATATTTTTATGGATGGGGAGAGTATTTCTAAAGTTCAACATGCAGAAATAGGGGTGATTATGTGGTCTGATCATGGGTTGGTTGGAGTAAGTTTGGGTTTAGACTCTCCCATTAAGAATAATAGATTATGGAATGGACATAGAATTACTAAAGCACCAGGAAATATTAAAAAATCTAAAAAATAAAAAGGTTGCATTCTTTTTAAGTAATGATGGTACTGTAAACTCTAAATAAATAGTGTGGCTTTCTTATAAAGCCTATATAAGAGGGATAATGATAAAATGGCAGTCAATATTAAAGAAGCAGAGAGGTAAATCATTAAGAGACCATACATATAGAATTTATTGTATTAGACAGAGAGAATAAAAAATCCCCTTCTGAGTTAAAGATAAATAAAATTCGAGAAATACAATCACAAATAAAAATAATTCAGCAACTGTTGGTTGATAAACTTTATGGGCTTTACAACAAAGATTATATCATTGTCAAAATCGAGCAGGGAAACTGATGGCTAACAAGTTGAAACAAAAATTAAATAATGGTAGAATAAACAGGCTATTATATAATAAAGAACTTTTTGTTAAGCCTGTTGATATTGCCGCATGCTTTGAGAAATATTATCATGACCTTTATAATTTGAATTCCCCAAATATATATAGTAGGTGTAAAAAAAAGAAAATCGTGGAATTTTTGGATAAGATTCATCTCTCTAAAATTTCTCAAATAGAGTTGGCAAATTTAAATGAAGATATTACCGAACAAGAAATTAAATGGGCAATTTCAAAATTGAAATTGGGCTCAGCCCCTGGTCCCGATGGGCTTATCAATAAATATTACTCACTCTGTCAAGTGGAGATTTCTAGTTACCTGTGCCAAACATTAAATGAAATTAAAAATGCTGGCCGAGCTCATCCAGATTGTTGGACAAATAATCACAGTCCCCAAAACACATAAATTAACCCCTGAATGCAGTGACTTTAGACCTATATCTCTGCTTAATGTGGATATAAAGATGTATGCTAAAATTGTAGTGGAAAGATTGAATCAATATATCCATAAGTTGATCAATTCTGATCAAACGGGTTTTATTCAGGGGAGGTTGGGTTCCGATAATATCAGAAAACTGTTAAATATAACTTCAGTGGTTAAATATAAAAAAAATTGCTGCAGTTTTTGTGGGACTCGATGCTGAGAAAGCATTTGACAGAGTGTATTGGGACTTTATGTTCCTCACCCTGTCAAAATATGGCTTAGGTGATTTTGCCTCTAAGGCGATTGCCGCTTTGTATACATCTAGTGTAATCGGCCAAAATTTTCGGTCAGGAAGGTTTGTCATTTTAAATGGCACTAGGCAAGGTTGCCCTTTATCCCCATTAGTTTTTGCTTTAATTATTGAACCACTGGCAACAGCGATAAGGGAATCTTAAGATATAACAGGAATTGAAGTAAATCAAAAGTCACATGTAATCTCCCTATATGCGGATGATTTAATAATAACAATAGGTAAACCGGAAAAATCTTTAAAAGCTCTTCAAGATATTATAACAGAGTATAGTGAAATATCCAATTATAAATTAAATGTAAAGAAATTGGAAGCCGTCACTTTTAATATGGGACGGTCTGACGAAGGTGCATCTGACGAAGGTGCATCTCTTTAGGCACCGAAACGTGCGTTGGGCGTTTTTTCCTTATATCTTGTATATGAGCACTGGGCACTGGTGGTTGTAGCACCATGTTTGTCATTTAATTTTTTGCTCTTTTCATTCCTTCTCTTTTTTTCTATGCCTGTCTAGCTAGCTTAACAGGGAGAGAGGCTTTATAATCTAATTTTATCAGTCTGTTATAGACTGATTTTTCTATTATATATAATTTCATACCTCTCCTTATATGACATTAGACCTTTAACTTTACAACAATTTCTTGTTTTCCAAAGGAACTGCTTACTTATACCTAAGCCCATCTATGAACATTAATTAATTTTGATTGATAGGGCTTTTAGCATGACCTATTTTCTGGATACTTGGACTAAAGGCAGTTCCACTTTGGGTCTTGACAAGATTACAATACTAGACATTTCCCAGAAGGAATTTATGATTGGGATATAGTTATCTGGCGTTACTCATCCCTAATTAGCACATTATAATAAAGCTTGTATTTAGGTTTGGGTAACTATTATGTATGTTGTATTTATACCCCCACATTTCTCCTCTGTGGCAGGCATAGAATTATTAGTACCACCTGTATATACTTTTGTTTGACTATTTGGATAGCTTGTCTCTTACAGTATTTACTATAGATGCGGTAGCAAGGTTTTTACTACACTGCATCGCTATATTTATTTCCAGGTGATGTGACTAGCCCCAGGAATGTTTTCACACTGAGACTAGTTACACCTTTTCATTGCTTGTTGTTTTTACTTATGTTATGCGCTGCATACCCTGGCAGTGTCCCATATATTTGCTTAATAAATTACAGAGGGTAATTGATGTATTTATCCACCAGAATAAAAGAATGAGAATTAAGATACCAATTATGGTTAAAAAATTCTCTAGTGGAGGGATAGCGTATCAGGAAGCCTCCCTCCTGGCACATGTGCTAAGATGGGAGGAAGAGGAAAAAAACAATAATTGGGTATCGATAGAAGCTTTTTTTCTTAAACAAATGGACTTGAACTCAGTCCTTTTTCGAGATGTTTTATCCAGTGGCATAGTGCATAGTAAAGCCTCGATTATATGGTACAGTCTTAAAAGCTGGTTGAAGTTGAATCATAAATATTCTCTGGTTCCATTTCCTAGCCCGATCACTCCCATCTCATGGCTGCAGGAAAAGATTAATTCCCCTCTGCTTGAGATATTATTGAAATTGGGATGCAGACATTTAAGTGATTTATATGTAAATAATGAATTCCTCTCTTTTGACTATTTACAATCTAATTTTAAAATTCCAACTATCTTGGAATTTGCTCTTGCTATCAAAATGTTTCAGTCTTTTGAGAGATAGGGATTTGGGCACCAAATTTTTAAATATTAGAATTTGGGAAGAAGACATTAATCAATCCTGGCCCATGGAAATGTGGTCGGGAGCTTTTGCTTCAATGGACAAATTAATTAAACATGTTTCATACAGGGAGATGTATTTTAAAATTTTAAATAGATGGTATATAACGCCACTTAAGCTTTGGAAAATAAAGGATGAGGATACTGTGATCCTTGTCTGCAGGTAGCATGGTCCTCTAGGGTAAACAACAGGCACAGTCCTTTGGTTTTCATGTAATCCAGGCAGTTTTATTGTAAAACTCCACCACAGCTACAGCAGCAAATAAAAAAAAAACAATAATGTAACAAAATCCCTATAAACAAAAGCCTAGCTCGTCTGAGCACTAACTAACATCAGACTCCCTCTCTCTCAGGGTTTAAACTAGAACAAAATAATATTTGGGTTCACCAACCTAGTGCCTTTGTCAGATCTCTGCACTCCACACTCGGTTAGCATGTGGCTTCCATTCCTTCTAGAAATAAACAGAATTCTCTCTCTTTTCCGCACTCCCAGTGCTCCAAACCAGCCTTGACTGCTTTCCTTTTGCACTCCCAGTGCTCAGCCTCCTTGACACTCTCACTGGAGAGAACAGCCTCTCTCCAACCTGCTTCCAGGGAGGAAGCCAGCAATCCCCCCCCTTTACCTGCATAGCAGGGAGGGGTTTATTCCCACTGCTGCAGCTGATTACCTGCAGCTGAGCAGTGGGTTGGAGACAGTCCAAAAAACCCTGGCTTGGATCTCTGTCTCCCAAGAAAACTGCTAAACTGCGGAGTGGAGCATTGGCCCACCCTGCTCTCCAAATGCTCCACCCCAGGGGCCCATAATTAATGTTGGTTTGTGTTGCCTACAACACATACTATACATACTCCCCCTGGGGTTAAATGTTATAGGCCTATCTGCCTTCACTTTATCACAATACATATAAATTTTGTTGGAGAGGCTGTAATCAAGTTGGCTCAGCAACACATATGTGGTGGTCGTGTCCCTATATTCAAATGTATTGGAAGGAGGTCAAACTTGGGATAGCTCGAATTGTAGGCGAAAAGATCAAATTAACTCCAGAATTGGCTCTGTTTCACTTTGTACCTAGTCACCACTCAAAAGAATTAAAATCTTTCCAGTTTCATATTTTATTAGCGATAGCGAAATGGTTGATTGCTGTAAATTGGAAAGGAGGAAGGTTGCCAAGGTGGTCAGAGCTGGAAAGAGTAATGCAAAGAAATAGGACACTAGAAAGAGAGGATGGTCAGTTAGGCGCTCATATAGTTACAAAGTATAGATGGGCTCTCTGGGATGATTATTGTTTGACCCTTGGACATAATCCTTCATAGCTATTTCCCCTTGTCGGCTTACCTCCAAATGGAATCCCAGAACAATATATGTGGTATGTGTGTGGATGTTGTGTTATGGGTATTTTTGGGATCTAAGGGGGTTGTCCTCTTTTTTATAGTTATTCCTCACATGGTTCTTTTTATACCTCCTCTCTCTCTTTTATATGGAGTGTTCCCATCTTTAGTATTGAAGATGGGCATATTTCATATGGTCTCCCCCCCACAACTTGGGTTCAAATGGCGACTAAGGTGAGGGGTTGGTGACTGCGATTAGTATAGGAAAAAAGGGGAAATCGGGGTAAGAATTTGGAAGAGGTCAACTTGTGGAGACTGATAAAGGGTATAGGTTATAACCCATACTGGGTCATTATAGATTACTCATACACTGTGAATTGATAGACTGTTTGTGGTCTTTGGTGTTTGTTGTCTTTGTATTTTTGTAATATGTGTCAAAGTAATATACAATACAAGCCTGCAGCACCAAGAGGACTGGGAAACCTCCGATGGGCACAAAAAAACGCCAACCCACTATAACCCGCATGAAACGCCCGCCTGGACAGAGGTCAATGGAGGGATTGACCCGCAGGTACCGGCCACACAAGCGGAGGGCTGCAGGACCCACACGACAGCACACGTGAGACACACGCAAGGCCCACCGCACCCGCTCGACGGGAAGGACCCTGGACCTGAAAGGACCCCAGGCTCATGGCCTGAAGGTACCAGCCCTCACGTTGATCCAGGGCAGAGGAGCCACCATGTCTACAAAGGGCTGCACAGCCGACCAGCTGAACCTCTTCGGCTGCTCCTATACCCAGCTGCACACAGGGATCGGATGATGGGTCTAGCGGGGATATGCAGCTGCAGCCTGGTGTTGGAACTGTACATAGTGGGACTGAAATGCATATAATATACCCGAACACTCTCCAACCTACTTGCAATCTATGTAACGTATTTCCACACCACACACGATCCACCATCACTTACGTGATACTAGTGGTACTAATTCACTGGAATAAAGAACATTACACTTAATCAACCACTTCGCTCTAGTGACATAAATGCATAGATACTTCTGATACACATCATAAACTACTCGCATGAATAGAGTTGAGCAGTTCGGGTTCGTACCAACATTACGATTTTTTGACCCTAAACCCGGACATTTCAGTAACAGTTCGGGTTCGAGTTTGGTGTTTGGCAATTTAATGGCGTGTTTTGAAAGGCTGCAGAAGCCATCACAGCCATGCCTACTAATGGCAGTGCAGCATGTGACCCAGCCTCTATATAAGCTGGAGTCACATGAGCTCTTATTAGTGTAGGGAGAGCATGCTGCAGCTCTGAGGGACAGATTAGGAAATAATTCTGGTGTTGAATCTGCAAACTACAGCGATTATTTTTGTGGGTGCTGTCACGAACGCACACTACTCCAAGAGTGCGCGTGACGTAGTTGTGGTGGTGAAAGGGTTAAAGTTCACTATTTGTCTGCACTAGACCGGAAATAATGACAAAATCCCCCTTTTAAAACCACCCACACTTAAACATAATAATATAACTATTACTATTTTAACGCTGCCACCACCAAGACAATTTATAAATGGGGTGCCTTCAAAAGATATAACCCCTGTTGACCTCAGCAATAGCATCTCTGTAATTTGTACATTAAAGGATGATATTCCATAGTGTAATAATAAATTATACACCCTTGCCATGACAGGTGCTATAGTACATTTTTGTACCCTGCCCTGAGTCCAGTGCCACAGAGAAATAAGCAATCAGTCTGTTTGTTAGGTCGGCGCCGGCAGCCATTTTTGCAATTGCAGTGCATTTACAACTGCATGTGTGCCAGGCACATTACTTTAATCCTATTCTGGTAGCTCAGTGGGCAACATCTAGGCAATTTAAATAATGCTGTGACATTGCAGTTTGACAAATTCAAATTTTTTTGGTGCTAAAAAGTAATTTTGGGGCGTGCACTTCATATCTGAGAGTCAAATAGAAACGTCAAATACTGCTGTGACATTGCAGTTTGACTAATTCACATTTTTTTGGTGCTAAAAAGTAAATTTGGGGCGTGCACTTCATATCTGAGAGTGAAATAGAAACGTCAAATACTGTGGTTACATCGCACTTTGAAAAATTCACATTTCTTTGGTGCTAAAAAGTTAATTTGGGGCGTGCACTTCATATCTGAGAGTCAAATCAAATACTGTGGTTACATCGCACTTTGAAAAATTCAAATTTCTTTGGTGCTAAAAAGTAAATTTGGAGCGTGCACTTCATATCTGAGAGTCAAATAGAACGGTCAAATACTGTTGTGACTGACATTGCAGTTTGACTAATTCACATTTTATTGGTGCTAAAAAGTAAATTTGGGGCGTGCACTTCATATCTGAGAGTGAAATAGAAACGTCAAATACTGTGGTTACATCGCACTTTGAAAAATTCAAATTTTTTTGGTGCTAAAAAGTAAATTTTGGTAGCTCAGTGGGCAACATCTAGGCAATTTAAATACTGCTGTGAAATTGCAAAGCTCCATTCACTAGAGCAGGTCATGACTCTAGCAAATGTAAGTAGGTCAAATATTATTTACTTTTCCTACTTTTACATATGTACTGTACCATTGGTATACATCCTTATTTTTTTCATATGATGAACCGCACTACCTTGGGAATCTGATACCAGCAAAAAGAAATCCTTAGACGGGGATTGTTCCGTCCAGGCTCCTAAAATAGAGCTTTTTAAGCTCTGGAAAACGTGAGTGCCCCTTTGGAATATATCTTTATCACCATATTATTCATAACATACTGCACTATCATTGTACTTTTTATTTCTTTTTTTTAAGAGTAAGACACATAAATGCGAAATCTGATGCTACCTGTGTATGTATGATTTTATTATAATAATTCTTAGCGCTGTCCACCTAATTTACTAGCTTGCATTATAGAGAGTGTCCAAGGGATACTTTATTAAGTTGGGTTATTTTGTAAGTCACTGTAAGTCTTATGGTTTCCTAAAATATGCAAAGATTCTTACATGTAATAGCTTTTGGACATAATAACGATGCCCCCGCCTTTGTCGACTTCTTTAATAATGATATTGTCTCTTTTTGACAGGATTTTTAAACATACAGACTCATATTTGGACAGATTAAATTTGGTACTACCATTTTGACTGATATGAATTAATTCATTATTTACCAGATTGAATAATGTTTCTAGATGTGATCCTTTGCTTTGGCTGGGGTAGAAAGTAGATCTGTTTTTTTTTTATCATATATAGTTTTTTATTAAGTTTGAACAGAGTAGGTACATACATTTCGCCCAGTTGACAGTGTTAGATACATAAATCATTACATTGAAGTATTGCGCTACATTTTAACATGGTCCACTGCACATGAGGTATGCATAACAGTAAGTATCTACACATAAGGTATCACAAGGGTAAGTTGGTGTGTATCGTCAATGTGGATTTTCAAGGCATCTTATTTTTTTGATATTTCTGTTCGATGGAAATCTAAGGGGGAACTTGGGTGGGAAGGGAAGGGGTCTAACTTGGGACTGGGGATATATAAATCCCGAACCCTGCCGGCTCCTGTTCTGTTTACTCTTAGTTTGCGTTCATTTAGCAGTTGCGTATCCGTGGTTATCTATGATTGCATTTACCTAAAGGATTTCATTTACATTTGTATATGCGTTTACGGTCACAGTTGTGTGTAACCCCTCTGTTTGACATAATATTATTTACTTCAACGGTTTGGGTCTCCAACAGCCCCACTCCCTCTCGTGCCTATCCTCCTGGCCCTACATCCTGCTAGCCATTAGTTCATAGGAGCCGATTACGTCCAATCTGCTGCTAACCGTCTCTATGGTAGGTATTTTTGTGCTCTTCCAGTTTTGCGCTAGAAGGACCTTTGCTGCGCTAAGTATGTTGACTATCACTTTTCTGTGGGGATGTAGTGTCAACTCAGGTATTATGTGTAATATATAGTGTTCAGGCTGTAGCCGGATTAGGAGGCCTGTTGTGCTAGATATAAGGCCTTGTATTTGTTTCCAGAATGCCCTTAGCAACGGGCACTCCCAAAACATGTGTAACATGGTTCCCTCTCCTCCCCCACAGCGCCAACACAGCTTAAATGCATCCTTGCATCCATCCAGTCTATGTGGGACTAGGTACCACCGCATAGAAATCTTGCAGTATGCCTCCCACAGAGAGAGGCTCTTTGAGGCTCGTTTTGTATTCGTCATTGCCTCACTCCATCGAGATAAGGGGATTTGGTGCCCTAACTCCTCTTCCCAATGCAGCATGTAAGATGTCTTCTCCCCAGACTGGCCGTGGAGAAGGGCGTTATAACACATGGACAGTGGCTTCCCCAATTTAGGTGACAAAACCTGGGTGAGTAGTAGGGGAGGGTCTTCGAGTGGTGTTTGCATTTCTTTCAGGTACGGTAATAGTATGTTTTTTACAGTAGAGGAACATGTTTCTTTGGGGTAGGAGGTATTGCCTCTGAAGGTCAGGGAAGGGTTTGATCGTGTTGCCCTCCAGGAGGTCTAGCCCTTACTAGCCCATCCAGTCATGGGCAGGTCTGGGGAGAATATGGCCAAGGTCGCCAGGGGTGCTTCTCTGAGAAGCGAGTGAGGGTTCATAATTAAGCTATTCCAGAGCTGCCAGGAGCGCATCAGAAATCGAGTGCACTGCAGTGGCTGCGCCCCTACCTGTTTAGGGGGTGTGCTGGTCCACAGGGAGTGTGTTATGTTTTGTGGATGGAGGCATGCATTTTCTAACGACAACCATAAGGGCTGTTGGGAATATTTTGTAAGTCTCAATAGATGCACCCCCTGCGCTAAGATAGAGGCTCTGTAATACGTCTTGATATCCGGCAATCCTAGGCCCCCTTTGGTGTAAGGAAGCCCTAGGTTGCGTTGGGCTACCCTCGGAGGCTTCCTCTTCCAAACGTGCGCATTTATGGTGGCTTGTAGTAGTTTGAGCAGTTTGTTTGGTATTGCTATGGGCAGTGTGCGGAAGAGGTAGAGAATGTGGGGCAATGTCATCATTTTAATTGTGTTCACATGGCCTAACCAGAAGATCTCTAGATTTTCACACTTCTCTAGGGTAATTTTGAGTTTATTGGCTACGGGGTAGTGGTTCTCTGTTAGGATGGCTTGGTGTGTTTTCGTCAGTTTGATCCCCAGGTATGTAAGGGATGATTTGCGCCAGTCGAATGCATACTCAGAGCTTAGTTTGGCCATTAAGTGGTACCTCTCCATAACCTCGCAGGAGCCCTAAGAGTGTGGGGATAGAGGTTGTTGGGTTGGTAATAAACATGAGAATGTCATCGGCAAACAGTGCTATCTTGTTTGTGCCGCCTGGAGTCAGCAGGCCATTTATGTGTGTGTTGCCTTTTATGAGGCGTGTCAGGGGTTCAAGACAGAGGATAAGGATGAGCGGGGACAGTGGACAACCCTGGAGTGTACCATTGGCTATGGAGAAAGATGCCGAAAGAAAACCTGTACTAAAGACTTTCGCTGATGGGTATTGGTAGAGGGCCATTACACTTGCCAAGAAAGCGGGAGGAATTCCCATTTTGCTTAGCGTGCGTTCCATGTATTCCCAGTGCAGGCGGTCGAACGCCCTGCTATGAGGAGTGATTGGCCTAGTCGATAAGGTTTAGGAAGTGGCGGGTGTTGTCCCCTACCTGTTTCCCAGGTACAAATCCCGCTTGTTCGGGGGAGATGAGCGTGGGAAAGAGTGTTTTGACCCTTGTTGCTAACATTTTGGCATATAGTTTGACGTCCGAATTAAGTAAGGAAAATGGTCATAGGTTGGCGCAGTTAGTGGGGGGTTTGTTAGGCTTGGAAAGTGTGACAATGAATGCCTCCAGCATCTCTCGAGTCATGGTTCCAGATTGTTTAATAGTATTGAACAGTCGAAGCAGGTGGGGAGTTAGTTGTTTTGCAAATTTTATGTAGTAGTAGTTAGAGAGCCCGTCTGGGCCAGGGGATTTGTGTTTGGGGAGGGCGTTAATAGCGTCCCTGAGTTCATCCTCTGTAAAAGGGGTGTCTAGATATGTGCCCTGAGCTTGAGATATGCAGGGGAGAGACATCCTCCCCAAAAAGGCCTCTATGTCTGTAGCTGAGGGTTGGTGTGTTCCTGGGTCTTTGTGCAGTTGGTATAGCGATGCATAGTACGTCGCCAGTTCGTTGACTATGTCCTGGGGGTTATAGAGTTTCTCTCCCTGTTTGGAGGTTATGTAGGGGATTTTAGTCTGAAGGTATTTCTGTTTTAGCCATCCGGCTAAGAGTTTGCCTGCTTTGTTCCCTAGTGTGTAGTGGGTTTGTTTCATGTAGCGCATGTATTTTTCAGTTGTTTTTAGCTGTAGGTCTTTTAGTTCTGTATTGAGTGTCTGTAAGCGTTTGTGGTTCTGCTTAGTAGGATTTGTTTTGTGAGCAGATTCTATGTTAGCTATTTCCTGCGTCAACCTAGTTTGTTCAGTGCATGTTGCTTTTTTGTTGTTGGCTCCTAGCTTGATAAGCTCACCTCTCATAACTGCTTTGTGGGCCACCCACTTTGTAGTAAGCGCGGTTTTGCAGTGTGAATGTGCCTCGAAGTAAGCATCTAGAGATGCCTGAAGTCAGGGGGAGATATTGTGTATTATCTAACAGGGCTTCATTAAGACACCATGCTCCTCTCCCTCTGGCAGGGTGTGGTATTTTCATAGTAATCACCAGTGGGCCATGGTCTGACCAAGTGATAGGGCCTACGTGCATGTTTCTGGCATGTGGCAGTGTGCGTATATCATGCAATGACAACACATATTTACATATACTGGTATACTGCAGAGGACGTCCTTGCCATTCACTGTGCAGGCGCTTCTGTGGCTCCGTAGTGGCTGCAACCGACGTATGGGTTGGGAACAGTCCCCATTCTTTTATTAGGCGCATGCCCACCTCTGGCTCGTTTGCAGAGTGGTTCTTGCCGTTTCGCCATATGATGAGCTTCATGGGGTACCCCCAACGATATTGGATAGCGTGGTTCCTCAGAGTTTTTGTTACCGTGATGAATTCCCTCCGGCGAGACATCGTCAGCGCGGAAAGATCTGGTAGCTGATCTAGTTTGCGTGATGCTGTTAACAACGCGTCTTTAGATTTGAAATAGTGGAATCTTACGACCACGTCGCAAGGTGTTTCAGGCGCCAAACTCATGGGTCTTGGGAGGCGGTGGGCCCGGTCGAGCAACCAGTCACCTTCGGTAATGTTGGGCTGTAGTGTGTTGCATAGTCCCGCAATATAGGCTGGTAGCTCTTCCGTGCTCACTTTTTCGGAGATGCCGCGGAAGCGGACATTGTTCCTCCTGGACCGGTCCTCCAAATCCGCTTATTTGCGCTTGAGCATTTGTTGTTCTTCCATTAGTTGTTGCACCATGTCAGCGAGCGTGTCATGCTCCGTGCACATGTCTTCTGTGCGGGTTTCCAGACGGTTTGTTCGCTCGCCCAGGTCAAAGATCTCTCTTTTCATTTCGCCTGTCGCCCTCCTAAGATCCGTCTGGAGTGTGACTCTGAATTCCTGCAACATGGTGTACAACCTTTTTTCAGTGACCGGAGCGTCAGTATATTGGCATGCATCTCGGTCGGACTCCATCAGGGCCTCAAATGATTGAGCATGGGATGGACCGTCATCGCCGTCTTGAGTAGGCCGCAAGCGGTCCTTTCTGGCTGGGTGGATTTGGTCTGTCAGTTTTGTTTGTTTGGCGGGTGCCATCGAGCAGTGTGTGCCTGGTAGCTTGCCAGGTAATGGTAAGGTGGTGGTAGGGCTGTGTAGCAGTTTTAATCAGGCTTTTAAGTCATTCAGGACCGGAGCTCTCACTCCATGCGTCCGCTCGTTTCGGCAGTTGGCCAAGCCCTCCAAAAGTAGATCTGTTTTTAAAATGTGCATGTCTTTTCATGTCGTCTGTTAATTCTTTAATAGGGAGATCTAATGGGTGTGTCAATAAATGTCTGAGGTACCCCAACGGCAATCCTCAGGCTTTGCAAAACATTGGATAAGGCATGCAAATTTTTATTTTTTTTAATGTTATGAACATGAGATAAACAGAGTAGTACAATTCCTAGGTAGGTCTATCCAGCTTAAGATCTTGGTGCAGGCAAATATAGGTGATTTCGGCTACGAGACCTGCCAGGTTAGGTGACATACACAAATATTACAGTATACACAAAGATTAGAGTATAATACATATTGTTTATGGAGTAAAATAGCTGAGAACAATTAACATAATACTTCCAGCATGACACTAAACTGTATTAACAGCTTTTTAAGATTTGCTAGACATGTTGTTGGATCACAAGCAAGTAGTACCACCAAGGTGCTAAAGGACAGGGCAAACTATTATGCCTCTACAGATGTGGTCTGAAGAGAGGTAAATGAGTAAGTGCATTTAAAACAGGAAACTGCAGCTGGATCTAAACAAATGCAAAAAAAAACTCCAATGTCTTGACCTAGAGCAGTGATGGCGAACCTATGTCACACGTGCCACAGGTGGCACGCCGAGCCCCCTCTGTGGGCACGCGGCCATAGGTCGCCGGAGGGAGGGTGCGCTCCACCGGCGCATCCATAAGGCAGCACAAGTGGCCGCCTTAGGGTGCACCAGCCCGGCGGGCGCAAAGCCGGAGTGACCGGCAGGAGGTGAGCGCATAGCGCACAGCGCTCCCTCCTGCCAGGCACTCTGTCTAGTGTGGCCGAGCGCGCCGCGGTATGTTTCGTGTACCCGGGCGGACAGAAATGAAGTGCTTACAGAGAACACTTCCTGTCAGCCGGGTACAGGAAACCTAGCACCGCGGTGCGCTCGGCCACGCTACAAGGTAGGAGCTCAAGGAGGGAGGGGGATGAAAACTGAGAGAGAGATATATGGGGGAACCTGAGTGGGAGAGAGATGGGGAACTGAAGGAGAGATGGGGAAACTGAAGGAGAGATGGGGAAACTGAAGGAAAGATGGGGAAACTGAAGGAGAGATGGGGAAACTGAAGGAGAGATGGGGAAACTGAAGGAATGGGGAAACTGAAGGAGATGGGGGGAAACTGAAGGAGAGATGGGAAAACGAAGGAGAGATGGGGAACTGGAAGAGAGGGGGGAAACTGAAGGAGAGATGGGGAACTGAAGGAGAGATGGGGAAAACTGAAGGAGAGATGGGGAAACTGAAGGAGAGATGGGGGGAAACTGAAAGAGAGATGGGGAAACTGAAGGAGAGATGGGGGGAAACTGAAGGAGAGATGGGGAACTGAAGAGAGATGGGGGAACTGAAGGAGGAGATGGGGGGGACTGAAAGAGAGATGGGGAAACGAAGGAGAGATGGGGAAACTGAAGGAGAGATGGGTGAACTGAAGGAGAGATGGGGAAACTGAAGGAGAGATGGGGGGACTGAAGCTGAGAGATGGGGGAAAACTGAAGGAGAGATGGGGGGAACTGAGGGAGAGATGGGGGGGAAACTGATTGTGGGATGGGAGAAAAAAAATGAGGGAGGGATGGGGGGAAAGAAAACAGTGTGTGGGGGGGAGAAGGGGGATGACATACACACAGCATCCCTGCCCTACACATATCACCCCACACAAAGACACACACACATCACCCCACACAAACACACACATCACCCCACATACACCCCCCCACACACACATCAACCCACACACACATCACCCCACACACACACATCACCCCACACACACATCACCCCACACACACACAAACACATACACTGTACCCCTCAATGCAGCGTGTGTACACTCAGCAGTCTGTGTGTGTGTACACTCAGCAGTCTGTGTGTGTGTGTGTACACTCAGCAGTCTGTGTGTGTGTGTACACACAGCAGTCTGTCTGTGTGTGTACACTCAGCAGTCTGTGTGTGTGTGTACTCAGCAGTATGTGTGTGTGTGTGTGTACTCAGCAGTGTGTGTATTTAGGAGTCTGTGTGTGTGTGTGTGTGTGTATTTAGCAGTGTGTGTGTGTGTGTGTGTACTCAGCAGTCTGTGTGTGTGTGTGTGTGTATTTAGCAGTGTGTGTGTGTGTGTGTACTCGGCAGTCTGTGTGTGTGTGTGTGTGTATTTAGCAGTCTGTGTGTGTATTCAGCAGACTGTGTACTCAGCAGTCTGTGTGTGTATTCAGCAGTCTGCTAAATACAGACAGACTGCTAAATACACACAGACAGACTGCCGAGCACACACACAAACTGCTTAATACACACACAGAGATGTTAATTAGTTCAGACAACTGTATGAGTTGTTTTTTCTAAACTTAAACCTCAGTATTCAGGTTTAATTGCCGTTTTGGCACTTTGAGGAAAAAAAAATTGGCATGTATTACGGTTTGGGCACTCGGGCTCAAAAAGGTTCGCCATCACTGACCTAGAGCATTTCTCCACTAATCTCCAAACTCTCCTTTTACCTATCTCAAACCTCACCTGTCCTAGTTCTGCAACCTCCTTCTACAAATCCACCCTCTCCTCTCAACTAGACATCATGGCACCTTGTACATTTAAACGCCGCAGGCGCCCCCAACAACTACCCTGGAACACCAAGCTCACTCGATACCTCCAAAAATGCTCCCGAACGGCTGAACGCTGTTGGAGAAAGTCTCACTGTGCACCTGACTTTCTCCACTATAAATTTATGCTGAGCTCATACAGCTTGGCTCTTTCCTCTGCAAAAGTTAATTACTTCAATACCCTCAAAACCATACTCTCCCACAAACCCAAACGACTATTTCACACATTTAACTCTCTTCTTTGCCCTGCTGTTCCTCCTCCACCTACTAACTTCACCGCCTCAGACTTTGCAACTCACTTCACTGACAAGATCTCTACAATCAGAGAAGAGATCTCTCATCTTTCTTCTTCCCCTTACAATACTTCCCCTAACTTCACTCCCTCTGCTGTTCTAAGTTCATTCGCACCCGCTACATTGGAAGAGGTTTCTGCTCTGCTCTAGTCCTCCCGCCCCACCACCTGCTCCCTAGATCCAATTCCCTCGCATCTCATCCGTACTCTGTCTTCTTCTCTTTCTCCACCTCTCACTAAAATTCTCAATCTCTCTCTCTCCTCTGGTATATTTCCATCGCCCTTCAAACATGCAACTGTAACCCCAATTCTAAAGAAGCCCAATCTTGGCCCTAATTCCCCATCTAACTATCGTCCTATCTCGCTACTGCCTTTTGCATCCAAGATTCTTGAAAGAATTGTGTATGCGAGATTGACAGACTTCCTCGAGTCCAACTCTCTGCTAGACCCGCTTCAGTCTGATTTCCGCGTTAAGCATTCTGTGGAAACGGCACTCACCAAAGTATCCAATGATCTACTCACTGCAAAATCTCATGGTCACTACTCTATCCTAATTCTCCTTGATCTGTCTGCAGCTTTTGACACTGTTGATCATTAAATGCTTCTTCTCATCCTCCGCAATATCGGTCTACAAGATATTGCTCTTTCATGGTGCTCCTCCTACCTCTCCCAGCGCTCTTTCAGTATTTCTTTCTCTGGCTCTGCTTCTTCTCCCCAACTCCTCTCTGTTGTTGTCCCCCTAGGTTCAGTCCTTGGTCCCCTACTGTCCTCCATCTATACTGCCTCCCTTGGTAAACTCATTAGCTCCTTTCTTTTCCAATATCATTTCTATGCAGATGACACGCAAATCTACCTGTCCTCTCCTGATCTCTCCCTGTCCCTCTTGACTAGTGTATCTGACTGCCTCTCTGCTGTTTATAACTGGATGGCTGCCCACTTCCTTAAACTAAACTTGACCAAAACTGAAATTCTGGTCTTTCCTCCCTCAAGTGTTGTTACTCCTGTGTCTGTCTCCCTCCAAGTCAATGGTGCTACCATCAGCTCCACCACGCAGGCTCGCTGCCTAGGTGTTCTCTTTGACTCCGACCTCTCCATCAAGCCTCATGTTTAATCTATCGCCAAATCCTGTCATTTCCATCTCAAAAACATTGCGCGCATCCGCCCCTAGTTAACGCCAGGTGCGACTAAGGTGTTGGTCCATTCCACTGTCCTTTCTCGCCTTGACTACTGTAATCCGCTTCTCAGTGGTCTTACGTGCTCCCAACTTGTGCCGTTACAGTCCATAATGAATGCGGCAGCGAGGCTCATCTTCCTGTCCGCCCGCACCTCCCATGCCTCACCCTTCTGTAAGTCCCTACATTGGCTTCCTATAAAATATAGAGCTCAATTTAAAATTCTGTTTCTTGCTTTCAAATCTCTACATAATGCTGCTCCCACCTATCTATCCTCCTTTATACACAAGTATGTCCCATCTAGGCTCTTACGATCTGATGAAGACTTACGTCTATCTTCTATCCGTACTCCCACCTCTGATGCTCGCCTTCAAGATTTCTCGAGGGCTGCACCATTCCTGTGGATCACCCAGTCTCCACTCCTTCAAAAAATTGTTAAAAACCCACTTCTTCATAAAAGCGTATCAATTAAACTGTTAATAGCTCCTGACTGATTCCTCTTCTGCAACTGTCACTAGTCTAATACTATCCTTACCTTTTTGTGTCATTTTATCCCACTCCCTCTAGCATGTAAGCTCATTGAGCAGGGCCCTCAACCTCTCTGTTCCTGTGTGTCCAACTTGTCTGGTTACAACTATATGTCTGTTCGACCACCCATTGTAAAGCGCTGTGGAATTTGATGGCGCTATATAAATATCATAATAATAATGAATAATACACTTAAAGTGCTATTTAACTCCCTTGATGCTTTTTATTCAGCCAATGCCCACAGCGTCAGTGCCAAGGACATTTTTTACTGTACTGGGTGGCTTAACATGTTTATTCTTAGCTAACGCATTATTATCTCGTCAGAATGAGTGTTTGCTAGGTAAGTGGGTCTGGTTTAGGCGATATGCATGGCTTTTGCAGTGAAAGAATACCTGAGGGCACAAGAACTCAAACCAAACACAATATAAGTAAAATATAAATAAAAAGACAATTCTGAGGCATTAACCACTGGTTGTGCGGTCGGACTGTGCTGTGTATCATTACTGAGTAGTGCAAGTCCCTGTAACAGTTCATATCAGTCAGCCTATGCCCACTCTGGGGTATCAGCCTGAGTTGGAGGTGCAACGTCTGTGGAGTGCTGTTGTGCAGTGGGTCAGCTCGTGGGCACTGCAATGCAGCTTCCATTCCTCTGCAGGAGGTTTGAGGCAATGCTCCTTGGATTTTCTTGCAGGACCATAGCCTCCGCACGCTGGCTCGGAGTCTTGAGTATTCCAAGTAGTTTCCCTGCTTGGGAGAGTGGTGGGTTGCTGCCGGCTTTGATCGCTGTCTATGAGTTTTCTGCTTGTGATGTCAGTGTGCTGGGGGGTAACCCCTGGTGGCCTGCGGCCTGAAAAGGTAAGTAGGGGGCAGAGCGTCTGCTTGAGGTAGAGCAGTGCCCATGAGGAGTCTACCTTTCCATCGCACTCGAGTCCCCTGATCTCCAGCTTGTGTACTTGGCCATGGGAGCCTCAAGGTCTGCCCAGAAGTTTTGGAAGTGGATCTCCAGTCTCCACAGGCAAGTCTCAACAGCGTTACTTCGAGTCTGCGTGGTCGGTGTCAGTGTAAGCCCAGGAAGGAGGACCTCTGCCATTTTATTCACAGAGGTGAAACGAGAGAGACTAGGTATGTCCTCAGAGTTGTGGGATGCACAGTGTGGACTGGGATGACCCCAACCAGTCCAAAGGGGGGGAACAGGTTTCAGACTCAACTCAGCCTGCGGGAATCCACTAAGGTCGGCCGTCACTCCCAGCAGAGACTGGAACTCGGGCTCAAAACTTCGCTGTCAGAGTGTACCAACAGATGCCCGAGGTGCTCTAGAGTAGCTTAGGTGAGTTCAGGAATCGTTTGCAGTTTTCTAGAGAATCAGGCAATTAACATGAGGAGCCTTCTTCCCTTGCGGCAGCTCAGCATGGCGTCCAAGCCCCGTGCCCCCAAGAAATGTTTTTTAATAGTGAGCTTTCTAATAAATTTCTGTAGGTCTATATATAACTCAAAATTATTGGATTTTTGGTTGGGTGTAAACTTTAAGCCTCTTTCTAGTAGCTTGATTTCTAACTCAGTTAGAGGCATATCTGTTAAATTGAATATGCCCTATTGGATTTCCTCCATTTTTAGTATTTCTCTCCTTCTCCCCTTTCCTTGATCTGTTTCCAATCTTTTTCTCTATGGAGGAGTTTCTGTTTGTAGCGCAGAGAACCGACTGGAATGTTCCCATTAGTCTCTCTTTGCAGGAAAGTAGCTCGTTATGCGTTTTTTTCCTTCGGTCTGCAATTCTGTTCTAAAAAATGTCCACTATTGGGAGACATTTTTGGGGTCTACAATCTCGTTCTATGTCATTGGAAGTGCAGGGGAGGGGCTTTTTCTAAGATGGGTAGTATTATGTTCATATCTAGATTGAGCTGTAGAGTGATTACCATGTCTAACTGGGATTTTTTGATCTTTCTTACTAATCAGTTGATTCATTGGGGACCGATTATCGGAATATAATCTCCTATTTCTAAACCTATTGTTATGTTGAGTAGATATAGAATCTCTACTATAATTATTCTGTGTATGAGAGTTCTTTCTATATTCATAAGTATTCCCATTATTATGATCTTTTGAAAAAAAAGGTACGTAGTATTCTAGTTTGTGTGGAGAACATATCCTTTATCTTATCCTCTTTGTCCCCTTTGTATTTATTATTTTTAGTAATCAATATTTTATTATCTAATATTTTTAGATTATTGCACATCTCTTCTTCTCATTCCTTGTACTCACTGTTTTCTATATACATAGGATTTTCATCTTCTAATTTTTTTGAATATCACAATCTAATTGGTTTTGTCTCTTTTGAGTACTGAATGATTAGTTTAATTAGCTGAAATGAACAATTATATAATATTTCGTCCCATTTTTTAGGCCTCTGGGGAATAAGCCCTGTTTGATATAGCTCTCTAGAAAGGCTATCTCCCACCATTTTTCCGTTTCAGAGTTAAGTAATTTTTTCTTTAGTTCTAAAAAAAACTCTAAGCCCTTAGGTTGTGGTTTTTCTAATTCATAAAAAAATGCCTCAAACCTTTTTTGTCTATCTCATATTAATCAAATGAGATGCCATAACAAGTACAAGGACAAATGATTATTAAGAGTGTGCAAAACATCCAAACCAAATGTCTGGAAAAAAACAGATAGTATATAGAACACAAACAATGTAGACTTACACCAATAAGGAATAGTGTGTAAGTCAAAAAGATTACTTATCATTTAATAAATACAGAGCAGCTTCCTCTCAGGATATTCCAGACTATAACCCACATATAATCAGGGCCGGATTAACATAGGGGCTGATGGAGCTGCAGCTCCAGGCCCAGGCCCATGGAATAGGCCCATTGATTTAAAAAAAAAAAAAAAAAAAAACATTTTTTTTCACACACTACTCTTAGGGATTCCACCTGGCTTTTATTTTATTGGCACAGCCAGTATTTGAGGCTGCCTGGCTGGTGCCAATATTACAGTGATACTGGCAATATAAATGCTGGTATTTTTCTCAGTATAAATGGAAATTACTATGCAATACCAGCACTGGCCAGTAGGGGTCGCTGTATGTGGAGACAGGCAGGGATAGGAAGTTCCAGCATATCCCTCCCTGCCTATCTATACTCACTGATCTGCACGGGTGCAGCTACAGAGAGTCCAGACAGCAACTCCCACACTGCAGAGACAGCCTACAGCTCAGGGAAGTAAGGGATGGGGGGAAAGGCTGCAAGGAGACATATACTGAGACACAAAGGGACACTGGGAGACATTATGGCAGACACTGAGACACTAAGGGACACTGGGAGACATTATGGTAGACACTGAGACACTAAGGGACATTGGGAGACATTATGGAAAGACACATGGGGACACAGTGTCCCCATGTCTCCCAGCCAGTGTCCTTGGTGTCTCAGTGCCCCCTAGTCTCCCAATGACCCCTAGTCTCCCAGTGCCCCCAGTCTGCCAGTGTCTCACTCTCCCCATGTCTCCTAGTGCCTCCATGTCTCTCAGTGCCTCAAGTGTCACAATGTCCCTAAGCTAGTGTCCCTAGTGTCTGTGGCCCTGGTGTCTCAGTGTCCCCATGTCTCCCAGTGCCCCCATGTCTCAATGTCCCCATGTCCCCCAGCCAGTGTCTCTAGTATCTTTGTCCGTGGTGTCTGTGTCCCAATGTCTTCAAGTGTCCCCTATTTTCCCATTGTCCCCATGTGTCCCAGCCTGAGTCCCCTAGTCTCCCAGTGTCACTGGTGGCTCCGTGTCCCTAGGTCTCCCCGTGTCCCCAGGTCTCCCCGTCTTCCTAGTGTCCTAGTGACATGGGGACCCTGGGATACATGGGGACACAGGGAGACATGATACATAGGATACATAGGATCACTGGGAGACCTGGGGACACAACATTAGGGGACACTGGGAGACATGGGGCACTGAGACACTGATACATAGGAACACTGAGACCTGGAGTAATCGACACATGGGGGCACTGAGTCATGAGGGCACTGGGAGACATGGGGGCACTGGGAGGAATCCATCTATACAGCAGATTTAAACAAAGTAGTTTTTTGGTGATTTTACAGCATTTTCTCTTATGTCACTCCTTGTGATTTATATCATGTGATGTCACCCACACATATTTAATTATGCAAATTAGTAAGGCCGGTATGGTTTTCCAAGAAAGGTGGCAACCCTAACTACTTTTTACATACTCTTACTTAAGTATGGAAACTTAAGAGGGATGTATGGGAACAAAACTTGTGTGGACTGGCTGACAATGAATATAGTTAAAGGCACACTACACACTATAGTCACCAGAACAACTACAGCTTATTGAATTTGTTCTGGTGAGTAGAATCATTACCTTCAGGCTTTTTGCTGTAAGCACGGTCTTTTCAGAGAAAATGCTGTGTTTACATTACATCCTAGTGATAACTTCACTGGCCACTCCTTAGATGACTGTTAGAGATCCTTCCTGTGTCATGGCTGCCTAAAATGCATCCAAACATTGTGTCTCCTCCCTCTGCATGCAGACACTGAACTTTCCTCATAGAGATTCATTAATTAAATTCATCTATATAAGGAGATGCTGATTGGTCAGGGCTGTGTTTGAATCATGCTGGCTCTGACCCTGATCTGCCTCTTTGTCAGTCTCAGCCAATCCTATGGGGAAACACTGTGATTGGATCAGGCCACCACTTCTAATGATGTCAGCAGACTGCTTGTTTTTATGAGTCTAACAGCTTGCAGAGTTACAGCTTCAGGCTTGAATATAGTAGGATTTTGCTATATTTATGGAGGCATGAGGGGCCCAGGGAGGCTAGATGGTGGTATTAACACTATAGGGTCATGAATTCATGTTTGTGTTCCTGACCCTATAGTGATCCTCTAAGGTAATGCTGACTTTGGTCTCTCTAACACTGTGGCATGTTCCCTTTCTTCTACACTCACTACATACAGCTTTTCTCTGTCCCAGACCATATACCAGGAGCTTTTGCCTGCTAGTAAGAAGGTAAGGAGACAAGTGGACCAGCGAGTGCTAGGGAACAGTCCTTAGAAAGCGTTGAGTGAGCGCATCATTAGATGCATTTAAGCAAAGCTCAGGGTGCATAGTATGCCCTTAGTTGGCCAGCTGCATGATTGGCAGGCAGCCTGACATGCATTCATGCCAGGCTGGCCTTCTAATTCTTTGAGCAGACATGTCCTTTTTTTGGGCATGTACGCCCCTTTTGGCAGGTTACGTGATTTGTGTCAGTGGCACACCCTTTTACCATGCCTATTGACTTCCTGCTTGACTGGACACTGCTGTTAGGGGTTATGGATTTACTTGAAAGATGAAAACATAAATTAGTGAGAGATTAGCCTAGGGTATGTGTTTTCTTATAGCTGCTGTTTTCTTTCTCTCCAGCACCATCTCCATCAGATACATGATGCTTGGGAGTTTTTTACTGTTTTCGGTCGATATGATTCTGTAATTAGGCCTGTCATAATTGTCAGCACCAGGCCCACTGGGCTCTTAATCTGGCCCTGCATATAATATATCGCCAAACAACTTAACACTCCTTAATCTCATGAGTGCATTCTTATTTGGCACTAGAGATGTCCCGAACAGTTTGCCGGCGAATAGTTCCTGGCGAACATCGCATGTTCGCGGTCGCCGCGGCGGGCTAACATATGCGATGTTCGGTCCGCACCCTATTCCATATCATTGAGTAAACTTTGACAACCCCCCCACCCGCCGCTCGGGGGTGGGGGTTGTCAAAGTTTACTCAATGATATGGGGGGAGGGGACCTACTGTCCTCCCCCTGGCCCCGACCCCTGGGCGGTGGGTGGGGGCCCTAAAAAAAACAATATGGGGGAACTTCTGTCCCCTGAGCGGCAGGTGGGGGCCCTAAATACTAAGAAGGGCCCCCCCCTATGGTCCTCCCCCCTGGCCCCCACCCCTGAGCAGCGGGTGGGGGCCCTAAATACTAAAAAGGGGGGGGACCTAAGGTCCTCTCCCCTGGCCCCCACCCCTGAGCGGCATTTTTTTTTTTTTAATTGCGTCGGTTATTATGGTTTTTTATTTGGCCTTTTTTGGGGCTGAAAAAAAAAGATTTAGAAGAAAAAAAACATTGAATGGTAAGTTTTTTTTTTTTTACAGGTACTTAGTTAAAGGTCCCCCCCTCATTATTTTCAGGGTGAGGGGGTAGGTAGGGGGTTAATTTTTTTTTGGGGGGGGGGGGGGGGGACTAGGGGTTTGGGGACCCCTAGTCACCTGGGGGACACATTTTTTTTAGGGCCCCCACCCGCCGCTCAGGGGTGGGGGCCGGGGGGGAGGACATTAGGTCCCCCCCCTTTTTACTATTTATGGCCACCACCCGCCGCTCAGGGGTGGGGGCCGGGGGGGAGGACCTTAGGTCGCCCCCCTTTTTAGTATTTAGGGCCCCCACCCGCCGCTCAAGGGTGGGGGCCGGGGGAGGACATTAGGTCCCCCCCCTTTTTAGTATTTAGGGCCCCCACCCACCGCTCAGGGGTGGGGGCCAGGGGGGAGGACCTTAGGTCCCCCCCCATTGTGATTTATTTGCCCCCACCCACCGCTCAGGGGTGGGGGCCGGGGGGAGGACATTAGGTCCCCCCCCGTTTTTAGTATTTAGGGCCCCCACCCACCGCTCAGGTGTGGGGGCCAGGGGGGAGGACATTAGGTGTCCCCCCTTTTTAGTATTTAGGGCCCCCACCCGCCGCTTAGGGGTGGGGGCCAGGGGGGAGGACCTTATGTCCCCCCCCCATTGTGATTTATTTGCCCCCACCCACCGCGCAGGGGTGGGGGCCGGGGGTGAGGACAGTAGGTCCCCCCCTCATTATTTTTATGGCCCCCACCCACCGCGCAGGGGTGGGGGAGGGGGGGGAGGACAGTAGGTCCCCCCCCTCATTATCTTTATGGCCCCCACCCGCCGCCCAGGCGTGGGGGCCAGGGGGAGGACAGTAGGTCCCCCCAACTCATTATCTTTATGGCCCCCACCCACCGCCCAGGGGTGGGGGCCGGACAGTAGGTCCTCCACCCATTGTAATTTATGGCCCCCACCCATCGCACAGGGGTGGGGGCAATAGGTTTTTTTTTTGTTTGTTTTTTTTACAGTGAGCAGCCACTGGCCACTCACTGCTTACTAGACATGCCCCTACTCGCTGCATAGTGAGTAGGGGCAGAATTTACTAATACTAAGTAATCTTTACTTAGTATTAGTAAATGTGGCTGAAAGACCAATTTAGGTCTTTTCAGCCTTTTAGTAGATAGCTCTCTAATACCGTGGGAATTAGGCAGTTATCTACTAAGCGGCTGCAAGATGCAGCCGCGGATCGAGTTTGCATGCCACAGTCCAGGTGTTAGTCCCCTTGAAACAACTTTTCCATCACTATTGTGGCCAGAAAGAGTCCCTGTGTGTTTTAAAATTCGCCTGCCTATTGAAGTCTATGGCGGTTCGCCCGGTTCGCGAACATTTGCCATTCTGTTCGGAAATTTGCGTAAGAAAACAATTCAGCACTTCTGCAATTCAGAAATTTTGTAGGGCTTCCGAACCCTAACCCTGCCCTAACCTAACCCTACCCTACCCTACTGTAACCCTAAGCCAACCCTACCCTAACCCAACACTAACCTAACCCTACCCTAACTATACCCATAACCATACCCTAACCTTTCCCTAACTACCTTACCCCTAACCCTACCCCTACCCTAACCCTACCTTAACCCTACCCTCACCTAACCCAACCTTAACCCTACCCTAACCCTAACCCTTAACCTACCCCTGTCATCATTCACATCATTTTCCCTCCCTCTCTTTTTTTGTCACTTTTCAGAAATCCGAAGCACTTCGGCACTTCCGAAATTCGGCACTTAGGCCATTCGGTTTGGTTCAGCACATCCCAAATTCAGGATTTTGGCAATTCGGGACTTCGGCAATTCGGTTCGGCACTTCAGAAATTTGTGACTTCAGCAATTCGGCACTTCGGACATTCGGAAGCATCCAAATGTCCGAATTGCACAAAATTCGGCCGAACAAATTGACTGTTTATCCTCTACACTTTTGTTTGGCAATATTAAAAATGTACTTGCATAAGTGATGATGAATTTAAGATTTAGTACAGATTTCGATTCCGCGTGAACCAATCTGCTGATATTTTAGTGTTTTGACTGGCTACAACTTACTGAATGAGCATAGCTAAGTTTATTGTATTTATATATATATTTTTTTTATATATATCTAGGCATACCATATGCACCAGGTTTTATAGGATATCATTTATACTAAGTGATGGGTAATGTAAAGGAATTCTGCTACATATACATTATCCATAATACAGTACTGCCAATCAACTTGATAAAATTATGTGAGTCCATGAAAACATGGAGGATATAGCAATCCTATTCATATCAAACAAAGTTGTTTTAATTCTTTTTATAACCACTGAGAATTTACTCTGAAAAAAATGGAATCTTAATTTGCCCAACTTTAATATATAATTATTATGCTATTCCACCAGCTGCAGTAAATGTAGTATCATAGTATCATGAACGTAAGAAGTGGGGGGGAAACATCCCCCAGATATTCTTGTAGAGGAATTAGATGGGTCAGAACCACCAGTAATATTCTGGTCCTTTACCTGGAGTATGTGCAGGGAAGCTGGACTGGATGACATTGGCTTTTTTCTCTCTGCTTATATTTTAATACAGCCACTGTGGGGCAGCAGTGAGTCTTGGGAAGCCTTTTCCTTTATAGACAGAGAACATGCTGGTACATGCTGTACCTGGTACATGAAGGACACCAGTGCACCATTAGAAATGAGGTAGGTAGGCAGGAAGAAAAACAGGGGAGCTGAAAGAATAAAAGAGAATAATAGTATGGGGTTGTGGAGTGCTTAAAGGGACACTATAGTCACCAAAACATCTTTAGCTTAATGAAGCAGTTTTTGTGTATAGCCATTTAGGAATGAAAACACTTTGTTTATGCACCCTAGTCACACCTCCCTAAATGTGACTTACACAGCCTTCCTTAACACTTCCTGTAAAGAGTTATCTAATGTTCATACTTCCTTTATGACAAATTGTCTTTACTTTAAAATGTCTTATTCCTTGCACTGTTAATAGCTTGCTAGACCCTGCCAGAGCCTTTTGTGTGTGACTATTGTTCAATTTATAGGTTCAATTTAGCAGGAGATAAAAACTTTTAAAGTGAGTTACAACTGAACTGAAAGTGAAACCATTTTGCTTCATGCAGGCTGTGTGAGTCACAGCCAGGGGAGGTGTGACTAGGGCTGCATGGACAGAAACAAAAGTGATTTAACTCCTAAATGACAGTGAATTGAGCACTAAACCTTCGGAGGCATGATCTATACACCAAAACTGCTTCATTAAGCTAAAGTTGTTTTGGTGACTATAGTGTCCCTTTAAGTAGTAAAAGTGGCACAAGAAATACTCAAGGAGGTAGAAAGAGGGGAAACAAAGACAATGCAAGATGAAAGAAAAGAAACAGAGAAACATACACATAAACAGACGTCTGCAATCACACACATTGTCAATTTACACAAATGGCCATCACAGACACAAACCCTTCAATTGCAAACACACAATTCACACAAATAGAACACTGCAATCACACACACTGACAAACATACAAATACACATTGAATTCACATTCAGTCAAAATGCACAAAAGCAACTCTGAATACTCACATATTAATACAAAGGATTACTCCAACCCTCCAAAAATGGGTTTTAATAAAATACTGTTTTTAGTTACAGTTACACTTGCTGGTATGTCTCTCTTACAAAAAAAGAAAACAAAATAAACCAAAAACATGCCTGCAATTTCACTCCAAGGCCGAGTTCTCCCTGCAGCCCCCAATACTCATTCTGTTATGTCACTCCCTGCATGCACATCATTCATATGTGAGCACTACCACACCATAAATACAAACACACACACACACACAACATTTACACGCAATTCAGTTACCACAAATATACACAATATATTCAAACAAGAATTCACACTGACACAATATACACTTAACTGACAATGTACACTGACACCACATACTTATTTACTCAGTCACATACTGTACAGAGTTACATCACTGCATTCCGAATTACAAAATCTAGGCTAAAAAAAAAAGACTGGAAACCTTGTCATCTCAACTTTATAACTTTAAATATTACATTTCATTTTCGATTAACCACTATTCTTTGTTTAGTGAATAAGACACATTGTGAATTTGGATTATGTATAGTATCCTGTAATGTGAATGTTTGTATCACATATGTGGCTTGATGTATGCAATCTTGATTCAAAGTGGAGGGGAAGATTTTTGTAGTTAAAATCTGTCCCCCCAGATTTTGTTTTCATATACCCATGTTTAGCATGTTTTGTTTATAAGGGAAAACACGTCATACATAGTCATTTGTAATTTTATTTTGATAACAGTCTATGCCTCATGATATAATACATATGCACAATATTTAATAATGAAGAAGGCATACGTGTTGTAATCAGTAGAATGGGCACAGAAGAAGAATCAAAATGCACACAGATGATGTGCTGTCCAGATGAGTCAAATGGTCAAAACATAATGTGACATCACACTTAGCGCACACCAGTCCGAATTGTCATCTTCCAGTCTACCTTGCAGCAGTGATGCCTGTTTGAACTATCTGATAAAGGTATCACTGACTGTCCGTTACGAAGGAAGAAAAGCAGGATTCAAAGACTAACCGGGTCAAGTCAGCAGTACACCCTCTTAACCAATTGCTCTGCATTTGCAGGACATTTAGCAAATAAATGAGCATTAATAAAAATATTATTAGCACCTGTTTTTTTGAGGGGGGTGAAGGGGGGGATTTTTCAAGTTTACTTAGGCAGGGGCAAGACTGCTTTGACCCAATCAAGGTCACTTATTTGTTTTTATACAATTTCCAATTCACTTTAAGTGCTCAATTTTAAAGGACCACTATAGTGCCAGGAAAACATACTCGTTTTCCTGCCACTATAGTGCCCTGAGGGTGCCCCCACCCTCAGGGTCCCCCTCCCGCCCGGCTCTGGAAGGGGGAAAGGGTAATAATTTACCTTTTTCCAGCGCTGGGCGGAGAGCTCTCCTCCTCCGATCCTCCTCCGACCCGCCCCGCCGGCTGAATGCGCACGCGCGGCAAGAGCTGCGCGCGCATTCAGCCGGTCTCATAGGAAAGCATTTACAATGCTTTCCTATGGACGCTGGCGTGCTCTCACTGTGATTTTCACAGTGAGAAGCACGCAAGCGCCTCTAGTGGCTGTCAATGAGACAGCCACTAGAGGATTAGGGGAAAGGCTTAACCCATTCATAATTATAGCAGTTTCTCTGAAACTGCTATAATTATGAAAAAATGGGTTAACCCTAGCTGGACCTGGCACCCAGACCACTTCATTAAGCTGAAGTGGTCTGGGTGCCTAGAGTGGTCCTTTAACTTGCAATATGCACACATATTTGTAGTATAGGCACTTGTATTGTTGTTTACACATTTTAGAAAATATATTTAGATATTTAATTGTATTTTTCACAATACTGTAGAAAAAAGAGAAGTACATGGCAGTGCATACAGCCTTGTACAATGTTACAATAAATCAACCAAATACTTGTTAACTACATATTGTTTCATAATGTTATATTGCATCTTGTCAATAATCAGATGTTTTCATGTCTTGCCTTAGCAAGCCAAATGTTGGCAAACAATAACCATTTGGACTATATTACGTCTGTCACAAGATGCCTGATTTGGGCCTTTTACCAAATACAGAATTTCAATATGAGAATACCAACAACCTTTATCTAGGCTGCAACTTTCCAATTCCTCTTAATTTTCTCTAAAAAATAAAATTAAAATAATAAAACCTTTAAGTGTTACCAAGTCAAAGCCGGCATGTATATTGTATGCATTTATTTACTGCTTCATTTTCGCTATAATACATTACATCAACCCTCACAACCCAACAATGGAACAAAGCTTCCATTGTGTCTTTCTTAAGAATCTTGTCAAAGACAAAGCATGAAAAATATTACCATGCCTGTTTTCATATAAAAATATATTAATGGAGAAAATGGCAAATCTGCAGAACATCTAAAAATATAATTTAAAATAAGCTTGCAGAAAAAAATCCCTAAAAAAGTACTGAGTGAGCTTCATAAAATAGGTGTACAAAATTTATGCAAACACTTGCAAGAATATTTCCAAAAAGGTAGATATTTTCATTGATGTGTCAGTAGCATAAAGATGAGTTAACGGAGTGGGGTTGCTTCAGTGCAGATTCTGTACATTTACTGTAGAACTCGGAGTTCAGTAGAGGTACATCAATTCATGATCCCTTTCCCATGTCATCTAGAGTTCATTCGTAGCTGATGTATAACAATACTCTCTGGAAAAAAAGAAAAGCTAATTACACAGAAATTATGAAAATAACAGAAATAGGGGAACTGTATTAAGTCAAACAGGTTAAAAAAAAATCTTTCAAGTATATTGTCTCATTATGAACATTATTCAGTGTACTGCAGAGAAATCCAAAAGTATACATGTATTATGTGTCCATAATGAAGAATCCACTCAAGTAAACATATACACACACAGGTACAGTTTAATTTATTGTTTTCTGCATCAAAATGACAATATAAGAATGTTACTGGGTACACAATTAAAATGGTAAAAAATTGTTTTAGAGTTCTGTATGACTGATGTAGTTTATTTGCATATGGAAATCTACTGTATATGTTATATACTGTATAAACAATGCTATTAAAGGGGTTGTGGAGTCACAATAAACTGAATAACAAGTGGTTTAAGTAAGCCTTCAGACCACAAGTTTGCATTATACATGCTTTAGCATTATGTATCTGTAAAATTATGACTTGTGCTGGGGTTAAGTTTCTATCAATCTCAGGGCAAAACTGGGACATACAAGTCTTTATGACTCTCTACAGCACTCATAGCCCCACTCTTAGCATACGAGAAATGGAAGAAGGAGTTAAGACTGGCTGTTGCCTGGAAGAGTGGCCCTCACCAATTTTCAGCAGACCAGGACAGATATGTACAGCTACTGAACCAAGGTTAGGGGCCAATTTCCAATTTTCAGCAGACCAGGACAGATATGTACAGCTACTGAACCAAGTTTAGGGGCCGCATATTGGACATTGTCAGTCACACCATACAAAGCAGTTCCTAGAGATTCGGGCCCATGGTGATATGATAACATAACATAGTTGCTTAAAATGTTTGCTGAACATTCACGCTGAAAACCACTCAGTTCTCTATATCTAAATAGTGTTCTGTATAATTATATGGTAACTGTGGAGGCCCCCTGCTGGAGCCAACATGAGAAGACATGTACTTTGTGACCTGTTATCCCAATGGAAATAGTAATTAGAAGATGGTAAGTCTGTGGTCATATTGGGATACATATGATAAGCAACAATACTAGCTCTATAGGACAGATTTCTGAAGCTTTAATCAACCTGGTCATTAGGCCTTTAACAGGGCATTATTTACAACAGAACTGTAGTTTACTGGATGTTTGTTTGATTTTGGCACAATTCACAGTAAAACCCAGAGACTGTCATGCATAAAAATCCCAGGAGATCAAAATTGCTGAGATACTCAAACCTTTATGTCTGGTACCAATATTAGCAACACAGTAAATGTTTGGTTTAAAACTCTTCACCAGGTCTGCTTTTATGCATTGACTTCTGCCACACAAATGTATATATAAATGTGTACACACATATATGAACACGTAGGTGGTCAGCATGAAGTTCAGAAAAAAATAAAAATAAAATATATATATATATACAGGGAGTGCAGAATTATTAGGCAAATGAGTATTTTGACCACATCATCCTCTTTATGCATGTTGTCTTACTCCAAGCTGTATAGGCTCGAAAGCCTACTACCAATTAAGCATATTAGGTGATGTGCATCTCTGTAATGAGAAGGGGTGTGGTCTAATGACATCAACACCCTATATCAGGTGTGCATAATTATTAGGCAACTTCCTTTCCTTTGGCAAAATGGGTCAAAAGAAGGACTTGACAGGCTCAGAAAAGTCAAAAATAGTGAGATATCTTGCAGAGGGATGCAGCACTCTTAAAATTGCAAAGCTTCTGAAGCGTGATCATCGAACAATCAAGCGTTTCATTCAAAATAGTCAACAGGGTCGCAAGAAGCGTGTGGAAAAACCAAAGCGCAAAATAACTGCCCATGAACTGAGAAAAGTCAAGCGTGCAGCTGCCACGATGCCACTTGCCACCAGTTTGGCCATATTTCAGAGCTGCAACATCACTGGAGTGCCCAAAAGCACAAGGTGTGCAATACTCAGAGACATGGCCAAGGTAAGAAAGGCTGAAAGACGACCACCACTGAACAAGACACACAAGCTGAAACGTCAAGACTGGGCCAAGAAATATCTCAAGACTGATTTTTCTAAGGTTTTATGGACTGATGAAATGAGAGTGAGTCTTGATGGGCCAGATGGATGGGCCCGTGGCTGGATTGGTAAAGGGCAGAGAGCTCCAGTCCGACTCAGACGCCAGCAAGGTGGAGGTGGAGTACTGGTTTGGGCTGGTATCATCAAAGATGAGCTTGTGGGGCCTTTTCGGGTTGAGGATGGAGTCAAGCTCAACTCCCAGTCCTACTGCCAGTTCCTGGAAGACACCTTCTTCAAGCAGTGGTACAGGAAGAAGTCTGCATCCTTCAAGAAAAACATGATTTTCATGCAGGACAATGCTCCATCACACGCGTCCAAGTACTCCACAGCGTGGCTGGCAAGAAAGGGTATAAAAGAAGAAAATCTAATGACATGGCCTCCTTGTTCACCTGATCTGAACCCCATTGAGAACCTGTGGTCCATCATCAAATGTGAGATTTACAAGGAGGGAAAACAGTACACCTCTCTGAACAGTGTCTGGGAGGCTGTGGTTGCTGCTGCACGCAATGTTGATGGTGAACAGATCAAAACACTGACAGAATCCATGGATGGCAGGCTTTTGAGTGTCCTTGCAAAGAAAGGTGGCTATATTGGTCACTGATTTGTTTTTGTTTTGTTTTTGAATGTCAGAAATGTATATTTGTGAATGTTGAGATGTTATATTGGTTTCACTGGTAATAATAAATAATTGAAATGGGTATATATTTGTTTTTGTTAAGTTGCCTAATAATTATGCACAGTAATAGTCACCTGCACACACAGATATCCCCCTAACATAGCTATAACTAAAAACAAACTAAAAACTACTTCCAAAAATATTCACCTTTGATATTAATGAGTTTTTTGGGTTCATTGAGAACATGGTTGTTGTTCAATAATACAATTAATCCTCAAAAATACAACTTGCCTAATAATTCTGCACTCCCTGTATATATATACACACACACACACACATACATATATATATATATATATATATATATCAGATAAAAGAATATAGTGTAGTAGTAAATTATCCATGGTGACCAACTGTAGAGACACACTCCAGGAATTTCATAGGTTTGCCACTTTGAAAAAAAAACCATCCTAGTAATACAACTTTAAACAGACCTAAGATGTTTTTTTTTCCATAAGGAGGAATTTTGTAGACATGGACATAGACTCCTCATATCTTCCTCACTCACAGTCCTATCAGGGTAGATATTTCGACCCTTCTCTATTACTTTACTAGTTGTAAATAATGCTGCTGGCTGACTATTTGAATGGGGCACATTGTGAACTGATAAGAAAGCAGTCTTTTCCCTCATAGGTCACAAACACTGTGAAAACTGTTAAAGGGACACTATAGTGTCAGGAAAACCCCTTGGTTTTCCTGCCACTATAGTACCCTGAGGGTGCCCCCACCCTCAGAGACCTCTCCCGCGGTACTGAAGGGATTAAAACCCCTTCAGCTACTCACCCTTTTCCCCCGCCGGGCTCCCTTACTTCTCCTCTCCCGCAGACGTCTTGTCTGACGTCACCGGCGCAGAATGCGCATGAAAGGCACTGCCGCGCGCACATTCAAAATGTTCGTAGAAAAGCATTTTTTAATGCTTTCCTGTGGACACTCTGCGTGATTGAGGCATAATATGCCTCAATTATGCCTCAATTATTGCCGATGCACCTCTAGTGGCTGTCCGGAAGACAGCCACTAGAGGTTGGCTTAACCCCAGATGTAAACATAGCAGTTTCTCATAAACTGATATGTTTACATCAGGCATGGTTAACCCTAGAGGGACCTGACACCCAGACCACTTCATTGAGCTGAAGTGGTCTGGGTGACTATAGTGTCCCTTTAATGCTAAAACATC